GTCTTATGCCCTATGAGCCCAGTGATTTGATAATAGTCAATCTCCCACAATCACAAAAAAATGAAAACTTAGGACAGTTCCTGCTTGAGAAGTAGATATCTAAGACATTGTATAGCACTAGTTCTAGCACTATTAATAGCTGAGGTAGGAACTAGCAAAAGTGAAATTAAAGAAAACATATGCAATTTCTGATGATTCTCACTCCCAGTGATGTTGCCAGTTAAAAGACTTAGAGTGGGAGTGGGAAAACAAGTCATATACCAGGGAAAAGCCAAAATTCCATCATTATATATGACTTATTTTCCCACTCCCACTGTAGGTCGTTTAATTGGCACTTCTCTGATGTGCCYGCCCTCAACTTTTGCAACACAAAAATCGAAATGAGAAATTGCCCAGGAACTGATTTGAAACAAAAGTGAAATTCACACATTTATAAGCACAGCTCACCATCAGGAATGTGCCTTTTTAAACAAACAGCCATGCCAGTGAAATGAAAATTAGATAGCTCCCATGCTTTCTATTTTGACAGAAGAAATTAGTGTTACTATTCCAGTTAGGAAAATATGTTTGTTGGGAGTTCTCTTAACCAGAGGACCAGATCACTGTGTTTATCTTAACACCCATGACAGGATACAGTGCTCAGCTGGTGACTGAGAAGGACCTGGAAGGGGAGCAGAAATAAGAGCATCTTCCCGTGCATTTCACACAGAGTACCTTTAACTACAGTGGACTCAGTATGGACAGTAAAATATCAAAAGGTAACAACCCAGTCTTCATTGTGGGCCATAAAACTTAGCAGGRACTCTGGTGGATCCCGTTATTGTGGTTTCACTTTTTTTTTTGCAATTAGATTCCATAAAACATAGTTTGTTCTTCCATGCACAAGCAATAATCTGGCAGTCAAAACCACATGCAGTCTTAGTATGGTGCCTTATACTATTTTCTGCATTGCAATGCAATGCAATGCAATGTTAATATTGTCTGTCATCTCATTTGGTTTCTGAAAGCAGTTCCACACAGAGCAAATATTAGCCATGCCTTAGTTTTTCTCCTGGAAAGTTCATAGTCATTCTGGAACATACAGGCATGTGATACAARGTGAAAAACTCGTTTCCAAAAAGTGTTGCTTTCTCAGTGCTAGGTTCACATATATTCAAATATTGCTATTTCTTATGTTCAAACAACCTTTCCTGAAGGCTGCATGTACCCTTAGCATTTTTAGAGCTGTATTTAAAAATCCCCTGAAGAATAAAAGATGAACCTAAAGTTATATTGTATCATAGTATAAAAACAAATGACAAGACCACTAACTAGCAGGTTCCTCTCACCAATGTATTTAGACTCCAACAACCTACAGCATTTTTTGTTTCTATTATATTAGCTAAACAATAATTTATGCCCTTGGATTTGAACTAAAAGGAATATTTCATSAAGAAGAATCTCAGATGGGATTCTGTGGGATTCTGTTTTCCACAGATGGGAAACTGAAACAGGTTTCCATAAAGATTTTAAAGACRAAGTTGCTTGGTTTTCCCAGAGGCAAAATTTCATTTTCAGTGAGCCTAACCGTGTGTGAGCTACAACATGAATTTTAGAAAGGTGTCAACACCTTTCATACATACATCTACATACAGATAAACACAACTGAAAGGCTCCCAAGATCCAAATCCAGCAGATGACAGAAGGCAAACTCAGCACCTAGGCAGAAGTTTCAGCGAGACCCGACAGGATACAGCAGTGTCTCTCTTTSATACTATCTTCTGTACCAGGGCCCAAATCTGTTCCAATATTAAATGGCCTTCCTTATGAAAGACATATTAGGCCTCAGAGATGGAAGGATGAAGTCAATAAAAGGTTTTCTGCTGGTTTGTGGAGCCTTGCCTCTATCAGCCTCCCAGACCCAGCATCGGAGCACAGCCGACAAAACTAACTCATGTTCCAACCCTGAGCTTCTCATTTCCCTACAAGGAAAAAATGTTAAATAAAAAAGAACAGCACCACTCTCACAGTAAAAAGCTTCGAACAGGAATTGTAAAGGATGAAGGCCTGACTTAAGTGCTGAAAGTTAAGAGTTACAGAATAAGAACTCTGTGTAAGAATTAYAACATCTTTTTAAAAACATGCATTCAGCGCATGATTTTTCACGTCCTGTTTTTACTATGCACCARAAAGCAGATCCAGCAAATTTATTGCACTATCGTTAAGATAGAAAAAAAAGATTGTTTAATGGAAGTACTGTAAATTCAGTACAGCTGCCACAAAAATACCTAGAACCAAACTCTCTTCCCCTTAACATTTACAGCTGTTTTTTKGGGTTTAATGCAATTGCTGAGTGTGTGAGAAGAAAGCATATGATATACCCCATAATTAATATCACTATAAGATAGATAAATATTAACTACTGAATATAAGCACCCAATAAGCCAAGGCTTACTCAGGCATATTAATTTACATACAGGGAAATACTGTGTAGTGTGGATTGGTTACATGCGACTGTGGTGACATCTTCTGGAAGGCAATTTCTGGGAGTGTAGCATGATTTTCCTGATACTCAGCAGCTTTCCATTTAAAGATAGGCTGCAATTATACAGACCCTTTTCCTGGTGTGAAGGTCATTCTGACCATCCTCCCTCCCCGAGGTGTTCATTTCTGCTCCCCACCGCTTCCCAGCTGTGGCAATTCAGCTGCTCATGGGGACTGCATGGGGAAGTGCAACAAACAGCACAATTATTTTAACTCGGGTCCATTTTCTGCACCAGTAGTGCACACCTCATGAACAGTAGTTTCAGTACAACAGAGATTTGAAGAAGTGCCTGGAGGTAGAGASAGATGCAGAAAGACTTCAGCTGATACCTCTGCTATGAGCAAATGTCCATGTAGGAGGAGCCCCTGACTGTGCTAGGTTAAATTGAAGCATGTRAAGTCCTCTCTATGAGTGATGCTTATGTAAGAAAATTATATTGATTCAACAGATTGTATGGCTCTCCCCCAGAATTGTGATAGCACAAGGGAAAGGTCATACACTCGTGATGGGAAAAGGGGTAGGACCTTCCCCTTTCAGCAGCAGCAGAGGTTTAGATCAACCTACACTGGTCATGAAAAGTCATTTTAGATACTGTGATGGAATCAACATCTTACCTGAAAGGCACTAAACAGTATTTTTATGTGAATGACTGCAGCAAGTCAGTATAGTGGTAAAAATTAACTACTTCATAATGATAAAAAGGTCACTGAAAGACAGAGCACCTGAAGCATTAGACCTGAAGCTGTGAATAGCGGGTAATTTTAGAAATCATTAATACATGCATATTGGCTTTAAAAAATGACAATCTTGAAATTACTGCACTTGGCCTTTCCTGCAGTAACGTTCCCTCAGGCAATCCCTGCCATAATGTTTAGGGGAAAATGATTTTTCTACTTAGCATCTATCACATGGCCACACTGCAGGAAAAATCTAATAGCAATTATGTACCAGAAAACCAACACTTTTTTTTTTTTTGGTAAAACCTACAATCTTGTTTGGTTCTACAAAACAAAAAAATTCTACAAATCAACACCAGCCCACTGGCCAGTTTTAGCTCATTCAACTACTAAACCATGAAAACAGAAATTCTTGCTCAGAGAGGGCAAAATACAGAGAAAAAAAGGTCTGAGAAACGAGAAATATATATATGTATAATTGTTACATGTTTCTGCCTGGAAAGACAGTGCTCCTACAGTTAACACATGCTGCCATCTTCTGGCTCTTAACTGTCAGCGTTCCGATCACTCCTGACATTGCATTTTATACCTTATTTTTTATATTTCATAAATTATAGTTCTATTTTATTTATTTAAATATATTTTATTAAAATGGAATTCATTAAATATATTTTATTAAAATATTATATTTATTTTAACAAAAATATTTGTATGTATTTTTATTTATCCTACTGTGGATAAATTAAGCAATAATGGAGATTTTCTCTAAACAGCTGATTTTCGTTCTTTTCTGGACAATCCCTTTTGCCTTTGTTGAAAGCATCAACCAGGTTGCTGGTTTTCAGCTTTTCTGACAGGAACACAACACTGAGGGGGTGCCGTGTATGCTATTTTATTTATTACTTGTGCATGCATTGAATATAAATGGAGATATCTTATGTTTGACCCACGGCAACTGTGATATAAAGCACTTTTGGGGTAACTTCGATCCAAGGAAAACTAGAAATCTTTGCCCTTCACAACCTAACCCTGCTATCGTCTTGCATCATTTGTAGTAATCCCCCTCCCAACTCTGAAAATGGGGTTAAGAAACCCAGAAAAATTCACATAAACTTTTGGATTTTGCCTCACTACGTGTATCAGAATCAAAACCCCAGTCCAGCAAATACTTGCTTAATGTACTTTAAAAGAAGGCTTAAAGACACCCTTTTCTTGCAAGACTGGATGATCCCTTGAAGTCCCTGTCAACCTCAACCATTCTGTGAGGATTGTGGATTTGAGGTGAAAKAAGTTTTCTTGTGAACATTGCAAAAATATGAATAAGCCGGGCGTGGCTAGGAAACCTACCCCTGCAAATGGGGTTTATTTCATGGTTTTGCAAGGATGGTGTCTAAAAGCTGCAACGTAAAAATCAGTGGGTCCACATGAATTTCACTTCAGGTGATTTAAAGAGAAATTTGGGTATCCACCACGGTAGCTAAAACAGGGGCCGAGAATCGCTGCAAACACCGCTTTTCTGCTGCAAACACCGCTTTTCTTCAGTTATCTGTTGCGCAAGGAGGTCAGGACGCCGAGGGAGGCGGCCCGGGCAGGCGCCGCTCCACACGCAGCTCCCGCCGCCCCTCAGGCGGCCGCGGGCGCCCCCGCGTGGCGCCCAGGGTCGCGCGCAGCCCCGCGGGCCGCAGCAACGGCCGCCGACCGCGCCTCGCGCTGATTGGCTGCGGCCGGAGCCCGCGCTGAGGAGGCGCTCGCTGATTGGTGGAGGATGTGTGTGGAGGGGGGTGGTCGTTGCGGCACGTGCCGGCGGGTGAGGCGCCATTTTGCTCAGCGGGTACGTTGGCCGCGTGTCTCGGTATGTCCGCGTTAGCGGCCTCTGTACCCGTCCCCCTGGAGCACTGCGAGCGTCGGAGGCCTTCTCATGAGCACCCGCCTTGGCTCTGGTGCCCGCTACCAGGGAAGAGCAAGTTTCCCGTCGAGTGCCGCGGTGGGCGGGCAGGGAAGGGGGCTTAGAGCACACACAGATTTATGTTTTATATGACTTACCATCCTCTCTTTTTTTTTCTCCTCTTCTTGATTTCTGCCAAGTGCTGTAAGCTAGTGTTTGGTCTTGTTTAGAAATGTGTGTGTTAAAACTTGTTATCTTTTTTTGAAAGCGTGATACCACCATGAATAGAAAGAAAGGGATCTCTTCAGTGGATGACAGTAATGGAGAAGAAATCAATAGAAGAAAACTGAGAGATAAAAAGTATGTGAGTTTTGAGGTTGCTGATTTTAATTCATGATCTCAGACCATTCACCGAGGAATATTAGTAAATCTAAAAGTGTTTGTTCTGCAGTGTCAAGATGAGTACATTTTTATTTTGTGTAATATATGTGTGAAGCTTTAGCATTTTGGGTAGATTCAGATGAAAGACATTTTACATGTATCCTGGGATGTCATTAAACATTAAGTTATTAGGTTACCAACATTTCAAATTGATCCAAACAGAATTTAATTTCATAAAAGCTTAATTCACATAACTTATTAAAGTAATTTTTAGTTCAGTAACTGTACAGAATGGATGCAACTAATTGTTCCACAGCAATTTTTCTAGTGCTGGTTCTAGTTACCTAACCATTCTATAATCAAAAAGCTCTGAGTCACCACAGGTGCCAAATTTAGTATCCTAGAGATAGCTTTGTTTCCCATAGAAAAGGGGAAGGATGTGTCTGTGTGCATTTTAATGGTGTTCAATAAGTGCACTTCTCATCTATATAATGTCATTTCATAAAAAGTGGGCAAGCTTACTTCTTAGCTGAGAAATGGTAGAGTTCCTGCTTAGTTGATGTCTTTAAACTTTGCTTTTACTTCCGAAGGCAACGTCTTAAAATACTAGAAAGGGATTTTACAGGACCAAATTACAGAAAGGGTGATTGCTGTCATATGTCAAAAGCTGTGAATATGAGAGGTAAGACTTTGGGCTTTTGTTTCCAAGAATTCTGTGGCATGCAGTATTTATTATGTCTTAGTTTATCCCCCTCCAAAATAGTTAGGCTGTCAGATTTGAATAAATGATCGTTTATTTACTACATTGCAAACAATCATCCAAAAGAGCGAAAACCCTTTTCTCCCCTTCCCCCMCGATTTTTTTTTCCTTTTCTTATAAAAGCAACCAAATTGGGGGAGAGATGTCGTTTATGCTCGAATATCTTTTTCCAGCAGTCTTAAAAGTACTGATATATTACCAAATGGATGAATTACAAAATATTTGTACTATAGCTGTACATTTTAAATGTATGTTTTCTGCATTTTTATTTTCCCTTTCATATATTTATCCCACTCTGAAGTTAGGAGTAATATCATACATGAGTTATGCAGATAATAACCTAATTACTAAACAGATAAGAATATTTTTAGGGAAATAAAAATTGCTGGTATTTATCTTACTGTTATTCCTAGCTTTAAACTCTGTGGTCATAAAAGTCAGTGTCCAAATTATTGATATCATCAAGACTGGGTAGAAGACTCCTGTAGAGATCATATGTTGTTGTCTTTTGGTATGATTGCTGAAGATACTCTGCARTGATAATTTCAGTCAAGAATTTGGTGTGCTTGATTTTACAGAGTCACGGGAAGAGCTTCCTGAAAGGGATGAAGACACTGATGTTTTTGATTTTTCTTCTATTCAAGTAAATCTTAAGCTTTATGTTCAGTATTCATTGTGAATGTTGGAAATAATGATATTACAGAATATTCTGTGTTCTCTGTGAAAGTGACTGAAGCAAGTTCAGTTCCCCTTCTTCCTTCCACCTCATGCATTGTAGGGGGACAAAATTTACTGTGGTCAGGAAATGTGTGTTGGAGATAAGTGCCTGCTTCACAGAACAGCTCCTGTTTGTTAGCATTCCTAGCAGTGCTGTGTGATAATGTAGTGCCCATCGAATGTCCACAGCATTGTTTCAGGAATTCTGTTTCTACTCTTCTCTTTAGTGCCTGTTGTTGAATTCACCCTCTGCACAGGCCAAAAATGGCATGTATGTTTAAAAATAACTCTCCCCTTTCAGCTTACTAGTAAAAAGATTAAAAACAGTAGTTTTCCTGTTACACAGTTTATAATTATAGTTCTTTCTGCATTTAAAAATGTGCTGCTTGTGAATCCTTCCTGAATTGTGGCTTCCTGATACTCATTTGTTCAAAGGAAACAGTTCTTTTGGACAAATGGTAACTGCTTTTTTATTACTATATTTGAATCTATGCAGAAGACAYTGCATAGAAGACACTGTGACCACTTAGACATTTCCATTATGAAATTCATGTTTTTCTGTTTTCTTAAAATACCAAAAGAGGTAAAATTTTCAAGAGAATTAAACAGTATAGAACCAAGAGAATTAAGCTATTCCTGAAGAGAATTAAGCTCTATAGGAAAGTTATAATCAAGTTCATGCAATAGTGGTAGCATGCATTGGTTTTGCATTATAGCGTGAAAAATGGTAAGAGCAAACGTAAGAAAGTAGAGTTGCTTTTACTAGGAACAGTTCCCRTTTACTAGAAGGATGTACTAATGGGTGTAGAATTGAACCTGAAAAATGTTTTCTTCCTTGGTTGTTCAGATGAACAGCATTTGTTTTGAAGCTTGCTTCATTGAAAAAGGGAGAGGGATTCAAGTTGTAAACAGGCTTGTATGAAGACTTTTTTTTTCTGTGACTAGAATTTCATAGTAGTTGAACTTGCTTTACTTCTTTCCTCTGGATTTAGACCAAAGTTGATTTTAAACTTGGACTGCACAGTAGAAACCCACCAAGGCTAACAAGGTAAACCTCTGTTCAGTGTATTTTGATACCCAGACCAAACGCATTTTCAGGTGATCGCTTAATTTCTTCATGTGATTTGAACTGTATTGATATTAATATGTTCTCAATGTCCCCTGTGGCCSCCTTCCCTGTCACTCCCCTTCTTCCGGCCCCCCCTTCCACTTAGATAACCAATCATGACTACAAGGATTTTATTCTAGCACAGTTTTCTGGTAATGTCATATCTACATTACTGTTTTCTCTCACTTATTTCTCAAGCCTGTGWGATTTTGATGAAAGATAAGTTTTGAAGTGGATTTTGTTTTTTCTACTGATGCCTCTGTCCTTGCTGAGATTCATGTTGATAAATGGGAGTAGGCCCAAGTAATTCTCAGGGAGTTATTTTAATTGTGTAAGGGAGATGATCTCTTCTGAGAGAGGTGTATCAAGTCATGTAGTGCTGAACTTGCTCAAAGTAGTCACTTGGTTTCTCATATATAACTGGCAACTTCTAAAGTACTATCCTCTGAATCCTCTCTGTCAGGAAAAAAAGCATGGGAAGAAAGACAGTGCCTCCTTATAATTATTCATTAATGCACACTGTTGCTGTGGAAGTCTTGACAGTTCAAGTCTGTGTGCTTTGTAGAAGAGCAGGGAAGGTGATATTAAGAGAATTGAAGAGCCTTCCTAATGAATTGTCAGTTTGTAATTTTTTTGTACGAAAATTAAATTTTACAACATCGTTGTACTATAATATCACATGCTCTAAAAATAGCAGGCTAATGGATACATGATGGGAGAWCTATAAGAAACTGCTTGGAATGCAAATATGAACTTAATCCTGATGCATWTTGCTCTCAACAAGTGTATAAATCATTGCTGCCTCCAAAGTTTCCTTCTGCCTTGCCACATGTCAAATTGTTTACTAATTTTTAAAATGATGCTAGTAGAAAGGAGAAAATATTTTGAAAAATGAGGCATCTCTAGTATTTTGAATTCTAAGTTTTAGCAGYAAGTGTGACTTTTGAAAATACTCAAATTGTATGTAAAACATTTTCTGTACACTTGCAACTTATTTTAAAGTGTGTAGGATTTTATATTACAGTTTCATTTTACAGGCTCTTCAGTCAGGATACCAAAGAGAAAAATGTTCATCATCCAATTTCTTCAGATGGCGGGCAGGAGTTCAAACCAGGTTTAACCCCACCAGTAGACACGGTGTGTTAATGTTAAATTATATTTTATTCTCATTATTTAAGTGTAGGCATAGCTCATACTCAACATGTTAAGATATAGGAACTGTGTCTGTGTTAGACTGAAGCTCTGTTATGATGTGTATCTCAAAATGGAATCAACGTGCCAGCAACCACAGCATCAACAGAATAAAAAAAAAAAACAAAACAGATCACAGCCAGAGAGGACTAATATGCTCAGATGCCATGAAASTGTGTATTTTGAAATTCAGATTTTTTTAAAAAACACCTGAAACTTCATAATGTGAGCATAATATGCACCTCAACTTCTGTTAAGAGTTTTCTAATCTGATTTTTCTGAATGAGTTCAAAGTTCTAGACCAGATGAGATAGTTCTGTTGCCACCTGAGAGAGTATTAAAATGACAAAATAAAGGTCATTTGAATGTTTTATTTCTTACCAGCCCTGTTTTCTTGTTTAAAGGTTGGGCTTTGCAGTTACCTTGAAAGATACATAATTTGGAAATGTAAAGTACATTAATTTCTAATGTAGTTTTGTTGTGGTGCCCATTAAAGTTTAGAAATGGTTTTATTTTCTGAACATTCTTGGAACGTTTGTTTATTCCAACACCAATACTTCTAACACTAGTGCTAGTGACAGAGTAAGTCCCTTCCATGTATATGCTCTCTTCTGTGCTCATTTGAGAGCCAAATTTATTTTCATTACCTTCTTCTCTCATTAGAATAAAGCTGGGGGCTTATTACGTATTTTTGTCTCATCGCAGTGCGTTTTTGTTGTTGTTCCCCAAATGCAATTCCTAAATACTTGCTTTGTGCTTTTTCTTTTGTACAGTGTTTGCATTTTTTAATCTGATGTGCTTTCTTTGCTCAGTGTTTGCTGTGTTTATGACCTTGCATTCTTTTCATATGATCAGATTTCTTGATTAATGTAAATAAACATACGCATTTGACAGGGGGAGCAAAATAAAAATCCTTCTTTCAGAGATACTGGTRAAGAAAATAGTCACTCAGTTTAAAAGTGTAATTTGGGTGAGGCAACATTCAGTTTCTTGCTATAGAGCTACTCAACCTTACACAGATTCAGTCATTGACTCCGGGTGCTAATTAGTTAGAAATAGCAAGTAATTATAGTCCATATTCTAATTATACACACAACTTAACTCCTTTTGCAAATTTTTTGACCAGGACAGTAAAACAATGGAAGATATTGATGAAGCTTTGTGGATAGCTGTTTGTAATCTTGGCCACTTAAAAGATGCAGATGAGGTTAGTGAAAATATTTAAATATTAAATCTTATCTTTGATTAAAGCCTTCTGTTATGAGTAGTCACTCAAAAACGTGTTCATGCACTTACTGCCTTTGCAGCTTTTACTTTCTGTCCATTAAGTCTTGGCATTGTTTTTTGGAATGTGCAGCATGAAGCTTAAGACTATGAGAAGAACCTCAGCGAGTGCTTTAGGTGGACATAGGGACAGACCCAGTGATTTCAAGACGTGTATAAGCCACTCTTTAAGTACTAGCTTGTATTTCGTTGCATCGGGGTGAAGTGCAGCTTTCTTTTCTAATTCTTAACAGCTAAGCTAACTCTAGTTTCCTTGTGCCTCATTTTGGATCTAAAGATGAAAAGAAATTGTCTGTGGACAACAGAGATAGTATTTCTTTAAAAAGATGATGTAAAGTCATGCATTTTTGTATACAAAAAATAAAACAGGAAAAAAGCCTAAAATAACTGGATAATGCTCTTAACCAAAAAAAAAAAAAAAAAGTTTATTAGATATCCTATGAACGTCTTTGTATTTTTGTATTGATCATTTTTTTCAACTTAAATTCTTGTTCAGTGTGCTCAGCAAAAGTTTATGTCTTTTGCTATTTACTGACATTTTTAAATGCATTTTAAATTATTTAGGCACAAAAATCTTTTATAGTCCCAAAAAAACTAAGGCAAAATCTTTCTAGCATGACTTGCATGAATTGCCCTTAAACATTGTTTTCCATTCCGTCTGCAGTTTGTCCTGCTGTAGTGGCTGATCTGTCATCTTATAAAAACTTGCCTTATGGCTATTTTTATAGCTAATGCACACAACTGGGTCTGATAGCAGCTTCTCAGAAAAGGCTGAGCACTGTCAGTGCWGTGTTGTATTAGCTTTTCTTTCGCTCTTTTTGTTTTTTGTTTGATTGTTTCTTTCTTTTTATTTAACATACACCTATTAAATGTACCTGCAGCAGCAGAGAACTGGTGCTTAGGAAGAGGGGAAAAARCATTTAGTTTCCTTAGTGCTTGCAGGAAGTTTAAAAAACAGTAGGAATCATAACTTGATAAAAAACCTGTGCAGCTGCTGTATTAGAAAGTCAAGTAAGGAAAGTGAGACTGTGAGTCYGAGACAGGAGGATACCTCCTGCCTGCCTGAAGACTGTGGTTTTCATCATGTAGGAAGTATGAGCATATTTGAGCTAAGAGAAAACAAAAGGATGGGTGAACTCTGTTTTTCTCTATTGTATTTTATAGTTACCCTATTGCTATTATAGTTACCCTCTGTCCATGTTGAGAGCTGGTAGTGCAAAGAAAGGAAGTTGTGCTGACAGGTAACAGTGCTGAAACCTGAAGGTTAAATCCTGGCACAGTGAGTCTTTCAGGGCTTTCTTGTGTTTGTTTTTGGTGAAGATCAACCGCTCTGGGGTTCACTCTCACTTCTGCTGGAGTGTTTGTCACTCTTGTTCAGTTCATTGATTCATATATTCTGTTCTGAATAAAACCAGAAATACTACTGTGCTAACAATGAGTGAATGAGTATTTATTTTACATTGAATGTAACAGATGCTGAAGTACTTGGAGCTGAAAGTGAAACAGGAAGGAGACAAGGTGGCAGAAATTGCAGATAGAATATTTGATGAACTTATTACTTCTCTGCAGTCAAGGTAATGTTCGTGTTTGTTGTGCTGGGAGTGAAGGAGAGTTCTTATTAATATTTTTTCAATTTTTTTCAAAGCTAAAAGTACATAATTCTAAATAAAATTCCAGTATTCCTTAAAATAATATTTCATAATACCTGTTTTGGTCTTTGTACAGCTTTTTWGCCCATTCATAATGGTGTCTGAGTTCTCGGAGCTACTCGTATGGCTGGAAGAAACTAGCATATGTAATCTCTGTTAATAATTTTATAGTCTTATTCGTGTCTGTTGTCTGAAATATCTTTATTCCATAAGTACCAATTAGTAGATAGTTAGTGTGGAAACTAAGAATAACTTTCTGAAAATCTTCGGTCCTAAAGAACCAAAGGACCTTTCTAATACTTCATTTTCAAAAGTATTTGTATCCTCAGATTTATGTGTAGCAAAGCTTAGTATCTCAAAAGCCCGTGGAAGGGGCATTTGATACCTTRTAGACTGGATTATAGAGTTTAGCCCTTTAGTCTGCAGTTGAATATGTATGGAGAAACCAGCACATCTGGAGGCTTGATTGGAAGAGTTTGGTTTTTTGCTTTGTTTTTAACAGAARAGATTCTCCAAAAGATAGGGCCCTTTAATGTGAACTGTTACATTTTTGGTTAACTGAATTTTATTTCATCCTTCTGGTAGAGTTGTGGTAACTGTTTTACAGTTGAAGTTTTAATTTGCATTGCTCTGTGCCCTAYTAGATTTCTGAAAAGTAATGTTGTTTTTAATACAGGAAAAGRAAATTGTATGCAGAATTATTGATGAATATTGACAGTTACAGTGCAGAAGTTGCGAGGGCTAAACAGTACATTGAAGAGAAGAAAAATTGCTTGATTGGTGCTGTTAGGATTGCAAAGGAGCTAAAAATTACACCTTCTGTAAGAACCTACTGCGATCTGACTCAGGTAATTAAGTTCTTGTAATGTAAAGTAACTTCTTAACTGTTACCTCCAAATAGCTGTTGAAAGTTACGATTATCCATCTTCCTTTATGAGACTCTTGCAGGAAAGTATTCTGTAGTCCCCCTAGCCCCTCGAAGCCCCACTTTCCCCGCGCCCCAACTAGTCTAAATTTGGTTCTGGTTGTGGATTGGAATGTGTTGATTTAGTGGTAACAAGAAGTTGATGCTTGTCCCTAAAGAGCTTACTATCTGAAACAGTAAATGGAAAGGTAGGACAAGGACACAGAGGCAAACAGTGATGCAGTGGAGCAGCAGGCCTTTTCTAACATTATTCCTCCCCATCATWCCGGATGTTCGTAGAAACACACCTGCTTCGTGGTGTCAGACCAAAGCCTCATGGTTAACTTGGTGTCAACCAAGAATCCCAGGTCCCTCTCCATGGACCTGCTTTCCAGCAGGTCAACCCCTTTTCCGTACTGATGCCTGGGGTTATTCCTCCTCCAGGTGCAGGACCCTGCAGTTAYRCTTGTTGAACTTCATGAGGTTCCTCTGCCCAACTCTCCAGCCTATTCAGGTCCCTGTGAATGACAGCCCAGCCCTCTGGAGTGTTGGCCGCTACACCCGGCTTGGTATCGTCCGCAAACTTGCTCAGGGTGCACTTTATGCYCTCGTCCAAGTCGTTGATGAACAGGCTGAACAGCACCAGGCCCAGTACTGATRCCTGGGGGATACCACTGGCCACAGGCCTCCAACTGGACTTGGCCCCATTTATCACCACCCTTTGGACTCTGCCATCCAACCAGTTCTCAGTCCACYTCACTGTGCACTCGCCCAATCCACAGTTCCAGAGTTAACTTACTTTGTTTCAGTTTGTTCCCATTACTTTCTATTGCACACACCACTCCAAAGACTGTTGAGACCACCACCTTTATACTGTCCCTTCAGATATTTATGTGCACTGATAAAATTCCCCCCTGCAGGCTGAACAGTTTCTATTGCTAGTTGTGTTCTATGGTTAGAAAAACAAAATGCAAGTGTTAGGTCTTAAGTGATAAAAGAAAATATGTTGAGAATAAATTGACTGACAGAGACCTAAATTATCATCAGCTATAAATGAGTAAAGTTTGTTTTTCTGTAGAACTCAAAACGTCAAATACTAATTATGTYGCTTTGTAAATAAGTTATCTGCTTATTGTATAATAGAAGCTAAAACTGCATTTATTAATTTCAGATTATTCACAATCTAAAGTTGACAGTTGAGGATGAGCTTTCAAGAGTGAATAGCTTGAAGGAGAAAACATCTTTAAGGTAAATGGGAAGGTAGATGGTTGCACTAGTTATCTCAATGACAAAAGCTGTCCATTTACGAGTTAAACAGTGCAAATACTTGCAAATACTTAGACTTGGACAAGTGCAGGATCCTGCATCTGGGGAGAAATAACCCCAGGCATCAGGACAGTTGAAGAGTTGACCTGCTGGAAAGCAGCTCCACASAGAGAGATTTGGGAGTCCGGGTTGACACCAACTTAATCATGARGCAGCAGTGCCCWCRTGGCCAAAGAGRYCAGTGGGATCCTGGCTGCATCAGGAGGATGTTGCCAGCAGGTCAAGGGAGGTGATTCTACCCCTCTGCTCTGGTGAGGCTGCACCTGGAGTGTTGGGGACAGTTCTGGGCTCCCCAGGACAAGAGGGATGTGGAGCTTCTAGAGAGGGTCCAATGTAGAGTGACAAAGATGATTAACGGACTGGAGCATCCCTCATATGAGGAAAGACTAAGCAAGATAGGCTGAGTCTGTCTAGTGTGGAGAAGGTTGAGAGGGGATGTGCTCAATATGTGTAAGTACCTGARGGGAGAATACAGGGAGGAAAAGGCCAAACTCTTCTCAGTGGTGGCCAGTGACAGGACAAGGGGTAATGGGTATAAACTGAAACACAGATAGTTCCATCTGCATGCGAGGAAGAACTTCTTGACTGAGGGCAACAGAGCCCTGGAAGAGGCTGCCCAGGGAAGCTGTGGAGTCTCCTTCTCTAGAGATCTTCCAAATATGCCTGGCTGCCACCCTGTGCCCCATGCTCTGGGTGTCCCTCCTGGAGCAGGAGGGTTGGACTGGATGATCTCTAGAGGTCCTTCCAACCTTAACCATTTTATGATTCTATGCAATCAAGCTGCTTCACTTGCTATATTTTAGAAAATGTTACTAGTCCATAATGTGCACGTACATGTCAACCAGTATATAAACATACTCTTAAAAATGCACAGTATCTTTCATCTTAGACATTCGGGGGGAAAAGACATTATGGTGCACCTACAGTTGTGTACTATGTAAAATGAAATGCCCCTGGATTTSAAAAATCATTTGTCAGGTCTCTAACATTTTTAGCTTTTTCCTTTTCTGAGTAGAAAACGTTAAGGCAACGTCTTAAGTCTTGGAGAGACTTTCCCATCTTCAGCAAGGACTTAATGACTTAAATGTTTCCCATGGCCCAGATCTCTGAGAATAAATTTGTGGTAACTCTTGTTTACCATGATACCCTTCTTAGAAATTGCAAGCATAATTTTTTTTTTTACCTGGGAAGGTAAAGGAATTATTAGGGAAAGAGCAGGAAAGGCTGATCACAGCTGTGGTTTAGCTGACCCTGGGCAGTTCGGTAGGAGTTGCCAGAGCACTGCAATGACAGTCTGCATAGGGTGCACTCAGAAGTATTAAAGGAAAGAGTAAGGATGTTGTTAGGCTGTGGGTTTCTTGATAATGTTTTGTTGGATGGATAAGAGCAAGAGCTGGTGCTAGTGAGGAAAAATGGATGGAATTAAACTTGCTATTGATGAGAACTCCATAAATACTGGAGGGGKGTGTGTGTGTGTGCGCGTGCAAGGCAGGAGAGCATGTGAAGATGAATGAATAGCCAAATCAGTTGTTAATAGGATGTTAACATGTCAAGTTTCAGTGTTCTTTTGCTCCACAGAGGAAGGAATAAAGTTAGTAATTAACTTTTTTTTTTTCTCCTCACAACTCTTAATTCCTATGGGGAATATTGTCCTAAAAATCAGGTGTATATCATGAAGTATCAGAGTGATTTAAATTATGACGGTGACTTTCATGTTTCTTTTTCTTCTAGTCTCTTTGTGAATACTGATGAGATTACAGCTTTGTTAAAAAACATGGGGAAGATTGAATGGGGAAAAACAACAAGGTAAGCATTCTTTTAATGTGTGCGGTAGTTAGCCTAATCTTCTAATAGTTGAATATTTATTAGAGATTAATTAAGAAGTACATGTATACTTCTGAGAGTGTGAGAACAGACCAGAGTAAAACTTTACTTGCTGGAATTTTGGTTGGCATTCCATTTAAAATAGTGGTGACGTTTCACTTTGATCTGTGTTTTACCCAACTTTTTTCTCTGTCATGGGATTTATGTACTGAAGACTTCATTTTTCATGATTGATGTTGTTATAACTAGTAAATAATGTTAAAATAGAAATATTTATACTTTTAGTATGTAAATATTGATTTATGCATATATAAACGCATCTGGAAAATCTACAGCAAGAGCTGAAGCTTACAATATTTCTGCTTCACATCTAAATGTTGATTATGGCAAATGTCAAAATAATTTACTTAAGGTTAACCTGAACCAAAAGAAAGAAAAAAAAAAAAAGAAGATTTAATTAGGTATCTTTACTTCTCCTGCAGTATTTGGCAAAAAGTTCTGAAAATAAATAGAATAGAATTGCTGTTAAAATATAATGCAAGTCTGTTGTTATCACTGATAATCTGAGAAAGGGTTGTCACTGTAATAGTACTTGGAAATACTGCAGATTACAGTACAGAGTACCTGTGAGTACAAGGACATCTRGCATGCATTTAAAAAAAAAAAGTGTCTTTTGTTTTCAAATAGTTCATTATTACTTCTGCATGATGTTTGGTCGTTTAAGCAGGGGCACCTCATGTTTTGCACTGACCTATTCCAAGGATAAAAGGATTTCTTCTAGAGAGGGGTGATGAACTAAATTCTGCATATTGTTTTCTAGCAGTTTGCAGACTGTTCTTGGAATCTCTTCAAAGCATAATGGCTCACACTGTATCTCAGATTTATTACTACATGGGCAAAAGTGTTAAAACTGTTCTAAGGAAATTCTGTTTGTGTAGAATGGCTTGAATTAAGAATTCTCTCTTGTATGTTCATGGTGGCGGGAATCTCCCATAGTGACATACATTACAGTTTGAAGCAACCCAGAGAGTCTTGAAAGAATGCTGTAAAAAATTGCTCTTTGAATATGAAGCATAAAGTACAGTATAGCACAAAATTCTATAGTATAAAGTGGTCTTTCTTTTAAAAAGATTGAGAGCAAAGAGAAAATTAGGAAAGATCAATTTCCAGATAGTCTAGTTTCTAGGATTCAGATACAGTTTTGCTGTTTTGGTGTCATGGTATTCAAAAACATCTTTTTTGAGAAATAAGATTATTTAATTTTTTTATGCATTTTATTGACTCTTTTCTGTATTTTATTGATTCTTTAACTGAAGAAAAAAAAATCTCAGACATTTTAATGAGGTATTTTCATAGCATTGTGATGTGTTTTTAAAAGGAAAAAAGTGCTTTGACTTAATTGCTTCCTTGAAAGCAAAACCCAATTCTTTAATTCCTGTCTTCAAATAGATGTTTTCCCAAATACAGTGAAGACAGTGCACAACACACTCTCAGGTCTGATGACAAAGAAGGAATACCACCAGGCTTTGACACTCAGCTTTCCTTAGACAATGCCTTTCCAGCACTTACCAGAGAAAGGAAAATAAAGACTTTTGCAAAACTTGATGTTGATGGAGAAAAGAAAAACACACGAGTACAAGAACTACTTACCATGATACATCATCAGAATATTCCTGTTCTGCCCAAGACTCTGTCCAGCCCTGATGTCATAATAGAAGAAATAATTGAAGATGATGAGGAAGGTAAATTACTTAACACCTGATGCTTTTGATATTCTGGGATTGATCGTGATGTTTTTTTTTGTCCACAGCATGTTTGAAGTCAAACTCAGCACTCCTGTAGAGTCTTTCATGGCTGCTGCATTTCACTTTCCATTACTTTGAACTCTGKTTTCTTCTTTTCTTCTATTAACTTGGTGGGAACTTTCTTACTGCTTATCTCAAGTGGCTGTCATCATAATAATAGGCATTGTGGAGGACAAGAAGGTCCTCCAAAGTAGTCAGCATGAATTGACCAAGGGGAAATCATGCTTGACTAACTTAATAGCCTATGATGGAGTGACTAGCTGGATAGATAAGAGTGGTGGATGTCATCTATCTGGACTTCAGGAAGGCTTTTGACACCATCCCTCACAACATCCTCCTGGGCAAGCTACGGAAGTGTGGGATGAATGAGTGGACGGTGAGGTGGATTGAGAACTGGCTGCATGGCAGAGCCYAGAGAGTGGTGGTCAGTGCCACGAAGTCTAGCTGGAGGCCCTGTAGTTAGCGGTGTCCCCCAGGATTCAGTCCCTGGCCCAGCCATGTTCAGTTTATTCATCAGTGACCTGGATGAAGGGACAGAGTGCTCCCTCAGCRAGTTTGCTGATGATAGAAAACTGGGAGGAGTAGCTGATARCCCTGAGGGCTGTGCTACCATGCAGAGGTACCTGGACAACTGAGCAGTGAGAAACCTTATGAAATTCAACAAGGCCAAGTGCAGGGTCCAGCACCTGAGGAGGATAACCCCAGACACCAGTACAGGCTGGGGACTGACCTTCTGGAGAACAGCTCTGTCAGGAGGGACCTGGGCGTCATGGTGGACACRAGCTGACCATGAGGCAGCAGTGCCCTGGTGGCCAAAAAGGCCAACAGGATCCTGAGGTGCATTAGGAAGAGCATCTCCATAAGGTCGAGGTGATTGTTCCCCTATACACAGCCCTGGTGAGGCCACATCTGGAGACTGTGTCCAGTTCTGGGTGCCTCAGTGCAAGACGGATGTAGAGCTGCTGGAGAGAGTCCAGCGCAGGRCTACGAGGATGATCAGGGGCCTGGAACATCTGCCCTATGAGGAAAGGCTGAGAGAGCTGGGCCTGTTCAGCCTAGAGAAGAGGGGGGACCTGRTCAGTGTCTATAAATACCTCAAGGGAGTGAGGAGGATGGGGCGGCTGCTTTTAAGTGGTGGCTACTGATAGGACTGGAGGAAACAGCCACAAAATGAAGCATCAAAGTTCCGCAGGAACTTGAAGAAAAATTTCTTAACAGTGAAGGTGACAGAGCACCTGGACAGGTTGCCAAGAGAGATTGTGGAGTCTGCTTCTCTGGCGATCTTCCAAACCAGCTTGGACGCCACCCTGTGTCACATGCTCTAGGTGACCCTGCGTGTACAGAGGTATTGGACTAGRTGATCTGTAAAGGTCCCTTGCAATATTAAGGATTCTGTGGTAAGTCTGTCTTCCTGGATAGATGTGCTTGGATCTCTAAGTTGCTACGATCCTGATTTCTGACATTGACGTCAGAATCTGCTTATCAATTCTCTGGCCTGATGAGTACAGTGTAGCTGGTGCAAGGAAGTGATTGCAGGCTCTGTGAGGCTGCACTCAAGTGCTCTGTCCAGTTTTGGTCCCTGCTGTACTGAAAGTCACTGACYTATTGCAGTAAGTTTCAGCAGGCAGCCAAGGTACTGGAGCTGCATGAACTTGGCAAGCCAAGGCATTTAACCTTTGAGGAAAGGAACTAGGCCTTTAATTACAGGCACCCTATTAGATGGAGGAACATTACTTCACCAAATACATGCTGAGTGTTGTTTTTTCACATAATGGACTAAGGAAAACAATAGAAAAGCTTCTTTTACATGCAAGTTAAATCTCTTGGATCAGTCTGGAATTCCAGAGCATAAGGCTGTGGTCAGGCATAAGTTCATTGAGGATAAAAGATTCATATTCTGGAAGTTCACAGTTGCTGGTGCCCAAGATAGCTTTCTTTGAACCTAGACCTGGAAAGCAGAAAATGAAAGGAGAAAATAATACTCATCCTCATTTTATTTGAAGCTTATCTTCAACCATCCTCTTCCCAAGTATAGAAGGGTACATTCCTCTGTGGTGTAACAGCAGTGTTCAGTGTGCCAAAATAAGAGTAATAAAGGCTCCCTACATTGGTGTTAGTGCATTGCCTATTTCTAGTTTTGTTTCTGTGCCTCCTTTTCCTTGTATGGAATCTTTTTAGGACATAGTGCATACACACAGTTTCATCTGACTTTAAACGCAAAATATATTTTCCTGAGTGATACAAACATACTTCATTACTGTTCACTGCAAAGTAATACTCATGAAAATCAACATCCTTGCACCTATGAGCCAAAATGGTGATATAAAAATTCTCGCTTTGGAACCAGACAATTGGTTTATACCTCTCCACCTTGAGGACATGTACTTGAACTTTATCACCATACCATAAAACAAGTAATACTTGTGTGATCATATTAGAGCGGTGACGTTGAGCACCACAGGTGAGCTATAAATAGGAATAAGTTGAGGAATGCTTTGGTGAAGTTAGATGTTCTCAGTTTGTATAAATCTGAAATTTTAGATGACTGAATCAATTCCAGCATCATCTGTGGCTGTTCTGAGAGAGTGAGTGAGGTGCCAGAATAACAAGCAGCTCGTGCAGTACCTGTTTTAGAGAAAATGAAAGGACAGCCTTGAGAATTGGTGATAAATTGAGTTTTCATTTAGAGAAGGAAATTCTGTAGATACATGTGAATGTCAGAGCTTGGGTGCACCTGTCGAAAGCTTGTTCCAAACTCCCAGTGGACCTCACAACACGCTTGGGGAATTCTTGCTTTGACAAACTGGCATGTAAACCAGCATGGTTGTGCATGTCCTGGATGCTGTTCAGTTCTTGTGATTGTTAGATTATCTTGTAATTAGCATGTGGACTGGCCGTGTGTGTGTTCCTCAACATGTGCCCCTGTTTCAGACAAGTCAGCTATGCAATTTTATTCCTCCTCAGTACTCCWACAAAATCTTTAATTTGTCTGTAATGTATTTGATTTTATGTGTACGTACATTAACCTATTTCATTAAACTTCTCTTAAAACAATAAAAAAACAGAACTTCTCACAGAATTTCCTGAAGATGAACAGAGGAAGAAACTCTTCAAGAAGGAAACGCCTTTGGAGTACAAACCTGGTTAGTGTTTTTTACCTATCTGGTAAATGGTTTGGTGTATGGTGTAGTGATTTTTTTTTGTTTGTTTGGCTAAAATTTGACTAAWATCTCATGTTAAAGAGGCATATTTTATGGAGTTGTTAAAGAAGACACTGAAATGGAATGCTAATGTGTGTTCAGCTCTCCTAGGTGTGATCAGGAATGTATTATGAAGCAGATGGCCTCATCCTCCCTAGTTTGCATGTTTTTGCTGTTTTGTAAGAGAAGTTTCGGGATATGTGAACTGAATTTCTTTGAGATAAAACTAATCTGGGAGGTGTTCTTGATAACTACTGTGTTGGTCCATAAATCCACTCACTCTTAACGTTCTCCTTGAAAATAAAGGTACAATTTCTAAGATTGTCTGTAAAGCCACATAGTTTGAAGCTGCGATACAGTGCAGTGCAGAAGCTACAGGGAGCTTTTTGTTCTGTGAGGTATCTCAAGGGAGGTAGATCTCCCTTTTTATTCAGAAGATTTAATCAGAGAAGAAAACATAATTAGTTTGAAATGAGTATGAGCAGACTGCAGTTGCAGTTAAGCTATTTGAGATAATGAGAGGTGTCGTCGTAGCAGAGACGGCACAAACTTAATCAGACGTGTGTAGTAGTATCATATTGCTTGAGCTGTGTTTAACATCTGTTTGTGTCTTGTTCAGGCTCGGCAGAACTYGTGTTTGTAAGCCACGTTATAAATCCATGCCACTTCTATATTCGGAGATACTCCCAGAAGAAAGTAGCAGTTGTTTTGGAGAAGAAATTGAAAACCTTTTGTCGTAGTTTGAGTTCCTATCTCTCACCTTCAGATGTTTTGGAAATAGGTAAATTAGTAATTTTTTAAGGCCTACGTTAACTCAAAATCTTGGGAGTATTTCTTAATATTTGCGTCAGAAGGCTTTCAGAAAACTGTCGAAGTTAAGTAATAATCTGAATAGACAGTGAACTTGAATATTGCTGTGGAATGTATCAGTAGTTCTAGTAATAAATACTTTTAAGATTTGGAGACTAAATCTGAGCTAGTATGTTCCCAATGCACAYGTTGGGAGCTTGTGGAATATTTAGTGATAAAGGTTTTCATGTTGGGTTTGGCCTGGTTGCCTGGTTGGGCACCAGGTTGGGAAGGAGATCTGTTTCTTTCCAGATCTCAGTAAGACAGAATGCTCACTCATTATATTTCCATATAATATAATGCTTAATTAGAATATTCCAAGACAGAAGTGGAATACAGTAAAATGGAAAATTTTGTCTGGTGCTAAGTGGGAGCTGTCTGCGGGTTCCTCTGTTACGTTAGCTGGCCAAGTTTAACGGTCAGCCAAGGGTTACTGTGCAGCACAGCCCAGGCCTGTACCTCTTCAGGTGAGCTGCTCTGGGAATGACTGATCACTGGACAGTGGCCTTCCTGCTTAGGGTCACTTCAGAGACTCTTAAACTTTTTTTATGGATTTTTTTATTTAATGTGAACTCAACTTTCTGCAGATACCCAAACCCATGAAGGTCTGGTCTATTACAGTAGTAAGTATATAAAGCCTACTAAGAATATTTCTTAGTGCAAGGTAACAGCCTCCCAGCTGTACAGGCACTGTGTAAATAAAACTGGAGAGAAAACAGACTGGTTATCAAGAAAGGTTTTTAATGTTTTTATGTCTTTATTTTGTTGATAGTGCTCTCCTACCTCTGCAAAATAGTGGAAGCAGTAGGCTGTTACTTAGAACTGCAAGAATAGCACTTACAGTGCGGAATATCTGTGCATGCTGAGTGTGTTCTGTTTTTCATTTGCTTTTCTGTAGGTGGTAGAACTTTCATTAAGAGTAAAGAAACTGGAGTGTGGTGCCGTGGAACTATCACTGAGCTAATTCCTCTAAAACGTAAAAATGCAAGGAAGCCTGGTGATCCAGTAAGATACAGAGTTTGTGATATTGCAGTGATGGAAGTATTTTTGATTGATTTTGGGAGTTCTGAAGTTTTAATTTTTTCAAGGTATGTTTACAGAGTGTGCTGTTTGTCTGTGGTTGTTACCCTTTGTAGTTTCTCAAGAGGATCTTTCCTAAGAAATAAATCCTTAATCAGTAAATAAGCTTCATGCAAGCTGATAACAAATATCCAGGTGACAMTATTTATTTTTTTGTGTAACGTTTCTCTGAAAAAAGTGGAGGTGTGTGCAGGTACACAAATGAATATTTCACACATTGAAATGCTCCACTTAAACTTGTGTTTGTTATGGAAATAATGTGCAAGTCCTGAATGTTTAAGAACAAGAAATGTGTTTTATTTAAGACAGTGAACTTTCTAGATCTATTTTATTCTACCGATTTACTAAGTAAGGTTTGGTTTTGCTCTTCTTTCAAACTAACGCTGCTTTTATTCCCACTAGCAATAAATATGTTCCAGTTGAAATACCTGAAACTTCTGCCTTGCAAATTATTGACACAGATGACATTTGCTTGTTTGTAAGAAAGCCTGATGAGCATATTGAGGCACAACTTGCAGATATCCCTCCTTTAGCGGTGCTCTGTTCACTGAAAGATATTGTTCCCAAAAATGCAGTAAGTGAAAGCTGTTCCTGCCATTTAATGAGATTGAGATTATTTTTTCTGCTGAGAATATATGTTAAAGAATTTAAATACATAATTTACAAAACTTTTCTAGTGTAAACAGAAAAAAAGGCAAATTAAAGATGTATATAAATATATTACATATTTAATATAAAATATAACTAGCAAGCTTGCGGATATGTGTCTTTAAAAAAAATATGTTTACAATGATAATATAGATTTAAACCTTTTTTTTTTAGAGATGTACTTCTATGAAGTTCAAAAATAAATTATAGAAATAAATTTCTTATTTTACGACTGATAGCTTCATGCAAATAGCCTTGAAAAATAAGTGAAATCCAGAAGTAGTGGGTTTAGTCATTCAGAGAGCCTGTTGAGTTGTCCTTTATTATTTAAAATTTTGTGCCCTGTCTTTAAAATTTCATTCATTTTCTTCTTTTCATATAAAATCCAATTTGAAACTTTCAGCCTTTCCTAGAAAAGGACATAAATTACAGCTTTTTTCCTTCAATGTTCACTCTTGTTTATTGTTTTTTTTTTTAATTATTATTTTTGTAGCTTTTTTTCTTAAATTTGCCTTCACAGAGGAATGCCTGTGTCCAACCCAGCTATGTATTTCTGACAATGTAGCTGTTGTCTTCTACTATCTTTTACCAGTCTGAGGTTATTYGAAAATTCCTTTAAATAGGATAAGTCCGGAACAAACTTCATAAATCTGGATAAAATGTTTCCTAAACACTTTAGGGGGAAAAAAAATCTAAAAAGCACAGATTTGAAGTATCGAGTGAGAAATGCATTAATTTGATTAAAGARAATTAAGTTTAGACAGGTTATATCAAGGTAGATAAAATGACACAAAGGATGCTGTGGAAAGATGGAATGTATAAGTTGAATGAACAGTTATAGCATATTGTACATTTGCCTAATGGTAGCAAAGAGAAAGAGTAACTTTCAAGTTACTTGAATCCTGAAGAGTAGCTTCAAGAGCAGAAATGTAAATAATAGATAAAGCTGCACGTGACAATTCTAGTTTGTCAAGAAAATCAGAAGAGTTTTAAAGAAAGGATGGTACAAATTATAACCATTGGATTCAATTTTATAGAATTAAAAATCTTTATAAATGCATGACCGAGAATACTGTCTCATTTTCCAGGCTGGACTAGACAGCAGGTCTCCTGAGTAGATTCCATATTTCATATGTATGGGATGTGTGGATTCACTTTCTTGCTGCCCTTCACCCATCTCTGATTTGGAAGTCCCAGACATCTTGATTTTTTTTTTTTTTTTTTTTTTTTTTTTTTTTTTTTTTCTCTTTGACACAGAGCGAAGGTTGGGGACAGGAAGCAAAGACAGAATTTTTGAAAATGGTAAATAATAAAGTTGTTTTAATGAGCATATTTAGAGAAGAAGACGGAGTGCTCATTGTGGATCTGAAAAAGCCTCCATTTAATAAAATTAGCAATAACATGCCAGTGTCTCTCAAGGATGCATTAGTTTTTTTAGACTTGGCAAGGTAAGTGTTTTCCTTTAGTTTATGCTCTCAAGTCGTGATGATTGCATAATACACTTACAATTAAGACATTTACCAAGCAAATTGCTTTTACAGTGAGAGTGATTAAGGTTAATAAATGTTCAGCAATGTCTGACCCTTACTTTTGGGTCACTGATCTYACCACTGATCATCATAATCTGAGCTTTGCATATTGTATTGCAAACATACATGTTGCAAACATTCTTGCATATTCACTTTAACTGCTGGGGATTTATTTGAATAATGCATCTTACCTCATTTTAGAAAATGACAGAAATAAAGTTCCTATACAGGCTTGATCACTGACAAGGGTGTGAAAAGATAAACTACTAGCATCCCCAGTGGCTGCAGCGTGTGCAAAAATCAGCCCTTATCCTTGGTTTGGTTGGTGTCAACCAAGGCCAGCCTGTGTGTTTGCTGTCAGTTAGCCATGTGACATGATGTATAGGGTACAAGGGGATCTTACTGGCATCAGAACAGAAGAGACCCGCTTTGCATGGACCAGTGGAGATCTAGAAGTAACAGATAGAGAAGAACTTGAGTGTTAGATTTGGCGTTTGTGTCCTGGGGTGCTGTATGTAAATCTGTAGGAAGCTAGAGTTTATTCTACTGCACACTGAGCAACTTATTGTTTATATTTACTTGTCTTGGAGACATCAGTGAGAGGCAATTTCCTCTAATAACTGCTCTTTTTTTCTTTGTAAGTGAGGGAAGGAAAATCTCAAAATGGTTTTGTCCATGTAGCAAGTTCTGTTCTTTTGCTTTAAGTTTTTTAAACAATTTAAATGTTCAGTGCTGCTTTCCAAATCTACTTTAGGGCCAGTTGCCATATTATATTTGTCAAGGGAGATTCATTACGGTAGAGATAATTGATTGCACAGGGTGCAAAAAAGAAGGTTCAGGCTGTTCATACAGATGCGAATGAACTTACTTTTTAGAGACTGTTCCACATTTTTTTTTCATACAACATTTCATATCTAAATTTAAAAAGTTTCCTGCTTAGTTAATTTTGGCAGAATTTATTCAAACTCTCTTTTTGTTGACTTTAGGTTTAGGTCACAGCTTCCCAGTGAATTAGAAAATAATATAATCTTGCAGTACAGTCCAGCTAAATTACCACAAGAAACAGAAGAAGTCTCTGTTGTAGTTTGTCATGTTAATAGTCCTAGTGATTTCTATCTCCAATTGGTAAGTTTAGAAATAAGTTTAGAAAGAAATTGCATTTTAAARAAAGGTACAGAGTTTTATTTAAATGATGAACTATTTAGTCTACAATTAAAAACTTCAAATTTCCATTAACTTCAAAGAACTTTGTAAAACACTTGTCACTTTTATTAAATGCTTAATTGCTTTGTGGGTACATAGGCTGCTGTTTAGTATCATGACTGAACAGGGCAATATTAAAAAATGATTAGATTGATTAATTCACTTTACATGTTTATGCCCTCCCTTTTATTTTGGGAAGATGGCAAGAAAGTGCACTGCTAGATAAAAGGTGCATTAAAAAAGCATGGTGAAGTTCAGAATGTTCTTAGCCTAATGTATACCTATACATATATATACATTATATTGCAGGAGATTATTTTTCTCATTTTAGATGGATAGCCTGGACTTTTTAGCTCTTCCAAAGAAAATTGAGGAGATATACAAATACGAGAATAGGGAAAACTTGGAGATTGTCTGCCCAGCTGAAGGGCAAGCCTGTATTGCAAAATATAAAGATGAAATGTGGTGCAGAGCAGAGATAATAGGTGAGGTATTGTGTTTTGTTGTGGTGGAGGTGGTGGCCATGGTGGTTTTTTTTTTGTTTGTTTGTTTGTTTTTTGTTTTTGTTTTTTTACTGTAATGACTGTAATGTTAAGTTGCAAAACTAGAAATCTCATTGTATCAAAGTCACACATTGGATAGGAATAATAACAAACTTATTTTTTATGGGGAATTTTTATACTAGCAACTAGCTGCATAAATTTCGTTTAATAGGATGTGTTCTCTTCCTTTGCTGTTAATTTTTATGTACATATTTTTAAGAACTAAGAAGCAATGCTACATTTTACTTTCTATATTACTATTGAAATTCCATTATATAAATATTCCTAATAACATCATCTCACTTATTATAATGTACAAATCTATCTTCTATATGCAGTCTCTGAGTGTAGAWTGTGTAGAAGAGAATCAAAATGCTCACAGCACTTAATTTCCAAGGATAGGTAGCAGTTCTTATGTGATATTCCTGTAGCAATTCCAAAATAGTTTGGTTTTTGTTTGTTTACTTGTTTGTTTTTAATTAAATACGTGATGTTAACTCAAGATGTCATTATGAGTWGTGTGGTATTTCTTGCTTATAGGATTTAAATGTGGATCTTGCTTTGAAACTCTTTTTTCTTTGTATGAAATACTTATTTTCTGTTTGAGTAACTTGAAAGCTTAGCTAATGTTAMAATTTGTGGATTGATTTTCCTGAAGGGCTGCCAAGTCATCAGGAGGTTGTGGTAAAATATGTTGACTTTGGCAACGTTGCTAAGATAAGTCTTAAAGACGTATGCAAAGTCAAAAAGGAATTTCTGAGCTTTCCAGAAAAGGTAAGTTAGTACCCTTCATAAACGTTCAAAATCAGTAGACTCTTGGAAGGATGGAAGGGAAAAGAAGATTATGCACATTTTCAAATACATGTTTAGCAAGAAAGCGGGTTTCATAGTTTCTGTTCTCAAGAGTTTATGATGAGGCATTTGAACTGTTTTGCTTGCAAGTTTACTTTTTTTGCAATGTTACTTGGTTTTGAATGAAATCAAGAATATTTTTTTATTAGCTTCTCCGGTTTCACAGATTGTCCAACTCAGTTTTACATTTTTTAGCTTTCAAGCAATGTTCTATTAATGCTACTGGAGTTTTGTTTTTGTCTTTGTGAGTTTCTTTAATCGCATTTAGAGTTTGAGGTCTTCTTTACATTGCATCTCGTGGAAGTGTTTTAGACATGGGCCCAATCTGGAGAAGGAAAAGGCAAAGTATTATTTTTTCTGTCAAATAGAATGCATTTAAGTAGAAAAAATATTTTTTGTCAGTTTYTCAGTAGATGATTCTGTTTGTCCACTATAGTTATACTACACTGAAAAACTTCATATGTCAWTGGGGATTTTTGTTTTCTTTTTTAACCTGTAGAGACTATCATTAGAGATTATTACAACTAAGGTTTCCAGTTACTGAAGCAACATTTAGTTGCTTACATTCTGAACAGTTCTTGCTGGGGGAAGCTTCAGTCAAAATCATTTAACTTTTTTTGGCAGCAAGGGAGAGGGAAACACTGAAAATGGTAAAGGGTGTTTGCAGTTGCAGTGCTTCGACACTTCCTGTTGGAGTGATGAATGAACAAGGGTGCTGAGTTGATGTGCAACGTTCCTTCTTTCTGACTGGTTGCTTGCTATTGCCCAAACATACACCCTCAAAAAAACGCTGTTAGGAGTTTGTCAGCCATTGAACATAAACTGTTTGATCYCCTCACTTTCAGCATAAAGGGGAAAGGACTAAAAGTACACATGCAGGAGGATAAACAGCCCCTAGGGAATGGTTTACAAAATCTTGAATCAGTCAGCTGTCAGCTTTCAGTATTCTGCTGTCATCTGTAGTTTACTGTGAAAGGTCTTTAAACCTGGAGTTTGCATGAAAGAGAACACTCTATTGCTATTAGTTCTTTAAATTTGAGTAGGAGAATGGTCTCCAAGACAAATGTGCTTATGTATTGCTATGCCTTCRTACCTTTTTGTTTTTTAACAAGAGTAATCTATGACGGCTTTAAAATTCATTGAAACATGAATGAACACAAGACTGCAAAATTAAGTGTTATGAAGGTAAGAAATACAGACTTGAAAAAGCATCATGAGCTCTGTCCTGTTGCAGGAAGCATTGACAGGTATTCATCACATTGCATTGCCACAAAAGTAAGTTGATTGGTAAGAGATTTGGATTAGAGTGTTATAAAAAAAGGATTATAAAAACTGGACTTCTTTCAGCACATATTACAGCCCTTTTTAACATACCCTGGTGATGCAAAAGTCCTTGCCAAGACTGAAAAGCGCAGAAGTGTGTGAGTTGGCTTTAGCGTCCATGGCGCTTTTCTCAAAGGTTATCAAACTTACCAGCCTGTCTCATTTTTCCTGTACCTGATTGCTTGTGGGCTAGAAAATTTGCACAAAGTATTCTTAATTTTGTTACCCTGTTTCTTTTCTCTCCTTGTCCCCCACCTCATTTACTCTTCTTAGTTTTGACATAACAGTATGTTTAAAACAAGTACTTAAAAAAAAGTTCTGAAATACTTCATTTTGTCTGACCTCCCAGCTGTCATTTTTCCTAGTTGAGACTCTTTCAACTTCATCTGTGGATTTTCTGACACAGTTGGAACTGAGGTGTCTGCCTGTAGACTTTTAGACTTGCACARTGGATAATTGCGCTATTCTTAGGTGATTTGAGCCTGTGTTTTATGTTCAGGTCATCAAAACTGGGTGGAGATTTTTCTTTTTCAGTACTTTGCAGTGGTYGTTCTTGACTTTCAGCCAGCTGTATATAGTCAGGGCAAAATAAAAGCAAGAACCTAATCTGAATTTGGGGTTCATGTCTTACCACAGGCTGTGAAAGGACCGTATGGAGAACATCTGGCATCAGATCAAGAACTAGTAATGCACAAACAGTGGCCAAGGTCACTTTGTATTGTTGTCCTATATTGCTGTCCTACACGAGCATGTTGCACAGCACAGAYTGTGATTTGATTGCAAAGGGATGGTCTAGATATATGACTCTAGGTTTGTAATTTGAATTGTTCTTTAGGCAATCAGGAGCAAGTTGGCTCACRTTGAACCTTACAAAGGAGCAAGTGAGTGGACCAGAGAAGCCAAGGAAAGGTTTGAAGAGCTGACTGAAGATAAGTTTATGCTATGTTCAGTTGTTAGTAAGTTATCAAGAGTGTATTAGTCTTCATCTAAATATTCTTCAATTAATTCAGAAATTAAAAAGTGTATTTTTGTATCTTAAATAGTTTATTCAAAATCCTTACGTTCATGCTTGTGACAGGTAGCCAGCCTGGAGGAAAGTAATAGATATGGCCTCTGACAAAAAGCTCTCTTTTCTTATGGGCCATGACTGTATTAATTGCTTTATTAAAACTAGCTCATTTCTAAGGGTGCCGATCATGCTTAAATCTCCCTGACTTCATTGGTAGTTGTGTATGTGACTCCTCCTCACTCCCTGCTCTCAAACATCCCCCAAGGTGAAGTTCAGTGACAAACCCATGTGCCTTAGGTTTTTTTCTCAATACCATTTATTGTTAATGTGTAGGYGGTTACTTCTCTACAGCTGTGGAACGATGGCCCATCTGATAAATCCAATTACATGCAGCAGTTGTTTTTGGTACATATATATTTATAATGCATAAATAAAATGTTCTTACTATGCTTGTGGGTGTCTTTTAAGCTAATTTCACAGATGRTAAAGCTAAGCCTGTACAATATAGRTACTCAGGATCAAATTATTTTATAAATCAGATAAAATTTTGCAAAGTTTGGCCTCTTCCTAACCATTTACCCTGTTTCAAAAACCATGAATAGTCTGTTTATTAGCATTGTTTGGTGCTAATTATGTTTGTATTCTTCATTCCAGAAGTTTYAGAAAATAATATTTTATCTGTTGAACTGTTTGACTCCTCTGCTGTTCCTGGAAGATGCTCTAGTATTAACCTACAGCTAGTTAAAGAAGACTTGGCATCTTACATACCTGGGTAAATACATTGTGCATTATGTGAAAGGAAAAATACATATATGTATATACACATATATAATACATATTTTGTTACATAAATATTTTCGGATTTATTCATTCAATTATTAATTTTTTAAAAACTGGTTATTATTAAGTTCTCACTTTCTCAGTTTGAAAAGTTTTTTTTTTTATAGTTTAACCTACACTTAACATAAGTCCTCCCTTTGGAAGTCCTGGGATTTGAAAACAAATACTCACATAATAGGTAATAGTAGATCAAAGCTATAGAGAATATTGGGAAGGAGATGGACAGAGAAATTTGGGAAACCTGTTGGGGGAGATAAGGCTGATAAGGAGACAGTGCAGCTGCGGGTGACCCTGCTTGGTCCAAGGGCTGGGACTGGATGTTTTCCAGAGATCCCTTCCAGCTTCAGCCATTCTGTGATACTGAGAAATGGCCGGCCTCTAAACTCATGTGGGGTGTCAGGTTTAGTCTGAGTTGTACAAGAAGCACCAGTAGATGGTTTTCAAGCTGTAATCACTTGTGTCTCTTGTTAGTACAGTTCATTTTGATACTCAGTAAAAATAGTTTGATAGGTATGAGCTGAATCTTTATTGCTGTTTTGCTTTATTCTATCCAGTTTACACCATTTAAGCAAGCTTACATGGAGCAAGTTGGCATGTATTATTGTGGCTGTATTTCATTTGGTACTCTTAACTAGGAAAGAGCTAGTTCTAGGGTGTTACCTTGTGTTTGTACCCATAATTTCAGGGAATGCTAGGAAGGATAAGTGGGCCATTAACTTACGTTCACTTCTGAAAAGAATATTAACACATCTTGGAACACAATACCAGGTTTACTCCTCTTCTGGCAGCCTGTATTGCTTAGTACTCTTCAGCTGACAGTGGAATGTACAAGGATAGCTACCTAAAGGAGAAGAAAAATAAGTTACTGTAATGAGTGCTTCAAGGTGCAGTGTTTGAAAATGCTTTTGGCTATTTGATTATTTTTTTTCCTGCTATTCTAAGTCATTATGTGTTTTACACTTTTTCCTTCTTCCCTTATCATGTTGGGATTGCAATTGGAACTTCTTTTTTTCTCACTTTGTTGACTACTACTGTAAACTTTAAATCCTAATTACTTGGCATTTCTTGCAGATATATTGGAAGTACTACTGTAGAGCCCAATGAAATATGGGATGCTCCTCTAGATGAAATTCCCGAAACCCTAGAAAATTCAAGTCCTGTAAACATGGAACCTCTGGAGGAAGTGGATGTCAAATCACTTTCTAAGAAAGAGCTACAAGTGAGAATTAGTCATGTTGTGTCCCCTAGCAAAATTTTTGTTCAATGGCTATCATCAGAAAGTTTACTGAAAAGGTACTTAAATTCAAAGAACTTGTCTAGAGTTAAGACAAACTTCAAATTTATCAAGAAATACAGATAGAACAAACTATTCCAGGTAGCATTTGGCAGTGGGGCAGTGTTGAATGCTCTTGAATTGTCTTGCTTTGAGCAAAATATAGGAATAAAAAACAGATTTGCAGCAAGTTGTGTTTCACTAAGTGTKTGTGATGCAAAATCAGGTGTGTGATGTAACTCTTGTTTCAAATCATTTTGAGTTATTAAGTGTGGGAGCCTGGCAAATGCAATATTCTTGAGAAAGACTGAATCTTACTTGTTAGTCACTGCTCCCTGTTCCTTGATTTGGAATCTGTCAGCRTAATACCAATATTCTAAATTACAAAATTATAGTCAACTCATTTCCTTTCCATGGTTCTAGTACACTGTTAGGAAAGATTGAAAGCAACTTCTGAACATGACATGTTAACCTTCCTTTGGTGTCTTAAAGCCAAACTGTAAGTAATAATGCCTACTGCTTGGAGACAAATATAAATGTCATTGTTTAGTGCAAGTTACTTATTTTCTACCAATTATTTCTCCTCTGGTTTTTGCTTCTTCGTGTAGACTGTTCTGGAGTCCCTTTAAATTAGTCATGGCACTACCTGAGGCTCTCATTCTCAAGTTGTCAAGAGAAAATAAGAGTATCAATCGAATATTGCTATACAGCAGTGTTAGGGCTTCTCAGATTAATTCAGCAGTTTTCAGTGGATTGCATCTTTTTTCAAGATTGCATCTTGAACCTCCATTTCATGTATTTCTAATATGCCATAAGGAAATGCTAACATTACTCATGTCAGTTATTGGAATTCTACTGTATGCTAGTTAAGCAGTGACTAAAAAAACATTTGTTCTTTGTATAAAATCTTACATTTGCAAAGTAATTTTTAAAATTTATTGTTAGTTTACAGGAGGAGATGGCAACTGTCTATGAAGAATCCCAGCCAGAGTATGTGAAGTGGGAGACCGGCATGTATTGTGCTGTTTATGTGTGTGATTGGAAACTGTGGCAAAGAGGTCAGATAATCAGGATTGTCTCTGATACCACTGCAGAGGTAAACACCATCATAAGGTTCAGAGTTTGATTTCTAAACTTGGGGGTTTTTGTTGTTTTGGGTTTTTTTTTTTGGAGAGGGTGGGATTCATCAATAAAAAATCTCAGTTCTTGCTTGTTGCACTCATATGGAGCTCCTAGAGAGGGTCCAGCAGAGAGCAACAAAGGTGATCAAGGGACTGGAACATCTCTTGTATGAGGAGAGACTGAGTGAGTTGAGCCTGTTCAGCTTGGAGAAGAGAAGGCTGAGAGGGGATCTGATTAACATGTATAAGTACATGAAGGGAGGAAGGGGCCAAGCTCTTCTCATTGGTGGCCAGTGGCAGGACAAGGGGAAATCGGTACAAGTTGAAACACAGGAAGTTCCATCTGCATGTGAGGAGGAACTTCCTGACTGTGCGGATGACAGAGCAGTGGAACAGGCTGCCCAGGGAGGCTGTGGAGTCTCCTTCTCTGGAGGTCTTCAAAACCCACCTGGATGCCACCCTGTGCCACATGCTCTAGGTGTGCCTGCTTGAGCAGGGAGGTTGGACTAGATGATCTCTAGAGGTCCCTTCCARCCTTGAACCRTCTGTGTTTCTGTGATATTTTCTGATACAGTGTTTTCCTTTTGTCCAAACTCTTACATTCAGTTGCATTGTACCTTGCTGTAAGGAAGRTTGCTGTCTCATGCAAACTTACGATATACTTAGCAAGGCACATGCTAGTTGAGGAAGGCTCATGGGGTTGACTTTGTGCATGGTTACAGTACACAGAGCACCATTCAGCAGATTCTCGAGCGATATCCTACCAATTCAGCTTCGATACCAGAAACAATTTGATTTCCAATTGGCAGTCACCCAAGCCCAATAATCCTTGCTGGGAGGTGGGGATGGCTGAATTAAGTCCTCACCACATGAACATCTGTAGTTAAGTTGTTCCTTGGTTCTTAAACTGACATTGATGCACTGTACCAGAGAGATGGTAACACTTCTCCCAGTACCCTCTCACACAGCGCTCCCTTAAGCCTGCATCATCTTACACCCACTTGAAATGAAGGGGAAGGTTTTGGGTTTTAGTTTGTTTGTTTTAAAAGCTGTCATTGCCCGGCAAGAGTCAGGATGGTTCTAGCTGAACACTGAGCTGAGCTTTGAGCTTTCGGGATTCCAAATATGCCCCCTTTTATCAGTGAACAGCAGGCCTGCATTAGGGCCTCTACTATTTTAGGAGCTCGTGTCCTTGAGAAATGCAATGCTTGTAGGTATGTAATGATTGCGGAGAACGTAAATGTCAGTGCTCATCTTACCTTACAGAGAAGGGCTTGGATTGGGCTTCTCAGGCCAATAGTTTTGCTGGTTTATTCTTCGTGCTCTGAGAAGCTGCTCTGATGAGTCAGGGATCTGTCAGTCCCAGTGTTCACCTGCAGCAGGTGCTTAGGGACTGCTTAGAATAAGAAGGTAGGTACAGAATGACTTTCCTCTGCCCCACTTCCCTGGGATCCCCAGTGAGAGCTGGGAGACTCCTGACTTGAAGGTGCAGCTGGTAACCTGGCAAACTTCCTCTCTGTGAGTTTGTTCTGTGGTTGTCATTTCAGTGCAGAGACCTGCGTGGGGGTGGCATTTCCTTGTAACTTCCCTCCGTTATGAATGCTGCTAATGTTAATTGTTTTAGTTTTGTTGTTTTTTCCTGGTTCACTGTATTTCTTGTCTGTAACAGGTAATGTTGTATGATTCTGGAGCTGTAAAAATAGTGGATATCAGCTGCCTAAGAACACTTGAGGAAAATATGAGGATAATGAAGACGCTGGCAATAGAATGTTCTTTGGTAGATATAAGGTAGCTCTTCTGTTATGTCTGATATGGTAATGTAATGACATAGTAATGACATAGCTACAAATGACATAAGTTTTCTTGAGTTAGCACTGATGACCTGAGATGTGCATATCATTTGCTTTGTGTATATAGAAGTAAATTGGATGGGAATTGTCATATATTTTCAAGATACATTTTTTTTCTAGGTTATGCTGCAGACTAGTAAAGCACCGACTCTGATGCAGAAAAAATATTGCGTAGGATGAGTTATAAAACACTGTAGATAACATAGGGTTTTCTGATTTCACTGAATGTTCTTTTCTTTGTCACAGAATTTTGAATGAATTGGGTGCAATAGAAGTGTACAGTAGTTCTCTCTTTTCCAGACTGTAGAAAGAGAATTACTGTATTTGTTCATATGCTGTTCATACTGGAAAGCCAAACAATGTGTTGTGATACCTTTTCCCTAAATAAAAACAGAATGCCCAATTTGCAGATGAACTGTAGTTTTCCATAGTCTGTTCCATATGGTTCTTTTAAGACTTAATTCTAGAATCATGATTCTCCCAGGATTTGRATGTTTTTGTATTTTTTGAAGTCTTCTACCGGTCCACAGTCAAATAACCATTTATTTTTACTGTTGGCTGTAATACAGGTTATATTTTTGACATTGGCAATACAGGCAATTTCAAAAAACATTGGAGTCTTAGGAAAGGGTAGGTTTTCCATGTAAGATGAGAAGATGGTCGGTGCAACCAGCTTCTCTTTTACTAAAGGAAGTTTTAATTTGCTTCTTGTTAGACCAACAGGCGGAAGCATGCAGTGGACAGCAACAGTGTGCGAATGTGTATCCTATTACCTGACTGGGGCACAAGCCAAAATAATTATACAGGTTTGTATTTGAAAACAGCAGTATTCATGAACTTTCTGTTAGGTTGGTTGGTCATTAATTTTGCAGAATATTTTCTCTCTTCAAACAATATGAATGGAACTTCAGATTCCTGGTGGCTGTGAAGGGAAAGGGTTTTTGTTGTTGTTTTTGGTTTGGGGTTTTTTTTGGTGATTTCTGTTAGTGGAGCACTACAGCAATTTGACTGCAGAGCATAAAAYGAAAGTCTTAGTTGTACGTACTTACTTACTGAGTAGTTATAAAATATATGGGGTCACTGGGTCCTGGTATCTCTTGGGGACAAGTAAGTTTTTCAGCAAGATGCTTGTGTTCTGATGAGAACAACTTTAGCAGCCACTCTATTAGTTTTCAAGTCTCAGAAACTGAAAAAAAAATGGGTCAGTTTTAGGTCCAGTGCAGWTTTCATGAGCTTTATTTATAATAGACTTCCCTCTATAAATAATTTAAACTGAATTATTATAAGGATTTGATTTATATTGTTTGTTGGCAGCTGCTATTGAGGTTTTACAGAGTGTCTGGAAATAAAAGTATTGATGAATAAGGTTATCTGAGAGCAGATTTAATGTYCCTGGTAGATGAAAACAGTTATTTGAAAGTTTGTTCAAAAAAACAGCTACAGGAAGGGGGAGGCTTTTATTCTTGTTGGTGTATTTGTTCATTTTTCTTCGCGTTATGTTTAGAGCAGCTGGTTAGATGATGGGTGCTATAATGCAAACAAAGTCTCTGTCTTCTGATCTGTCATCAAATTTGCAAGAGTCTRTAATTTGTAGTCAGTACAAATAAAATGAAAACACTTTTTTTTTTTTTTTTTAAACCAGGAAAGTGATGTGGCTCGTCCCTTGCCTGTGAAAATTCTTTGCAAAGATGAAGCAGGACAATTTATTGATATTTCAGAACACCTTATTAAAAAGGGTTTGGCTTTTAGAAACAGAAGGTTTGGACACTTTTATATTCTTTCAGACTCAGATTCAAATTGTGGTAAGCTGATAAGTAAAATGGAAGCTTCAGTTGTCCTCTACAGCATACATAGGAACAAAATACCATTTTAAGTTCCTTGAGTAAAATAGTTTTAATCATACACATTGAATATTTCAATTCTTTAAGTRAGTGGAGGAGTTGTCTAACAATACTTGTAGCAAGCATTTGCCATCTCTGTGGTTTGATTGGTTTGGTTTTGTTTGGGGTTTTGTTGTTATTCTTTGCTCTTCAAGATGTTCATGTTCTGATATGTTGATATGATTTGATTGAATCTGCTAGAACTGAGAGTGCTGATTCAGCTGGCTTGATCCCGAAGGAACATCTTGAAGTAGATTCAGAACCAGAGACCTTGGAATTAGATGATCGTAATTCAGAAGCTACTTGTGCACTAGACAGTGCTGCTCCAGAGAAGGACATCACTGTTACTGAGAGAGAACATAAATCAAACACAACAGAGGAGCYACTGCTTCCTTTAGGACTGGATGAAGTTTATAAACCCCCTGTTATACCTGAAGCGAAAATTTTTCGAGCTGTAGTAAGTTGTATTGGACATGATGGGACCATTTATGTGATTCCGGTGTCATTAGGTAAGACTGCATACAAGGAAATGTGCATATGAATTCATTTTTATATACTTCAGTCCAACTATGTAGAAATTGAACTAATTTTGGAGAAGAGAACCCCAAATTTCCCCAAGGTGGTACCTTGCATTTAATAAGCTCAAATAAGCATTCTGTCCATCCCCCAAAACAAATCAGAAAACCCAGAATACTCAGACAAGCGAATTATCTACCTTTTCTAGGAAGTATTGGRTAAAACAGCAAGTGAGGTTGTTGTTTGCTGTGTTGGTATTGTGATGCATGTTACTTCTAGTAATCGTTCATCTTACACATGTTCAGACTAGGTTGGTTTTCAAGTATTGCCTTTTTTTTTTTTTTTCTTTAGAACCAAGGCTTTCTTGTTAGTGTAATAGATTTTGTATCTGTTTATTTTCTGATGTTTGAAAAAGTTCAGTTTCATCTCACAGATATCTTATCTACCCTGATACTACATTGTGCYGTAGAAAAAAATGTTTTTTTATGAAAAAGATCGTCTTTCACTGTCTTCTGCATCTAACTATTAAATCATGTCATGAAGACTTGAAAAATACAGTAATTCCTGCTCTTCAAGACTGTATTGCTTTTGTAGTAGCTGCTGTAGGCTAAAACCAAGAGAGTGTTTTGGAAACCTTGCTTGTCTCTCAGCATCTTACTGGTCGTTTTAGGAATGTCTTATCTCAACTGTAAAACTTCCAGCTCCTTTTCTGAGATTAAAATCCAGAATTACTAATTGTTTCATGATTGCAAATACAATATTAAATTCTTATTCAAGTAATAACTTGGTTGCTAATACTAGAAATTGAACAAACCTAACTCAGAGTGTTGAGAAACATTTTTGAGTGGCACATGTACTTTATACATGCCTGCATCTAAATCTGTCGTCCTTCAGTTCATTAAAATAATTGCAATTTAAATCTACAAAACTTTTTTTTTCCCTCCTCCTCCACAGCAAACAAACTGAGCAAATTGATGAGTGAAATTCAGTGTAACTTCAAATGCCTTGGTCTTCTCGAACCCTACTGTTGGAAAAAGGGAGAAGCCTGTGTTATAAGAGGGTCAGATACTATGTGGTATCGAGGTAAAGTTACAGAGCTTGGTGGTGCTACTCTCCAGGTAAGCTGCAATTTTTCTGTATTCTACATACATGTGTGTGGACGTAAACTTGAATGCATGCACTGTGCACGTCAATTTATTTATTTTAGCTACTTACAGAATCACAGAATGGTTCTGTTGGTCATTTGGATAACCTCACTATCCAGATATTCATTCCACTTAAAACTGTAATCATAATAATTTTCCGTTCTGATTTGACACCTATTTTAAGAGTGAATTCTATTTCATTTGTCATTGTTTCCTATAGTTACTCTGTTAATGATAAAGAATCTTAAAAAATATATAAATAGAGAAAGCCTGACTACTCAGATTGTGATCATATACAGCATGGCTTGAATCATGTTTTTGTTTAGCTTCCCCATCACCACCTCCCCTAAGTGGTTACTGTCTGTTTCCCTAAGCTTGTTTTGTTGCTCAGATACGAAACAACTTTTTCTTACTAGTAGTTTTACCTCATCTCTTGAGACTGSTTCTTTTCTTCACCTCTCAAGTTCCTAAGTAAGATGCTTCCCTTATGCACAAAATTAGCCTTTTTTTTTTTTTCAGATATTAATGTTAAACTACTGCAGCTATTTGCATATAAGGTAGGATCTCTTGCAGGTCAACTTTAGAGACTGGACTATTAATCCTTCTAATCCATACGAGTTAGTTGTTCTCTCTACATTTCTACTTTGTCACATATCAATAAGCCATTTCTCCAGAAAAATCAGTTCTGTAAATGAACCCTTTCTATGGTAAACTTGATTTTTAAAAAAGAGTAATAAATAATAAATAAGAACTAGGAATTACCTTTGGAAACCATTTTTACGTAGGTGCAGTACATAGACCGTGGTTCCATTGAGAAGATCCCCCAGTGTCATCTGTATCCAACTGACTTATATACTGATGTTCCTCCCTTTTGCATACCATGTCAGCTCTACAAGACAGTGCCAGTGAGTAATGCTAAACTTGGAGACTTACTAGTAGTATTCAAACTGATAACACTGTCATATAAAGGCTAAGAGTTATCTGGGGGTATTTCTTGGAATTTTCGCTTGTGTTTGCAGACAAATTTGAGAACTCTGACCTAATAGCTGGTCAGGATCATTCCAACAAGGCAGTGTAGGCAGAAAACACTTAATAAAGCAAGCAAGCCTGCTTTATTAAGTGACTGTGTTTCAAAAAGCTGCTGCTGTTGTGGTTGGGAAAGACTCCTAGGAATGAAACCCTTGTGAGAGAAGACCCAGTCCTAGCTGGCAGGATAGTTTTCTGAAGTGATTATTTTACAGTAACAGCAACAAGAGGTGTGGCCTGCATTTCCTTATACAAAATGACCAGAAAACATAAATCTTGGTGTCCTGTGAAAGTTTCTATCATTACTGAACTCCAGCTATGCAGGAAACAATCTGCTACATTAAATTAATACAAGTTAATTATTTCAGGGTTAACTGCTAGTCTCAGCAAGTAATTGATACCTAATCACATCTTCAGATGTTAGGGTATCTTATTCAAATATGAACTGTCTTTTTTTAAACATACTGTAATAAAATAAGTAGATTATTTCAAGGAAAGCTGATATTTATTGCTGCAAACAAATTAATTGATAAACTAAGGAAGATAAGATTCTAGGCCTACAGATTAGGAAGTGAGAAAATACATAAAATGTTTTCTGCTCTGTGATATCTCAGATATAATTCTGTATATTTGGACTGTGTTTCATGTAATCCTGCACAATTCTGTGTTTGTGTATATAGTGAGGGCTGGACTGGGCAAGCAACACCTCTTTGTCAGTGACTTGAAGATTTAGAAGTTGCTGATCTGCTTTCTCTAGCAGTTTAAGTCCAAAGTACAGAATAGTAGATCATGCTTGTTGTAGATAAATGATATGTTTTCAGTGTCAATTTCTTCAATGATAAGCACATATTTGCATCTCACTCTTTTAAGAATAATAGAGCATTCCTTTTTAGCATCCTATTGTTTTGGGGGATTTGTCTTTTCCTTTCATCGAATAGATTGGAAATTTTTGGCAGCAGGATGCAGTAGATGTCCTTCAAGAGCTACTTACAGATGAAGAGGTTGAAATACATGTCCAGGTAGCTTGCTTTGTTCGTAGATGAACAATGAGGCTTACTGTTTTTCTTTAAAAATACATACATAAAATAAATACATAAATCTTGTGAATAAATAAATAAATACATACATCTTGTGAATACCAGATCAAGAAGGGTGACAATAAATATTGGACAAAACATTTCGTTTGGTCCCCAGTCTTTATGCTGACAGCATAAAGACAACRTATGCTGACAGTAAGGGTTGATGTTTGTATTTGATGTCACTGAATTGGGCACTTAGCATTCCACAAGCTATTTGCCTTAAAAATATTTGAAAAACTTCTGAATCTATTTCTAASTGATGAAGATGATTCTGGCTGATTAAAGTGATTGATTAAACTTATCAACTGATTCAGTGCTGATATTCCAGAGATGTCATCATACTCTGTCATAATCTTAATAGCTCTTCATGCTGATTTTATCCTTGATGGGTTGCCTTAGGTACYTACAGCTATTGATACCTGTGGGTACTGTGTGGTCCAAGCAGCATGGTACCATACCTGTAATTATGGTACTAACAAGAACCACAGGTTGGAGTTTTTAGCCACTGTTTTTAAAACTTCAGTTACGCTTTGTCTTGTATAAGTAGGAGCTACCAGCTGATCCACGAGGGAAACTGTCCATCAGCCTCTATATTGATGGAAAGTCTGTGTCCTCCCTCATGGCCTACCAGAAGTACTGCCATGTTGAAGGTTGTCAGGACATACCAAAGCTGGTGAGTTTGTGGGGGGGTTTGATTTGGTTTCTTCTGCTAATGTGTTTTATTTTGAAATTGAAAAGCATACTCACAACAAGCTTGTTGTGACTCTTTTTCATTTGGCAGTAGAAATTTCTTTTTCTACTGTATTTCTATACATATAAATAGCAGTAAGATATAGTGCAATATAAATAGCAGTAAGACTAAATAAAAGAGCTCTCAGGCATAAAAAAGTATACAATGTACTCCTAAAATTGTGTGGAATAGTAAAGTGCCAAAAAATTAGCCTTGAACTCCTTTCTTAAAACAGCTGCATTTTTGTCTGCATTTGTTTGAAGCATAATTAGTTTTCTCTGCTCTGCTTTTTAAAGCTTACTTTATTAAAGTAAGCTTATTAAAGTAAGCTTATTCAAGCTTACTTTAATGGAGTAGTATTTTAGTATCACTTGAACGAATTATCAGTCAATGTAAGGAAATCATTTAACTGAAATTGCTGGAAAGGCTTTTTCTTGTCTTTAGTAGGGTACTGCGGTTGCTTTCTGCCCTAGCCCATTCAGATCAGGCACACTTGCATTTCAACTGGGTAGTGCCTCTCTGGGTTAAGTTGTAGAGGGTAAACAGGGATCCTGGGGGTCCTGGAGTGCGTTAAGAAGAGCGTCTCCAGCAGGTCAAGGGGGGTGATCGTCCCCCTCTACACAGCCCTGGTGAGGCCACATCTGGAGACTGTGTCCAGTTCTGGGCTCCCCAGGACAAGAGGATTGTGGAGCTGCTGGAGAGAGTCCAGCGCAGGGCTACCAGGATGATCAGGGGCCTGGAACATCTGTCCTGTGAGGAAAGGCTGAGGAAGCTGGGTCTGTTCAGCCTGGAGAAGAGAAGACTGAGGGGGAATCTGATCAGTGTGTATAAATATCTCAAGGGAGGCAGTGAGGAGGATGGGCTGGCCTCTTTTCAGTGGTGGCCAGCGATGGGACTAGAGGAAATGGCCACAAATGGCCACAATGTTCCACAGGAACTTAAGGAAAAAGATCTTGACAGTGAGGGTGCCAGAGCCCTGGAACAGGCTGCCCAGAGAGGTTGTGGAGTCTCCTTCTTTGGAGATCTTTAAAACCCGCTTGGATGCAGCCCTGTGCCCCGTGCTCTAGGTGACCCTGCGTGAGCAGGGGGGTTGGACTAAATGACCTCTGAGGTCCCTTTCCACCTTAAGCATTCCATGATTCTATGAATAGTGAGCCTCTCAAGCCAGCTGATATTCTACATTGACTAAAGGAGGTAGTTGTTAATAAAACATCATCATTATGTTATAATAAAGCATAAACACTGCTATTTAGTAGTGTTGTGACTTCATTATTTCAGATCTATGTTTTTACATCAATAATTTGTTAAGTGTTGTTTTTGATTCCTGTAGGTGTTTGTTTGCAGCCCTGCTGATAGTGCTACCAAGGTGCTTTTGCCTTGCTGTGTTTGTATGAATGCATGAAAATCGTCCCCAGCTTCCTTGCACTTGTGTGTTAAGACATGGGGGACCTGCTTCATTTGGCAGACAGGGGCTTCAGTCTCCTTATTCTTAGCTCAGGCTTAAGCAGCAAAGAACTTTCTCATAGATATTTAGAACTCAGTGATGGCCAGTGATGGGACAAAGGGCAATGAGTATAAGTTGAAACTTGGGCAGTTCTACCTCCATATGAGGAAGAACTTCTTGACTGTGAGGGTGACAGAGCCCTGGAACAAGTTGCCCAGGAAGGTTGTGGAGGCTCCTTTTCTGGAGGTCTGAAAAATCCATCTGGATGTGACCTGTGCMCCGTGCTCTGGATGTCCCTGCTGGAACAGGGGGGTTGGACTGATGATCTCTAGAGGTCCATTCCAACCTCAGCCATTCTGTGATTCTGTGAACTAATTTTTCTACAGTGGTCAATTCTGGTTCTGATGGATGGAAACAGTTTACAGACTACTTCTGTCTATAACTGAATTCCAGATAAACCCCTTGACTGAGAGTTACTTACCTTTGCAGAGTTGAAGCTTTGTTCTTTCTCAAGTTGTTTAAGTGAATGTTGAACATAGCTGCTGTGTCTTTGAGCAAATGGGCAGTCTTTCTCAATGATGTGAATTGATTCTCTTGATGTGAATTTCTTGTTTTCTTTGACTAGTCAATCAGCTGTGTAAGCCAAGTTCATTTAACCAGCATCTGTCTGCCTTCTAAATTACACCAAAGACAGTGCTGAGAAGACTTGATGCAAAGCTGTCTTCGACATGACATTTTTAGGAGGGGGAAAACTTCTCTAGTTTATTCTAGACTCTTTCTAGTCTAGTTTTCTAGACTCTTTCTAGTCTARTTTTCTAGACTYTYTCTAGAACTTCTCTAGTCTAGAACTTCTCTAGTGCTGCAGGAGCATGGAGCATTCAGCCTAACCTATGCCAGTTATGTGCTTTAACTTAGAGTTTATTAAATAATTCTTAGATAAAACTAGAGTTAAATTAGAGTTTATTAAATAATTCTTAAATAAAACTTTCTTAAAAATAAATCTAATACCAATCCAAATTAAAACTGATAGATATGTTTTTCTGTCAGGTAATTCCTTCCATCAGAAGTTTTAAATTTTTTGCTTGCAGTTTGATGCCAAATGTGAATGTTAACTAAATCTTGTCYTGGTCTAGGAATTACTTGAAGGAGATGTCCCCAATTTGCCTCTGTATACACTGCCCTCGCTCCCTGTTCCAGGAGATACATTTCCTGTCAGAGTGACCCATCTGGTGTCTCCTAAAGAGGTACGTTCCATAAACACACAGGTATGTTGCATTGTCATCAGGCTTGTGACAATCAAAGGCAAGTTAAGGAATTAGCAGTAGGTTGCAAAATGCTACTTATTTATACTGATGGTTTTGTAGTGCAGTTGTTGGTTAAACTATCATTCGGAAAATCCTCATTTGTCTTTTTTTCCTGAAAGCAGAGAAATCAATACTGCAAGCTTCCTAATTTTTTTATCACAATTTTTATTTATTCATCTTATAAGAAAACAGGTCATTGGATTTATATTTGATAGAATAGCAGTGCTTTTTTCTTCTGACTCCTCCTTAAAAAAAAGTAATAATAATACTGGAATGTACATAGAAGTATGAAGATTTTCTGTTCATATTGGCCATTTGGATGGGGTTGTTTGTCCAGTGATTCACATTGATTTAATGTAAACCCAAAGAGCTTCCCTCTAGTATCCTCACAGACAAAAGGCTSATTGCATTGCTGATTAATTAGTTAGAAGATTCACATGCAGACTTTGAGTGTTGAGTGAAATCTGAAAGCAAGAAGTTGGTAGGGTCCCAAAATCTTTTAAATGTTAACTTGTATTGAACTTGTAAGTGTCCATTTATGTTGAACTACTCAAGAGTTACTGTGCTGGTGGATATGTAAACCAAGTAATTGGTTTTATGATACAGAAGTCAGTGTTTTTAAGTTGACCATTGTGGTCTAACTTCATTTCCTACACTTAGTTACATCTTAAAGAACACATCTCCAGAAACAGTGTGCATGGAACATAATCGTCTATTCCAACWAAGTACAACTTCCATTTCCTTGAGCCACAGCATTGCACTTATGGCCAAGTTATAAACCTGGTGAATGAAGTTTATTATTTCTTCTGTCATTAATTTTAAAATTAATCTTTGAGTTATGAAGCATGAACATTAACATTTACATTATCATTATGAAGCATGAACATTTACCAGGTAGCACAAGGGATAAATCCTGATTAGACACGACTCTATATCATATATGGGTATATTCTTTAATACTTAAATTTCTTGCATTCTTACTTTTTAAAAAGAGTATGAGATGTGGTGTTTTAGTGGATTGCTTTTTATTTTGGAAAACATATGTCAATATAAGTGTGAAATTAAGCTTAAAAGATGGAGGAAAATAAAAATGAGGGAGAAATTTCATTCCCAAATTTCCAAGATGGGAACATATGTATCTGTCTAATAATCTTTCATCACTGATGAAAATTAGAAATCTGCAAAAATTATGAGAACTTCTTCTCTGAACAGATGTATATTTGTCTTGATCCTTCTGAGAGCCTTAAAGAGTGCTCTGCTGCGGAGGCAGACGCCAAGAGCGATCTCGCAGTGGAGAGCCTTGATGAAGCCTTGAAGTGGTGCAATAAAAATGTGGATTCTCTTCCTCCTCTCACAAACTTCAGAACAGGTACAATAGTGCGTTTATTTCTGCTCTTGTTCCTTGTGGTTGTACAAAAGGCTGAAACTATTTTTGAGGAATAGAAATACTGATGTTTCTATGTACTTTTAAATAAAACTCTCTTGCAGAGTAAGAAATAATCCCGCTATTTGGTATGTTCTTACTTGCCATGAGATAGAGATTTCTGTCTCACCTTATTACACTGAACACAATAGAAAGCACTCACCTTTCTTTGATGCCTGATAAAGCTTGTGAACTGAGTTGAGATTGCAAATGCTGATAAGCTTTTAAGTCAATAATAAAATTCCTCCTTTAAGGTGACTCCTGCTGAACCTGAAGTTATATAAGTACTGCTACTAAATAGTCCAAAGACAGAAGCTGTATACAGAAAATCATATAACCAAAAGCTTAAAATTCTGTGAACAATGGAGAATGTCACTTCATTTTAGTTCTAGATTTTTATGTTTAGGTAAAAGAATTCTCATCCATTCACAATGGCTGGGCCTACAATGACATAAAACATAGGAGTCCCGAGAGAGCTTTATCAAGAAACTAGTTATTACTAGGATGTGATTCCAAGCAATACCAATCACGAGAATTGTGCTTCAGCCTTTAGACAATATTTGCCCTTTTTTCATCAGTAATATGTTTTTTATAGATTAACTCACATCCTCCAATTAGTAACCGGATCAAAATTCAGCTCAGGTTAGATAGGTTCAGGTTGGATAGGTTAGACAGTTGAGGTTAGATAGAGCTTAGGTTAGATAAGTTGGTTCATTGTCTTTCCCAAGCAATTTTCTTTTAAGTCGCATGGTTGTCATATGAGGTGCAGAAACTATATATGCATAGATTTGGAGATGCATAAAATAGCAGTATGAAGTAGGAAAAAAAAAGAAGAAAAACTAAAAGTTGCACAAAAAAATGATTTTAAAGTTTGATTACTCAGCACTGCGTTTTGAGGTTTGTTTGGTTTTTTTTTTCCCCTTTTGCAGAAATGCCTTGCCTTGTTGAATACAATGATGGTTTATGGTATAGAGCAAAGCTCCTTGCTGTTAAAGAACTGGACCCTGTTAAAGTCCTAATTCAATTTGTTGACTATGGTAATTTTTCAGTGGTTCCAGCCAGCAGGTAAATATGATTTATGTAAATATGTGAACTTACATATAAAGAAGTATATGAGTTCCCCATGCTTTTTCAAAGTTTTCTCTGTTGCAAGTACTTAATAAGCTACTTAAATACTACTAAATCATAAAATTTTGCTTTAGAGAACACCTAAATATTTACACGTCCTTGTTTAATACGAGACAAAGTGGGGATTTGAACCGAGTACCTGCTTCACAAACCCACAGGGTTCTGGGGGAGCCTTTTCTCTGTTTCAGGGTTGCTCTTCCTGTTCTGCTTTTGCCTCCTGTTTCTCAAATGAAGAGAGAGTGAAGGGGAATATAATACAAAGCTAGGATCTGTTTTCAGTAATTTCACTAGGAGGCTTTGAGGATTGAGCACTTCTGACTGCAAAGGTGCAGGTTGTTCTGCAGAGACAGCAGTTGTGGAGCCCACCCTGGGTTCCCCAGCTACCTCAGGGCACCTGCCTTTTGCCGTCCTTCCTCAGGCCTGTGTGGGCCCTGGAGTCTCCTCCACAGGCCCTGCAGTGGGGAGCTGGGTTGCCCCACAGTCCAAGGCTCCTCTCTGATACTTCACTGCCTCTTAGAGTGTTGCTGAGCAGAATTCCTCCAGAGAGCCTGGCTCAGACTGGCTTGTTCAATATGATACCAGCAGGTTTTTGTAGAGCAGCTACTGATCCTAGTTTCTAGACTTTTTCTAGCCTAACAATGAATCTTTCTGTCCCTTAGCTTGTCAGGTGACTCCACCCAAACCTTTTCATTTTGTTGCAGATTGCGCCAGATACCTTCTCACCTGCTGCACTACCCTGTCCAGGCAGTTCGGGCGCTGCTGGCCGGCCTCAGGCCTCCTGCGGGCGACCAGACTAGGAAGAGGATCCCCTATTGCCCGGAGTGGAGCATGGAAGCATTGTGGGCCATGATGGAATGTGTTGAGGGAAAGCAGCTCTCTGCTTCCATAGTTGTGAGAAACACTTTTGTCTTTTAGTTCTTGCTTGGCCTGAAATTCTTAATAGCAGTCTTAGTATGATCTCTAATTATTATTTTATCGTGAACCCTATTAAAAATAGATGTTAAGGTACCACCAATGAAGAGAGAAAATCATGTGTCTCTTTTAATCCTGTTGTCAAAAGCTTTCTTGAACATCCCTGTTACTTAAAACCACTTTCATTTAACTGCAAGGAGAAATGTTTTTTATGTTCACAGTCCCATTTGGGCTGAGAATATAGCCGCTAGAATGAATGTTCCTACTGGCTAGGCTTTGAAATTGGAACCTGTTCTGTCATACTGCTTAAAACTCTGTCAACTGCTGTTTTTTTCAGACTGTTACACCAGAGGTCACCATTTCTTTGTATGAAGATGATCAAAACCTAGTTCATATGAAACTGATAGAAATGGGATTTGCAGATTTGGATGAGTAATGTGTAAGTACATTGAATAAGAGCTACATAGTAATAGCGTTATGAAGGACATTATTTCATAAGTTGAAAGGAGAGGAATAAATCATCACTGCCTACCACATCTAGAACTCTTTACTAATGTGGGGTGGGTTTTTGTTTAGACTTAGGTAAGTCTTCTTATTTTAAAATCAGTTTGAATTTTGGGGGAAAAACACTAAAGGATAAATAGTAAGTATTTTAAACCTTTTTTTAAACATGATCCCTGCTGTGCCTCCCTCTGCTATTCCAGAAATTTATATTCTCTATAGAAATTTTGTTGTTTYTGCTTGGACATTACTGAAACCCACAATATAGTTACAGGAATCAATAGACTGAAACAGAGCTACGTTTAGGCTGTGTAACAGGGAGAGCTTTTGTTGCTAATCACTGAAGAAGATAAATTGTGGATGGGCAGCAGCGTGTGGTAACCACAGTCATGAGGAGTGTTTGATCTCCGTGTCTGGGCTGGTGGTTCTCAGACTGAGATCCATGATGCCATCATAATTTATTGGTACCATACATCTGGTCAAACATGGAAAACTCTTTAATGAAAAGCTTCACAGCATATGGTAGCTGAAAAAAACACTAAGGACTCATAACGTTGTGATTCTCATGTTTTTTTGCAGCACTATTTTATGTAGTCCTTTTCCCTTCCCTTAATTAACCATATTGATAATACACTCTAGGCATCTAAATCTTGAAACAGAAAACTGTGTGTTAACATTTTGGACATTAGAACCTTGTGATATCCTTTTTCTAAGACTGKGGAATAAATGTAGAGTAATAAATTGATAAAAGAGCTAATGCTGGGCACACTTGTTTAACTGCTTTTAGATTTTAAGAGGGTGAAGGCTTACTGCAGTGATGTAACTTGGGTTTGTGTTCCAGGTGTGTCTGGTGACAAACTTCTCCCATACTGGCATCTAATCAGGAATGAAAATTGGGCAGGGTTATTACTTTCTCTGCCTCCCCCTCAGTGCATTTCTATTACTGCTGTTTGGTGTTTTCAGTAATGTTCAGATTAATGTTTTGTGTGTTCTTCCACTTTCTTCCCTTTCCCAGAGTTGCAGCATTTGGAAGTTGTTAAAATAAACACTGATTTGCTGAACATGCATCTGAAAGTTTGGAGGTTTTTCATGTGTGTAGTCAGTAGGGTTTTCTTTATGTGCACTTATTGTACTAGTGCTGCACAYTGGAAAGGTGCTCGACCTTTCCAGTTTCCTTACAGAGAATTTTGTCTAGCAAGGAAAAAAAAATTGCAGGAACTCGGTGTAGTAAAATTGAAGCCTTAATCTTGCAGAAGGGGAGGTCATACTCCTTTGAAACAAAACCAGCTTCAGCTACTTGGTCGCTTTCTCAGAGCTCTTCAAAGCATCGGCCCCTAACCACATGTGTCCAGCTGGGCTGGCCAGGCTTGCTGCCTGGCACCAGGACAAGGCCTGAATCCTCCTTACAGGAGGCTGGGGTTGGGATTCGTCTTCCATACCTACTTGGAAGCCCTGGTACTTTCCTGGATAGTTTCCTGCGTCGCTCTTGCCTGCTTGTTCCTCCTCAACTCTTGGRCAAAGTTGCTGACTCCTCTCTGTATTTCCCTATTTGGGTATTTTTAACAGCTACAGTCTGAGCTCCTGTTGAGAAGAGCTGAAGTGAGAATGCCCCACATCCCCTATTGTACTTTACTGCCATCCTCTTTGCAGGACAAGCTCCTCTCCCTGCACACGCTGCCTTTGTGTTCACTAGTAGCTGCTGTAAATCCTCTCCCTGATCATTAATGCTTTTATTGGTAGTGTTTCTTCAGGCACTTTTACACAGAAACATTTTCATCCATGTAAATCTTAGTATTTGTTAGAAGTTTCTCAAAGTAACAGCTCCATTTGAGTACCTACTTGCAGGAGGAGGGGTGGAAAAGCCCTTTAACAGCCTTTTCACCCCTCAACAGCCTTCACCCCATTCCCTGCAGTCAGAGAAGCTGTAGCAGAAGCATGTCACCCCTTCTTGTCTTTTTAAAGATTATATAATGGTATGTGATCTTTTACAACAAATACTGCTAGAGGTGAATGAATATGATTTAATCTCTTTATCCCCTTTAGTTACAGTTATTAACGCAAATGATAAAGTGGCCTAGGTTTTCTACCCTTAATCCTTTGCCCAGTTAGGAAACTGAAGTGAGCTATAGGAACAGTGTTGCTGAATTACACCCTTGTGCTGGGTGCTTCACTCCAGCTCCCAGGAAAGCAAGAGGTTTTAATCTCTGACATTGTCACCTGTTCTGTAGTAAGAACATTTCATGGTTTTAATACCTATTCTGAGAAGTGATGTAGATCAGAGGTGTGCTGGGCTAGTGCTACTACCCTGTAGAGCTGTTGTGTGGTGTTCTAAACTGTTGCCTGTCACCTTTTCATTAAAAATTCGTAGGGAACTTAGAATTACCTAAATGGGGTCTTTTGAGCTCTTGGAGAATGCCAGGAAGCCCAAACTCTCAATAAAGCCTCTTCTCCTTAGGACTAAGCAGGCGAGCATCATCCCACTGCTGTGTGTTGGTTAACTCTTTGAGTAAGGAAGGGCACAGGTTACAACTACAGAGCTCTGCCTTCTGTAAGGAGAAAGGGAGGGCCTAGGGGAAAAAAAAGTGAGGATGAAGCAACCCTCTCAGCACCTGCTGTAATGCAGCAGACAGTACCAGGCAAAAAGGCAGGATGAGACTGCCGGTGTTGACTTTAGATRTTTCCTTCCACTTGGAGAAAAAAAGTATTTTAATGAGTATCGGGGCAGTCAGGTTCTTTGTGGACATCTGTCCTAGCCTTTTGAATAATAGTTAGAAAACTTGGGAGCTGCTGTTCTTTTTTTTTCTAATTATGGGATGAAAACAACTAAGCTAATGAAAGAAAGAGCAGCCTCTGGCTGATAGAAGAGGGAATGAAGGTCAGAATTCCCGTTATAAAAAGTCAARCAGTAAAAGTGATTCCCAATGTAGAAGGTTGGAGTTACATCAGACTTCACCAACTGAACAGCACTACCTTCGCTCCGAGTCTTTCCTTTAGACCTCCCCCTACGCACTACAGATGTTTGGTCAGGCTTCCCTGCCAGCAGAGGTGACAACCCAAGACTACACCTGACAGAAAAACACATTGATAAACTACCTCCCGAAAGGAGCGGAGTGGAGAATTTATATAAGAACAACACTGATTTATTAACACCCCTGAAAAATAAATTCACTTCAGAAAAACCTATAAACAAATATATACAACTTTAAGCTTAAAAGGAGGTTTTGTTTACAAACATGTACATTATTTTTGCTGCTAACACTTCCAGGAGTTTCTGAATCAACTAGAGCTTGGTGTCCATGATAATATTGCCATCCTTGTCCTTCACTCTTACTCTTCCCGAGATGTACTTTGTTTCCTGGTGTCCATTAGTGTACACGGTCTTCACAGTCCCATCCGGATACTCCCGTCTCTTGAACTGGGCTGTGTGCAGCTCTCTCTGGCCATTATTAAACTCTATGGTTTTGCTTCCATCTCTGCATTAAATGATTAAAAATATATATAAAGTCATATAAAGACTAGAGTTTGCTTTCAGGACAGCTATTAAATACATAAGCCCAAATGAAGTGGTTGAAAAGATAYTCAGACAAGTGTTTTGTAAAATACCATCTCAGGTGGGCGCAAAAATCAGTGTGACTTAAAAAGCAGCATGACTCAATATTTCAAATATTTACCTCATTTTTCTGTGCTAATTATTATGCTGAAACAGTCCAGGGAAGGTTAAAACTTAAATGAGGTTAGACCTGCTAGAAGCACCCAAACTACACTCTTCAGTGGGCTCTGGAATTATGCACAAACTGAGACACTGTTAGATTAAAACAGGAAAACGCATTACATGGTGTTGTATTTACACAGTGTTCACATTACACAGTGTTCTGTGTCTCCTCCAAGCTGCAAAAAAGGAAACTATAAATGAGCAAATATATGTTCCCAGTACATTTAAAAGTAAAACAAATAAGGAAGTACTGTAATGCAGTATATAGTTTATGAAGCAACATATTCTGATGTTTCTAACGGCCTGCTAAGGTCAGACTTACCGCTGAACACGAACTATTGTACCGTCGGGAAAGATGCTTTCCTCTTGCCCGTCCAGAAACAGATTTTTGATAGTCTGATCAGGGAAAGTAATCTCCTTCCTGCCATCAGGATAATGTTTTTCTGAAAGGTAGAGACAAGATGTTCGTTCATGTGTACATACRTACTTTACAAGTTACACCCACATACATACACCCACAAGTTAGATAGCTTTTTTTTTTCCTTTTACCTATTTGTCCATTGGGAAACTGCAGGACCTCTAAGCCATCAGGGTATGTAGTATGTGTTGTCTTAGCATCAGCATAGTAATAGATCTACAGCAAACAGTACATATTAATATATCTGGCCACAGATCTTGTGTGTGTGGCTCATATACATGACCACAACTGTGTATTTAAAGAGAAATGGAGAAGGTTGCATACATACCACTGTTTGGTCAGGCATGATCTGCTTCACATCTCCATTAAAGAAGGTTATAGTTACGGTTTTTGCATCAGAACTCACTTTTTTCCATGTCCCATTGGGAAAAAATATGAGGTGACAGCCATTTTTTAAAACCTTTTCAACCTAAAGAATAGGTAAGAGAGAAGTCAGTATTTGCCATCCATCACATTCTTCTCCCCATCAAGCTTTCATAACTTCTCCTGAAGAATTTCAGGATACCAAGCTTGCATTTTACCTTTCCATCAGGGTAAGCAATTTCTCTCAGTATCTCTTCAGTGCCTGTATATGCAGGTACAGATGGTACTGAAACAAGAGTCTCATTAGGAGAGATGTCCTGGAATGACAACAGTAACCAAAGCATTAACTGAATTCAGGGATTGCTTTTTATAGAGTTTTTTCTGAGCTGACAAGAAACAGGAGATGTGAGGGGAGGAAGCCTAGAACAGCATAACTTAGATTTAATGCAACTCAAAATGCCCCTAAGATTAAGCTCAGGTCAGCTATGATTTGTCATCAGTGGTCAGGGTTTTTTTTATGGATTAAAAGAGAAGACATTTCAGCATAGGGCCCTGTGACCAAGCTGACTAAAATGATCCTTACCAAGGTATGAAGCAACTCAAGAAGCTACTGAGGTCAAAACGACACCTACAGCAATTAATGTTAAAATTAATTGAACCACTTGCGAGTTTCTTGCATTTTTGTCTATATAGCCATTTTTTCTTCCTTTTCTAAAAACATTTTGCAAAATCCAAGGAGCTGGCAGCTTATTATTTTCTTTCCTCACCCAGGGGACATTGTGAATACCAAAAATAAAACAGTTGGTAATGATTACTGTATAACCACTTTCTGATTTGATAATGATATTGCTGTTAAAGAACATAAGGTTGAGTCAGCAGCTTGGTTAGTCGCCCTCTGGGTACTTCAGATTTAAGTACAAATAACTGTACTTGCACCATTTTGTTTTAGTTTTTCCTTCCTTTTAAAACCCAGTCAAGATGCAGGACTTACTTCCATGGAAGTCCTGGGAGCCTCCTCTAGCGGATCTGGTCCCATCACCATTTCATCCATGTGGTTTCTATCATTAGCAGGTGCCGACTTGGGTATTCTAGAAAGCATTCCTGCTGGGATAGATGTAATAAAGTTAATTTACACAGAAAGCTACAGTACAAGTGTAAAAATTACCTTAAATAGACATGAGGGCAAGCCGTACAGCATGCCTTTATTTCTTATGTGCAGCAGAAGTGGAAAGCAGTACATTTAAGAATAGCAAATAATACATTTATGAGCATAAGCCACATCCCTCATGCATATGACTGCTTTCAGTATATTACTCCATGTTTTATTATTCGTTATGAATAAGAACAGCTGTCGACAGCATCGGTGCTTAACTATGAATCATAARGAAGGAAAACACCTTTTGCCTGTGAGCAACCTTTGCCGTTTATCTTGCTGCAGTTTTGTGCTGGAAGAAGCGGAGATGGAACTTGGCTTTTCTGGCATCTATTGGGCAGACACTAAAAAGGAGATTAGTAAGATTTAGTTGTGATTTTCGTGGTGTTTATTCATGACTTCATACACTTCCAGTAATACTTCTCACATTTGATAGGAAGTTTGGAACAGGCTGCCCAGGGGGTTGTGGAGTCTCTTTGGAGGATCTTCCAAAGCCGCCTGGCTGCCACCCTGTGCCCCGTGCTCTGGGTGTCCCTGCTGGAGCAGGGGGCTGCACTGGGCAATCTCTAGAGGTCCCTTCCAACCTCAGCCCTCCTGTGATTCTGTTTACTGGAAGCTTTCTATTCAAGCTGTGTATTTTTGAAGTTTATTGGCATAGCCAGATACTGTAACCCAGAACAGTAGTTACAGTATTGCATTTGATTTTAAAAGAGTGGTGAACTGGCTGGCTTGCTTGGATCATCCTTAGGTTACAAATGTTCTCAGGTTAGATCCCATCCGTTCATTTTGAATTTTCAAGTAGGTAAGTCTCTAAGGAGATCAGAAGCTGCACAGAGCGAAGGCTCACAGACAGGATGAGGCATAAACAAAGTTCTGTGTATGTCACTACTAGTAGAGCCCCAAGATCATTACATTAAAGGAAACGTTTCAGTTTTGTCTTTTACATTCTAAGATCATGATTCAAAAGTCACTGTATTCACACAGACCAAGTTAGAAAATGGTTAAAAAAACATAACTTACTACAGATTCTGCTCTTTTTATCCCTGAATCTTCAGTTTTCCTCTTGTTTCCAGCAGCTTCAGCTTTCTTCCAGGCTTCTACACGAAACCTCTCCATAATTTTGACTTCTTCTTTTAGCTCCAAATTCTCATTTACTAAAATGTCTATTTGGTCTCTAAGACGTCGCTGAGTTGTTAACCATTTTGTCTCTTTTCGTTTTATATCTTCCTGTAACTCTGCAATCTGCTGTTTTAAAGCCTTAAAAAATACGTTTGAAATTTAAAAATGTGTATTTTTTAGTATTCTAAAAAGATACCAGTGGTATAGTAAAAATTTATAAGCACAAAACAGAAGTCCAAGAGACAGTGACAAAGGGAAGACCTGCTTCATGGTAGAGGGTGAAGGGCAGAAGAAGTGGTACCCAAAAAGAGGTGCCACTTTAGACTAACTATATCTACTTCATCCACGAGAAAGTGGCTTATACCCGTCTTAGCATCCTTTGCACTTGAGAACCTGACCAGCACAAATGGACAAAAGTCAGAACTGTAACATTTTTAATAGTACCTAGAGAATATCCTTTAAAAATCTTGTCATGAAAGAATAGGAAGAGAGCAGTCACGTAAAACACCCAGGATTCTGTCTAGGTTGAAGTGACATTGCTTTACAGGTCAAAGCAAGCTAAGAAATTCAACAAGTAACTATATGGGGAAAGGAAAAATCCATGTGATGTTTAATACAACTTGACTGTTCATCTCAGTTACTACCCATCCTGATGATGATGATGGGGCAAACAGAGCTTTCTCTTACAGCTCTGACATTCAGAGACTGACAAGCAAACCCAAAGCTTAGCTGTGGAAATTGTGAAAATTGTATACTATTTTCTAAGAAACATACTTAAACAGTTTTATTTTGCATTTTGATCCACTACTGTGAGTAAATCTTGCAACTTAGTTTTAACTGAAGTAATTATCTGGCAATGTGTCAATGAGCATTTCCTACTATGGAAGCAGGACAAAAATAACTGCTCATCAGGGTTTTTTTTTGCCTGAAAACTCTCAAACATGGTATTATAAACATTAAAATTCTTAACTTGAAATCACAATTTTTCAGATTAAAATTTAGTCTTCAGCCTTCTTTGAATTGATTTAGTTTTTTCTCCAAATAGACGAGAAGAATTAAGATTGGCATACCTGAATTTCATCACGTTCTTTTTTATCTGGAATTGCTCTAACTTCTGTAGTATATTTTTCAAAAACTTTACGCTCTTTTTGCAGTTTTTTCATTTCTTTCTTTTTATATTCTTCTATTTCAGCCAGTTCTTGGGCTTTCTGCTGTTGAAAGTCTGCAGTTTCTTTCCTATAATTATAAAGCAAATCCTGCTTTAGCCCAAATCTACACCAGGGTTTCAGTTAGAAAATTAAGACACTTATTAATGCACAAATTTGGTGAAAATCAATACGAAACTAAGATCATAAGTATAATCTTCTTGGGAAGATTATACTATAAACTACTACTTTTTAAGAAATAAGAACCATGACACAGCCAGTACTTATAGTTGAACAATTCATGTCTTCGTATCTTCTATTCACAGAATTTAGCAAAGGTTTGGCCAGCAACTACTAATATTCCTTGAAACAGCACAATATCTTACCTGAAAAAGTTTTATGAAAAGTCTGCGTGCAGCAACATACTACAAATGAATCAGCAGCCAACAACATGAGGCTTTTTTCCAAATCAAAGTGTAAGTTACTATAGTTTATAGGGAAAGATGTGCCAGATTTATGTCAGCAAGGATAATGACTTTGCTTTGTTTGTACAAATGACAACACTTGTAAATGCTGCAGTGCAAATCAAACCATTCTCAGTTTAGGCACACAAACATCCAACCTAGAAGAGTATAAATCACATTAATGTGAACATTAGCTTTGCAAAACCAATTTAAGGTTATGTTGTCATTCAGAACAAAAGAATACGGAATACAGAATATAACCTTGAAGAATATTACATTCAATTAAGAGAGGCTCTTAATATTATTCCTAGATTAGTACTTCATGTATAAGTAGTAAATACAGTGTAATAGTGGAGACAGAGATCAAGCAACTGATGATTGCTTGTATATATGTTCTTGAAACCCACCAATTAAATACGTACATTACAATAATACTATGTAAGTAGGGACAGAATGTGACAATCTGGAACATACTATCGAGGTGAATACACAAAAATATTTTCCATGAAAGTACCTGAGACTTGCCAAGGCGCACTCCCTTTCCTCACGGAGTTTGGTCAGAGTTGTGTTCTCAGCTCTGAATCTCTCAATTTCAGTTTCCAACTCGATTAGTTTCTCTTTCAGTAATTGGGATGGAACAGTGTTTCCTAACAAAGAACAAGATCCAAGTTATCTATACAGCAAGTAAACAACTATCTTACTTTAATGAAATTAAATTACATTATTTTAAAGATAACAATGGTAATCTTAATAAATAAATATATAATATTAAAACTAATATTAAAGTAATTCAGAAAATGACAGTATTTTTAAGCACCCTGCACCATTAACTTAGGCACTTTGAACAGCAAGTAAATAGCCATTATTTTCATGAACCTGAATATGTATTAGGAATTGGAATTTGCAGCAGGTTTTCACATCAAGCTAGAGAGATTAAATGAAAGTATAGAGGATTCATCAGAAGATTTGTTGGCTTCTTTGCTCTAACAACTTTCCTGTTCAGTACCAACTTACCTGCAGCTTTTATGGTCTGCTCTTAGGCAGGCAAGAGAAGCACCCAAATCTCACCAGTGCAGCGTGGCTAGTTGCCATATAAGTGCTCCTGAGCATCAGTAAAATACCTACCCTCCTGCTCCCTGCAAATAAGATCTACTAGTCATTTTTAGACATCCTGCAAAATAAGCTCTCCAAAAAATATACAGAAAAAGCAATTTTCATAAGAAATTTTCATTGTCATAAAGTCATTAAGAGTCTTTGGGTCGAAGCTTCCAATCAAGCTTCCATTACCTCCCAGAGGAAGGATTTCCACTTGGGAACAGATTTAAACACCAGGCTTAACGCTGTCAGGCTCCTATTGAACAACGGCAATTTTACCAATCTTGCTGCTGCAACAGCTTCTACAGGAGGTTTCACAGGCAGCCCTTCCCCAAGCTATTAACCTTTCATTTATAAATAGTTGAAATCAGCTTGGGCAGAGCAAGAAAATGAATGTGTCCCATTTTCCATGTGAGTTCTGTACTGAACTGTTAGCTGAAAACAGGGGAAGGGATCCCCATGGACTCTCCATGTTAAAAGAGAATTTATCAAATTCCATGATGTTCTCTTTATTTTCTATTTTGTTGTTATAACACAGACACCCCATATTGTAAGAGGAACAAGAGCTCCCAGTGCCTGGCGTTACCCTACTGTGGTATAAATGTGCTCTGCCATGGAAAAGGGAGGTCCAGCTTCATCTTCTGCATCCTGTTGTTGCTTCCCGTGATTTAGGAGCAATGATTAAAGCAGCTTCAGGTTATGACAGTACAATGTGCTGGCCTGGCAGAACACTAGCCCTCAGAAAGAAACTAATTTGCTTATAAATAAATAAATGTTCTCTGTTCATACTCATTCTGCAAGCTGCACAATTGCCAGATCTGGCACCAGGATAAACAGCAGATGTGCAACTGGGAGAGGAGACCAAGGCTCAGGGGACCGTTCCCTCCAGCAGAAGTCCAGGTTAAGGCCTTTTGGTATAATGTTAAATTGTATCTTACATCTTAGAAAGAGCATTCCCTCTTCGCTATTTCCTACCATTTACTCTTTTCTCACCTCCAGGCTTCTGTTCCCCATTTGTTTTGATTTCCTGCTCTGAAGGAGAGCCTGTCTTCTGTTTTGGTTTCAGGGAAGGAAACAGTTTCATCATCAGGTTCGATGCAGGAGGTCCGTTAGAATCACTGTCCACTGCAGGCTCTTCAGACGGTTCCTCTCCTCTCTTTGAGGCAACTTTTCTCTTCATTGTTTTATCTGGGACAAAAGCATCATTTTTACAGGAAAATTCTGCCTGTAAGGGCRTTTTAATTGTACATTTTTCAGGTAAATCATTCTGAACAAAGTTTTCATCAAGATCACTCCATGTTCTTTCATCATCAAACTCAAGTCTGCCCCTGTTTAAACCAGACGTGCTTCTCTGACAGTCTGAGGCTCTGCTTGGCTTTGACAGGGCACTGCAGTCTTTGTCTGGCGAGTCAAGGTCATTATCTCCACTTTTCCTTTCTCTGTTAATGTTTGTAGCAGAGCCTCCATAACCAAAAAGTTCAGGATCACTTTCTCTATGGCTCGTAAAAGATGTATTAGCATCTTCACTTTCACATTTTAATGTGGTCTCAGATTCTGTCTCTGAATCTGTAGTACTATCACTATTTCTTTCATCCTTATCTTCAGTCACAGTCCACTGAGTATTTTTTAGAGCAGGAACCACTGTCATGGAAGAAGCTGAAAACATTACACTATCTGTTTTATTGAACTGATCCTTCAGTCTCAAAGCTGTTCCTGAAGCTGATACTGTATGTAAAACCGTTCTGTCATTTTTATTTCCCTGTATGTCAGAGTTTGCCTTTTTATTTTTCTTATTTCTAAGTTTAACAGCCAATGCATTTCCTTGCTGCTGTTTTGTCTTGATAGGTGTAGAAGACATTCTGCGTCCTTTTAAAGTCTGCTGATCTTGATCCAAGAGCCTTTGCACAAATGAGGAATTACTCGAGAAAGATATTTCATCTGCAGCTTGTTCTAGGAACAAGAATTCATCTAATTCTAGATTTTCTTTTTCCTTCTCTTTTTCCCAGTTTTCCAGCTTATTCTGAAATGAAACTTCAAAAGACTGTTCTGGGCCTCTGAGAGAGTGATTTACAGAACACTTAGGATTAGAAGAGGCGCTGGTCAGTTCATGGTAGAACTGAGGCTTTTCCATGTCAGTGAATTTGTTTCCAATTCTGTTGCCCATGTTAGCGGATTTACCAAATTCCATGATGTTCTCTTTATTTTCTATTTTGTTGTTAATTTCTGATGGGAAAGAATCTCCCATCTGTCGATTAAGATTCTTTCCTGTTTGCGCTTTTGTTTCTAATGGGAAGGTATTTTTTCCACTGTGATTCTTGAGTACCAGGGTTTTCTGAATTGGTTTTACTTTACCAGACTGGTTATATTTTTTACATGGCACAAAGGAGCTCTCCAAAATTGCTTCTTTACTAAGAGGCAGAGTTTTCTTCTGTATCTGTGATCTGTCCTCTGCAACGCTTTGTTGAGGTTTTGGGTTGTTTTCTCTAAGTTTTGTCATTTTAGATTTGGCACTAGTAAACCTTGTTAAACCTTCTCCTCTTTTCAGGAAGGGTCGTTTGATCACTGGTTTCTGAATGGTTGATCTACTTCTGTCCTGTAAGCAGGTGGGGGAAAAAAAAAGGGGGGGAAGTGTTAAAAGCCCCTTACACAGTTTAAGGCTTCTTCAAATAATCCCACATATGAGTAGGTACATAGGGTGTGTCTACTAGATTTCAAAAGACCTATTAAAACAAATGAAATAATTGGGAGTTGTTGTTGTAAAAAAGTAAATAAATTATTATTCTTTACATATTGTGACAAAATATTTAAGTTAAAAAAAAAAATAAAAGAACCTGTACATCTTGGTTTTGCTTCAGACGCTGCTCTTCTAGCTGTATCTGTTCTTCCAGAAATTCTTCAAATGTCCGTTTCTTCTCCTGAATCCCAGCTTTAATAGGCCTGGTGCAATTCAGAGCCATGTCTTACATTTTATATAAAATAACTGTGTTTAAGATCATTGCTATTTACATCCTTGCTGTTTATAGACCTAAGATCTAATTACACAAAAGATGACACATTATGAAGTACTTCAGCCATTAAGTGCCAAAGTTACCCCAAGAAATGTAATATACCCCTGCATTTCTGTCTTTTGAGAATGAGTTTATCAAATCCTTGCCGCAATAGATGATATATACAGAAGATACTGTATGCAAGTTTTGTTGTTCCATCTTTCAGTGCTTTTCTCAATGATACAGTCATCTGCTTGAACAAAACTTTCACTCTCATATTAGTCATGTTGGCAATTTATACAAAACAGTCATAATGCTGATTCACAGTAATGCTACTAAGATAATGTTCCTTAGATCCTACTTTGATTAGGTCCTCCTACTCCTTCATATCTGGAATAACTATTTCTTGGCTTTGTGATTACCAGGCAGCCAAGGCTGAGCTTTAAAACAACTCCAGGCACTATCTTTACTCCAGGAACAAAGCTATTTCCATACAGGAGAAGGCTTCTCCCACAAGCACTTGTTACTTCCTGGCCATCCACAGCTGCTTATAACAAAACTCCTGGTAACAGAAGGGGCCTTAGACACCTCCTTCACTTTCCTTCTTTTCCCATCCAACAGTGGCTGTAATTAATCAAGCTCAGAGTAATAATTGTAACTAAGTCTATACCAAATGTGTTTCTAAACTACCATTACCTCATGCCTCATGCTCAGGTGTCATACCTCATGACACCTCTATGCCATGTCTTTCACCGCACAAATGGTTTCAAGCTAGAGCCTCTCTTAAACTGCTCTCTACAGTGTCTAGCAAAATGAAATCCTGGTTGGGAAAGCAATATAAATTGAGCATTTTAGATTCCTACAATCAGGACTCAGAAATCAGTCTAACTAATGTTAGTCATTTAATAAAAAATACATAGAACCAAGACCTTAATTACCTTTCTTCTGTATTAGTCGCCCGTATGTGGTTTTCTTCATTGGAATTTTCTGAGAAAGCTGCATTTCCAACACAGATGTGATCCACGTGGCATTCTTTGCTCTCCACTGATTCTTCCATCTTTTGTTCTGGATACCACATGCTTTTTCCTATAAAATCACAGAAGACTGTAATTTTTTTTTTATCATAAAATCATTTTTTGCTCTACTTTTTACAAAGCATTCTAGTTTTACAAAGCATTTACCAAGCTATCCAAGATTTGTCATTATTTATCATTTTCACAGTCTTTATCACACACAGGCCTTAACAGCAATTGGTAAACCAGCCTAAAAATTTCACAATAAATAGCTGCAAATCATTATGCTCATTACCTGTCAGAGGAAAAAAAAACCAAACAATCTTGCACACCAAGTTATGTTAAAAAGGTGCATCTTTCAACAAATGACTAACCAGTGGTATACTTGTCTTCTTCATTGCTTTCCAAGCAATTCTGCATTTTCAGAGGTGCACCCAGACTTTGCTTCTCGCAGGCAGACACTGCTGGAAGGCTGCTGTTCAAAGATGAGATACATTCCTTGTTGTTTATCTTCTGTAAATACCTACTGTCCTCTGTCTGTGAAGAAACATTATTGGCAGCAGCAGCTCGGACTTCACTGTGGTTCTGATACAGAGATGATGGAAACTGTAAAGCTGTCAAGCCCAGTAAGTGTCCAGGTCTTACGTTTTGACCTTCATCAGCTAGAGCAGAACCTTGAAATAAAAAGAAACAAAGGTCTCTCATTGTATTATTATATCACTACTATTCCAAAAAGAAAAGAAATGGCACTGAAGAGCAAGACTGATTGCTCATCCTTATAGTCTGTCCCTATATTACTGATAATATTTCCTCATGAGGCAATCTGCTTTCTGCTTCACATAGGACTAATCTCAAAGCTACCTTTCTCAGGGAGGCAGCATGAMAGGATGGTAGTCATTTAAGTAGACATGGACTGATACTGCCAGCAAACAAAGTGTCCCTGCTCAGCTGACTGGTTTATTTATTTATTTTCATTCCAGTGCTGTCCCCTCCCTTTGCACACACACACAAAAACAACCAGAAAACTGTTTCAGGTTTTAAGTGTTTGGTTTTGGTTGGTTCATTCTTTTTTCCCTATTTTATTTTAAAGAACAAACAAACAAAAACCCACAACACAGATCAGCTTCCCAGTCTGCTTTACCACCTGAGCAACTTGTACTGCCCAATCACAAACAGGGAACGGGCTAACACCATCAAAAATACTCCTAGAAAGAGCTAATCAGAGAAGACAGGAGCTGTTTTATACTGTCTTTTATATTTAGACTAAGTTCTTTGAAACAAAGGCTCCCTCCATGTAGTGTGTTTATTAAGGTACAATTGCACTCAGCATTTTACAACAACAGGATATTTGGATGCTACTGAAGAAGGAATGTTATCAATCACTGAAATTATGCAGCATTTATCATTGACTAATTAGGTAGTCTTAAGATGATACTTACATGATATACTTTCACATCTTAACTGGAAAATGAAATCAAGCTCCCCACTTTACTCAGGGCATCTCCTCTGCTTTATTTCTCAACTTACCACGAACTGCTGATACCATACTAAGTAGCTTCTGCTTCTCWTCCATAAGCCTTTGAAGTTGTTCCATCTGTTGTTTCTTCAGCTGTTCCTGTTTCTGTTGTTGTAATTCCTTTAGCTTTTCAAGGAAAAAAAATACAAATTTACTTAGATATATCTCCAAATAAGTGTTACCAAAACAACAAGTGTATGCTGTTTCAAAGATGTACAATTAGACAAGTGAAATATGAAATTAAAAAATCTAAAAACACGAAGCGCTATCCTGAACAAAACTGTCATTTTTTTTAATCTATGAATGCTGTTTCCAGTAAATGGAAAAAACTATTTCCAGCTTATCTAACAATTCTACTAGTCTTAAGACTTGATAATTTCTCTTCAAAGATGAACATTAGAACCAACTAATATCCATTATTTAGTAAATGTTGGATACTACTGACATTATTGGAAAAGTGAATAGATTTTCCTAAATGTAAAAAAACAGCAACAACATCAAGCAAAAAGGATAGGGAGGTTAGAGWGTTCTTGTTTGCCAAAAGCAAGACTTACTGCAGTGTCTCTTAATGTTTTTAGATAACACTGGTTATTGGTTTGGCAACCAGCGAGAGCTAAAGCAGACACAGCCAGTTACAGTGACTTAACTGGCAAGATCACTGCAAGAGGCCAGGTATGAGTAGGAAGGGAATCAATCATAGGGTCATAAATGCAGGCTTTTTGGTGCCAAAGTCTTGGATACTTCATTATATTCAACACTAAAATCTCTCAACATCTAAGCAGAGCCTGGCATATGGGTGCATATACCTATTTTGAAAGCTATTAGATGTTCCTTGGTACGTTGCAAGGACATACAACTACACTGCGTTCCTCTGTGATTTTCCAGTGTACTGAAATATTTGGACTACCTACAACTGTAATGACCAGCATTAGCGGTCTRTTTTGACAGCTTTGAATGAAATAATAACAGATTACTCTAAAACAAAGTTCATCTTTTCAATTAAAAAAAAAAAGCTGACAACATATACTCTGCCAGCAAATACACTTTCGTTATTGAACTGGAATACATGTCAGCTGAAAAAAAAAAAACCCAGACATTAATTAGGTCTTCAATAACRCATGAGAGGGAAAACAACAATCTTTATTCATGCATAGAAACTTGTGTTTTAAGCAGCATCTGTTTTATACACTGTAAAAGTTTTGCTTACTTGCAAGCATGACAAGTCATGTGCAGGATCATATGCAGCTAAATATTAGCTGGCCTATGTSAAGGATTTTCCAACTTTTACCTGGTCAAGCTTTTGTAAGAGTGGATGATTGTAGTGCAGCTTATTCTGCCCATCCTCTTCACCATGGACAAATGCTATTTTAGAGGCTTCTAAACTATACAGTGCTGCTGGAAAAGATGTTTCATTGCTGTGTTCCTGAGCTCTGCAAGAGCTACTGGATTCCGGCATTTGCTCTTCACACAAGGAGTCCTCACTTATAGAGCAGYTGTTTGAAAAATGCAGCACTTCATCATCATCAGCTGTGATATTTTCATGTCCAGATAACAGACTTCTTTTGTGGATTTTCAGCCCAGGAAAATTAGGATCTAATAAGACTCCAGCACGGGAAGTGTCAGACATCCAGTGTGCAGTGAAGTTCGGTTCACTACAGAGATCTTCAATGGCTGGCATTTTGTATTCCAGCTTAATGATGCATCAACAAATAACAACAATATAACATCATCTAGTGTTAAAACACAAATTATCTTCTTTTTGCGCCTGGAAATTAAACAGAATAAGAAGTCTTCAATGATAGATCCTCAAATAGAAATTTACTCTCCTATAACCACTATCTACTTTTCCCTTAGGAAATAAAACCARTTTGGATCACTAGTAACAAACACTTACTATAAAGGAAGTTAACACACTAACTTTCAAACTTTAATATTAACTGCACTYAATTAGGAATTCAAATCTTACAAAACTTTTCACAATATTCTATTCAACAGCACTGGGATGGTTCAGAACTTTTAAAAAGCATTCACAACAGAGAAGTGGGAGAGAAACATTTTAAGGTGTTGAAAATATACTTCCCTCACTGGACCTTCACATCAGTGTAACTCTTAAAGTCTGCCTACGTGCAAGGATTTTACTGTGTATACATCACTGCAGCACTTAGCATCATTTTCATGCTATCCTTGGTTTCTCATAGGAACGCCAACACAGCACACATTTTTTTTCTTTTTTTCTTTTTTTCTTTTTTTAAGTACAGAAACATTTTAGAGACTGTAAAAGTTTCAGTGATGATCAAACTCGTACTAGCTTCGTGAAGCAGTATGGAAGTCAGGTAGCTAAGGAGCCTGCAGTGACATCCCACTAAGGGCAGAGGCAGAGCCAGCCCAGCCGCTCAGCACTGTTGGCTCTAAGAAGTCCCAGGGCAAACAGTGGCCTCCAGGCACACATGGTGCATCCTAAGGAATGCAGGCAGAAGAGGGGCCAGAGAACAACGGACCATCAACCATGGGAAACCATCATCAAGAATTGTGTGGATGAGGAAACAACATTTTCAAGTTTGCTCATTCCCAACAGAGGAGTCCATGCCAGCTCTTAGTTCTCCACACCTGCTGAAGCTGTAAAAGAACTCAGTCTGTCAACCAAAGCTCACCAAGGCAGCAACCCGAGAAGCAGCGGAGCAACCTGTAACTAGGGGAGGCAGCGAGTTTCCCTCAAGGGAGGTTTTCAACCACATTCCGTTTCCAGACACCCCCTGGGACTTCCCCAGCCAGGTGCAGATACCAGATTTAAACCTGCTGGGCTGTAGTTAACCCTTTCATGTGTGTCACCTTTCAAAGAATCCTTCAAGGGAGCCTGCAGGCAGGACAAGACACAAACTACTCTTAGATCACGGCCCACCAGGTTTTCACACACACAAGCTAAAAGACAAACTCCTAAAATTTTACAAACTCTCTGATAAAACCACGACCTACTTCTCCTAATGTAGCTTGTCCTAAAGCTGAAAGGCAGCAGCTCCTTTGTGCAGACCAAATGTCTGGCGGGGCCGAAGCTGAACCGCAACTTTCCAGGGAGGGGAAGAGAGGATCCCTAGAAAAGAGCCGCCCGAGCGCGGCTCGTGCGAGGAGCCGGGACACTCGGCCCGCCGGATCCCCCTTCCCGAGGACACCCCAACAACGCCGCGACCCCCGCTCGCCGTTACCCGCACCCGCCTATTCCAAACCTGCCGCCATCGCACGGCCTCCGAGCGCCACAGGCTGAACAGCGCCCCGCGCGGGGCACGCTGGGAGTTGTAGTCCCGCGCCGCAGCCCGCCCCCTCAGCCACCGGCGGGACCTGCCGCCTCTGAACTACAGCTCCCAGCAGCCCCCGCGGCTAAGCGGCCGTTGGTGCGCTCCAACGGTCCCGCCCGCGTCCCTCTTCCTGCTCGGGGCCGTTAGAGGCGGCGGSAGCGGCCTGGGACGGTTTCGCTGCGACCGCTCAGCCCGTCCCGCGCCCCGGGGCGGCCTCCCAGGTAGAAGCGGCTCGTGTCGCTGCGGGGTGCCCCGTCACGCCGGCTGCGCGCAGTGTCGCTCGGGGCTCCGCTCGCCTTCACCGCCGCTGCTTGTACCCCTTTAATCTTTAAATAGCCGCAGTAGCGAGGAGCGGCTTCCTAACGTCTCGTGCCTTTTGCGTGTGCTCCGCCTTGTGGAGTTGTTGTTTTTCCTCCTCCAAAATCGATGCTTTCCTCTAAACTCCAATAAAAGGCACCGCGTCACCCGCTGAAGCGCCCGCTGCGTCGCTGCAGTCAAGGCTGCAGTCAAGGTCTGCTCTTTCCTCCCGTGGGCAGGTTCAGAGCTTTGCTCCGGGCTGGCTGTACCCGTGGCAGCGCTTCCCCTTGCCCAGTGCTATAATTCCACCTGGTTCTTCCTCCTAAACCTTCTGTCATCTTCCCTGCACGTTGATTTTTGCCAATTATGTACTTTCCTATGTGACTGTCTTCAAACTGTATYTTGCCTCAACAACATGAAGCGGCTGTGAAAGAAAATGTGAGGGTTTCTGTCTGTGCCTTTTAAAGGCAACATTTTTAATTATTTTGACATTTTTATTATGAAGGTGCAGTAGAGATTTGTTTCAGTATTTCTGCAGACTGAAGACCCTAGGACTCCAGATTATTTATGGACTATTTTTGGATGAGAAAAAGTTCTCTGTGGCTCCCTCTGCATGCTAAAAATGTAATCTGTTGCACACATGATTCCCATGCTTGCTGTTTGATGAGGAAGTGCAAGCATTTAGCGGCAAATAGATGCTTAATTCTCCACCAACATCTCCAAGATCTCCACCAACATTAAATTGTAAGAATTAAGCCAGCAATGACTGTCAAGAGGTTTCCTTTACACCATTAACTTCCTTACCTGGTGCTGCCACAAGAGTTTACAGTTTTAAAAGTGACTATGAGCTGCTCATTAATTTTCAACACTCAGGTTCAATAGCACAATCCCCCGTTCTGAGTTTGAAGGTTTTACAGTTCCAAAAGAGAAAAGCCAAAGGCTTTGCTAGAATTCCCGGAAAGGTTTGATTCCCCAGGGAAACAGGAGATAGGGTAGTACTGAGCAGTGAAATTCAATAAAATCCCCTTCGCTCAAGGTAGAGGAATATTCCTAGGAGCAGACTTGGCGCTTGTTCCAGCTCCATTTCCTCTCTCCTCTGGGGTATTGCAGTTCCAAAGTCCACCTGCACTTTGCAGTGGCAACTTCCTCATTCTTCCAAGCCTGGGGAGGGCTGTTACCTGAGCTACCTGTAGACTGTAGGTGTTGACTTGTTTGACACAATTGGTGTTGCTGCCACYTTGGGCTTCCTACAGCGTTTGAGGAACGAGTATGCCCTAGCCCTTCATCTCACACAACAGCCGGCCTCTCCAGTTGTGTCTCACGCTGTTGGGGAAGCAGGAGGACCCTGCAGCGAGGGCACCTTCAGCAGCTGAGTGTAGGTGATCTGCTCAAAATCCAGAGAGAGGAGTGGGATCAAGGAGCATTTTKTGTCTGCAGTGCAGAAGGCACAAAGTAAGTGCCTTTACTTTGCAGATGGCTCCAAGAAAATTAATTTGCCCTTCCCTCAAGTTTACACATTCGTTTCTGCTTACTGGCTGGCTAATGTATGGTCTGTTTACAGATTATTCCTCAACAACTTTTCCTTTGTAATGAGCAGCATAATTATCATAAGCGAATTGTATATAAAAAAAAATCATGGAGATTTTATGCTTCACGTTGCTACCAGTTTCAGGTGTTTCTGGTGTTTCAAAGTGAGATATGGGAGTGCTAGCAGGATCAGTGCTTGTAATAGCATGTATTTACTTAATTGCCTTTCMATAACCTTTCTTCTTACACTATGCAGATAGAATTCAGTATTCCCTGGGGAGACAACTTTTGTTAAAACTTTAAATGTGGTCAGGATCTGCTTTAGAGAGTATATTGAGAAAACCAGTGCACGCAGAGGTCTGGCAGTAAAGAGGGAGGCAGTGCTGAGGTCCATTCTGTTGTTACTAGGGGAAATCTTTGGTAATGGCACATTTGCCTTTATTTGTATCCCAAGTTAATGTATCTTATTTGTGACAAGATTCAAAATAAAGGTTGTAAAAGCAACTTAAACTATGCCTTAGAGCTTCTTTAAATTAGTTTTCAACAGCAAGCGACAGTTTTCAATCAACTACAAGAAGATTGATTCAAAAGATTTTTATTACTGCAGATAATACTACCCTCTTAGTTAAAATACAGAACAAGAGTTGTTTTTCCTGTGTGAGCAGAGTATGCTGCTGCACCAAAAGAACTGCTAATTTCTGAGAACAAAAGAACAAGAGCCATGACGTACAGGTTTATATACTTTCATAGGCCCTTTTATCAGGGAGTGCCTCCCTGATCCCCTGATCTACATGTATGTGTGAGAAAGACAGTGTTGCCAGTTCTCTCAGATGTATAGTGTGTTCTGGGCCTTCTTATAGACTCTTTCTGAGATCACATTGTACAGATTATAAATCCATGTTTGATGGTGTTCATTTTTCTAGGCTTTCCTGAAACTCTAAATTCAAATTAATTATGCTATTCTCCCCCTTAGGGTAACTCCTTTCCTCAGCTTATCATGTAGTTATTACACAGTAGCTGGTGAGGGTGTTGTTTTATTTGCTGCATTGAAAAACACTTTTTCTTGCATTCACTGAAAATCAAATACACCCTAGAGAAGGAAAATGGGCTCAGTTCTCAAACGACATCCCACCCTCAATTACCACAGGTTCCCTGGTTTATCTGAAGCCTTATGCCAATAGTTGCTGTGCAGCTGTGGCTTGGCAGAGCCACCTCTGCACTCGCACTGTGTCCAAGTTGGTTCTCACCAGCTGTGTTAGTTGGTTCTCTCCCCACTCAGGATAACTGAATCTTTCCCCAGAGTTGGTGTGGAAGCTTTGTTGATGTATTGGGGCATTTAGACCAATACTAGTTTTTAACCCCAAATTACCTATTAAATAATTTAATGGTAGSCTTCGTTCTTACTCCAAATAAACTGCTAAACAAACTTTTCTAATAAACATTTGCTCATGTATTGYTGTGTTTAGTGTGGAAAAATGGAAGGTGGAAAATGGAAGTGTACTTTTGGATTGTTTCTGCTTTCCTTTTTGCAGTCTTCCATGAAAATGTTTAGTTCTAGGACTCAGAGGCTTGCTCAGGATTTGCAGTGTGTGAGATCACTCATTGTGTTGGACAAAGGTCTTTATTTTGTATTTTTCCGTTTGAATGGCCTGCCTATTCGGGCTTTTTTGGCTTTACATTGCCTTAGCTTTTCCAGAAGCATTTTCTTACTTTTCTGCCTCATTCTATGAGTCCAGGATGAAGTTGGAGGAAATAGGTATTCTGAATGGCCAGTTTTGTCCAGGCGTCTCAGACAGAAATATTCGGCAATAAACCATGGTGAAAAATTTCTATCGAGTAACTTTTCCAGAAATTTGAAAGTTAAAATAAACACAAAGTTTTTAAAAGTAGCATTGATACTGACCCACTGTCTGAGGTACAGACCTCATGCTTAGCCAGAGAATTACCAGTAAAAAGAATTCTCTGACCAGAATGTTTTATTTTACACTGCATACGTTCTGCTCACAAGCAGCCAGAAAAATAGATACGTCATAAAGAYACATTTTCATGACTTAAGACACTGTCTTTACATTCTCTAATCATAATTTTGACTTTTGATAAACTAAAATATTCTCAGCCTCCCGTGTTTTAGTGTAGTTTGTCACAAATAACACCCAGCCCATTTKCACTGAAGTTGTTTTGCAGACACAGTGGGCAGGCGCTGCTAGGGAAAGAAGCCACCATCTCCCTCCATCCCTCTGCAGGTTATTCCCTTCCAGGGCCTTCCTTCCCCTCCCAGGCTCCCATGTGAATCTTTGCCCTAACCTGCAAGGTGAATTAAATCAGAAAATAGATCTGGATTAAAACTAACATCTTTTTGGTTTGTTTTCCTTTTTTCCCCCCTRTCTTTCCTCTATTTGCTGTGGATCATTTATGCATTTTTGTGTTTTGTGTTTATGGATTGTATACATCTGTGAGAGGAAACATGAGAAACCATTACACTCCTGTGGTGTTGTCTGCAAGGGGAACAGAAAGATCCTTCTAGTCTAAAATAACATAATTCCACATTACTAACAATGGGTATTAGCAGCAAGAAATCAAGACATGAGCTTGGCCGTTAATTCATGCAATGACTTTACTGAAAAACTTATACTGAGTTTTTCACGGCTTTTARCAAATGAATAAAACTTATTAAGAACTATTCTTGGTGGATCTGATTACCATGCTAGTAAAATGCTATTTGTTTGTATATTTTCTAGAGTAGAAAAGAGAGCATTTGGTAAAAGATGACTTAGATGGATAATGGGAATGAATGCTTTCTCAGCCCCCCAAAAACTATTTCTTTTTTTACCAGGAAGGAGATGGCAATCTTTGCAAACTGCGTGTTTTTTATAAAATTGAAGCACTTACCTATTCAGGAGAAGAATAGGCTGAAAAAATGCATTAAAGAAAATGGTGGAGTAATTAATTTTTTGCTTGATCAAAAGGTATGTTGCTGATTTATTTCTGAGATCTCTGTTGGAAAATATCAAATAGTATTATGCATTGTAGAGTGCTGGTCTCACCTCTTCCAGAGAAGTCATAAGGAATACAGAGATTATTTCTGTTTAATATTTTAGTAAAAACAATTCTGTTTATTTTTTTTAATGCATCTAGTTCTGTGACAAAAAATAAACAGCAATATTCCTTCTCCATGAAAGAACCTGGAAGTTGCATTCCTGGATAAAACGACCATTGTATTTTTTTTTCTCTCATCATTAGAYAGGAGAAACGCTGAATAAGGAGGTGCATCGTGAATTGGGATTTAGTAATGTTGTAGTTTCCAGGGACTGTGGCCACATAGAATCACAGAATCCTTAAGGTTGGAAGGGACTTTTAGAGATCATCGAGTCCAACCCCCCTGCACACGCAGGGTCACCCAGAGCACGGGGCACAGGCCTGCATCCAAGTGGGTTTTAAAGATCTCCAAAGAAGGAGACTCCACAACCTCTCCGGGCAGCCTGTTCCAGGGCTCTGGCACCCTCACTGTCAAGATCTTTTTCCTTAAGTTCCTGTGGAACTTTTGGTGCCTCAGCTTGCGGCCATTTCCTCTAGTCCCATCGCTGGCCACCACTGAAAAGAGGCCGCCCCCTCCTCCTCACTGCCTCCCTTGAGGTATTTATAGACACTGATCAGGTCCCCCCTCAGCCTCCTCTTCTCCAGGCTGAACAGACCCAGCTCCCTCAGCCTTTGCTCATAGGGCAGATGTTCCAGGCCCCTGATGRTCCTCGTAGCCCTCTGTGCTAGTGAACACCCTTGGGACCAAGGGGTCCTATTCACACTGCCCGTTGGGAACAGTCATGGTGCTGCTCTGTCTGCCAAAGCCCTCAGGAAACTGGGATGCACACAGTATAGATACTCACTTACCAGTCACAGGGAGTGGGTAATGTAAATTATTAGTGAAGGTCTAGTATAAAGATACTTCACATCTTATTATTCATGTCTTCTTATTTCTGGCACTAGAAAGTGAAATTTGTTTTTTTCTCCGTAACTCCTAAGCTATGGCAAGTCCGTCTGTATTGTCATAGAGTGCTCACTTCTCACCTTGCCCTGGGGAGAGGTTATGTCATGGTTTTATTTCTTGTTTTGCCTGTTTCTTAATTTTTAGTTCCATGAAAAATATGGTTAAGTGAGCTATTTTCTCCTTCACTTGCCTCCAACTTTTCCTAGTATAGCATGAAATATGTTACTTTAAAGTCTGCTAATGTACATAGAGCTTCCACGGCTGATTGTAATTTTACAAACAGCAAAATCTGTAGCTGTTGTCCTCAAGAATCTGCAGCTTAAATTATGCATAATATAAGGAACTGATATTGAGCAAAAGAAAAGAAATGTGTGGAGAAAAAGAATATTGCGGGTGCATTATCACCTTACTAGGAGCACAGCCATTTCCCRGCAGCTCTGATCATGCACATCTGTTGAGGAGAGAAAGTGAAAAATAACATACCCGATTTAGGAAGAGTGTTTGGGTTTTGCTCTGTAAGGTCAGGATCTTCTGAGTTGTTTTGACATATCAGTTTGCTATGGGCCTGGTGGTATAAAGAAGCAAGGGCTGGACAATAAATAAAGTTCTCATTAATCCCTTCAGACTGGTGCCCTGTAAGTGTGAGCTGGGGAAAAAGAGGAGTCAAGAAAAATTCCCTCATTAAAAAATGACCTATGGGAGAAAAAAAAAGAATTCCTGAAGATAGCAAATAAATGAAGAAATAATGCAGTATAAACATATCTCATCTGAAATATGTATTTTCTATTATATATAATATAATATAATATAATATAATATAATATAATATAATATAATATAATATAATATAATATAATATAATATAATATAAATTTATAAAGATAATACAAAGTTAGAATTTCAGTAGAGATTGTGAGCTCTAATATTGGAGATCCAGCGTTCAGATCCATGGGGACCTTACTCAAACCTTAGATATTAAATTATAATTAAGCAAACATTTCATCCTATCTCCAGGTGGGAATCTCAGAATAAATCTGGGCTCAGTGCTGAGAAATACAGTATCAGGGAAGAGCTCCTTTTTTTTTTTTTTCCTTTTTTCTTTTGTTGTTTTGTTTTTCTTAAAGCTGTATTTTGTTATATATTACAAATGAAAGTATATGTATTTATTATCTTGTTTTCCAGTAAAATATTCTAATGTTCTAGTGTTAGGGTCTTGCATTGCTCAGTATCAGTTCTTGTATGCTTAGTTTTAAACTATTAGAGATGCAAAATTCACTGCTGCTTACTTTGGACCATTTTATATGAACTGACAGGAGCTGTGAGGAAAACTTGAATTTACARCATATATATGATTCCAATAAAACAGTGTAAGATATTTTATGTGTCTACAAAAACCATATTAYCATTGTTTAGCCCTCTCCCCTACATTTTGTGTACATTTTTCCTCCTTACCCTTCGAGGCCAGAGAACTCTTTGGTCTGGGTTTGAACCAGATCTGCCACATGGAGCCTGGCCCATTACAGGACCTCCTGTGTGTGCTAAGCGCTGTGCAGAACATCAGGCATCAGGTCACTCTCGTGTCCCCATAGTCCCTATAGAGAGATAAACTCGCCCTGTTTATCCTTGATCCTTTAGCTGGGCTGAACTGTGGACTCTTGGAGTTCAAGTCCTGCCCTCTCTGTTGAAGGTGAAGGGAAAGAAGAGGTCCCATATTCCTAAATTAAGTGTTTAAAGTCTGGCTCCAAACCATAGTACACCAAGGTTGTATACTTTTTAAATGTTTTATGTGGATCCTTGATTTCACCAGGATGAATTACAGAGAGACATTACATGTGTTCATACTGTAGCTATGTGTGTATAACGATTGTGACTTGCCTTTTAGTGTACACATGTTGTTGTGGATACTGTTAGTGTCCTCAGCAATCACCATCTAAAAATTATTCAGAAGTRTCAGCTCCCTGTGGTACGTGTGGATTTCATATGGAAATCATCTGAAAGGAAAAGACTTCTACAAATTGATCCCTACAAGGAGGATGTATTACAAGACCTGGAGCTAGATACTTGTGGTAAGTTTATTTATTGACATGATTTATTCATATTACAGTTATTTTGGAAAATGTTGTTTTAGAAGGTAAATATTTAGAAGTGGCTCTTAAGAAATCAGCACCCATGTATACTGGCAACAAAGTCGATATAAGTGAGAAATGTTCTCAAAAGAAATTGCCCTGAAAATTAGTAACATTCTAATTCTGGTCTTTTTCTAATAACTGTCCTTTTTATTTCTGTTCACTTTTGCATCTCATAATGGAGTCCTCTCTCTTGAGTTTCATGGGGTGCTAATTTTTCCTTTAAGTAATTCATTTTGTCACAAAGCACTATATGTTATGAACRTGCTCATGTCATGAATCTGTGCAGTCTTCTAAATTAAGCAGAAGATGGAGAACCAAGAGCCCAGAACTGAGCTACTGTTAGACTTTCCCTGCTCCCCAGTAGAGGCTATGGACATGTGTGGCTGGAACTGGGTGATTCCTTTTTCCTTATGGCTGGAACTGGGTGCTTCCTTTTCCCTGCAGTCCTAAAGAGCTTTAAGTAGAAGCGAAGCTGCCTCCATAGGTGATATATAGAAAAGTTGGGGCTGGGGGAGTTGTTTTTTCTTTGGAAGAAATAACTTGTCGTGRATTGTTCCCCAGCACTAGGGCCAATTGACACAGAGCAGGTTGCAGCTACATGCCCAAAGTCTATTTCCTCTCTCTCTCTTACAAAAACTATAAAAAGATGTTACGCCAAGTAAATAACTGTTTTGGCTGCAGGTATGGAACCATTTTCTGAGGAYAGAATTGGTACTGAGAAGAATGAAAGCCACTTCAATACTACTAATACTGAAGAAAGTGACAGCAAAATTGAGTGTGAAGAAGGGATTCTTAGGTAAAATAGGATAACATGAATGGTGTATTTTGTTATATCTATGTTGATATTTCTGTAAAAGAACAAGAATTCCCTTTCGAATCTGATTCAGTGACCTATAAAGATGATTCATTATCTTAATATTATAGTGGAGGAAAAATTATCCTTTGTCCATTTTCTGTACTCTGTGGGTATGAATTTATACTAACCTGTGATTTATTTTGTCTTTGAATCTAACTGAGGAAACTGATTTTACATTTTTCCCTTCGAGTGAACGCCCAGAGTGCAGATCCCTGGCATGGGCAGGGTTTCTACCACTTTTTTTTTCTTTCGGTTTTTCATATAGCTTTTTGTTTGCAGTCCAGTTTGGTTCATTGGTTTTAGAAGGATCTCCTGAAAATTGGCATCCTTGAGACTGCTCTTACCTAATAGGGAAAGAATATTGTTATAATTTATTTGTTATTGAATTAAAGGAACAAAATGAGCTCCAAACCCACTATTTTTTAATGTATTAACAAAATGCAACTTTTTCTTTCAGAGACTGTGATCAGGGATGGGATAGATATTTAATTATTTCTGGGAATACACATGCTAAAAGCTATTGTGCAATCAGATAATGAAAATCCATTACTTGTGTTGCTTCCCTAGTTTTTCTAGAGAATGAAATTGAAATGTAGTCTTCATCTTCAGGTTCACACTGAACAGTCTGACTTCCTAGTGCAAGTCAGGAGCTTGTCTGAGTGGGATTTTATTTCTGAAAGCTTGTTGTTGTTGTTTTGTTGCTGGAAAATGTTTTCTTATATATTTATTTTAGTGTGATGCTGCTATGGCTGTACTGTTTTTGCTGGTGGTGGGTATTTAAAAGTGTTAAACTAATTGCTCTCATTCCAGATTTTGYACAGAAAATGATCAAGATATTCCTTTTTTTCCTCAAGATTTTGAAGTTGCAAAATACGATGTCCTTGAAAAAGTAAGTCTTTCTCTTACTGTGAGAAAATGTAGGACATTATAGGAGGAACAGTAAATGAGTAAAAGGTTTCCAGTCTTACAGGCATCAAAAGCTCTTATGCTACCATGTACTACAATGCAAATAGAATTATTGGAAGTATTTTAATATTATGTCTTTTGGTGCAGCCTAATTCAACCTAAGCAAAACTAGAAGAGTTTACTGTCATGTTCCAGCCAAATCATTGCAGTAGAATAATACATACATGCTTCTGCCAATGTATACTCTTATAAAGGCTGTTATATTTAGTTGACATTTAATACCTAATGCATTTTTCTTAATAAGAATGCCATCAAAACACAAGAACAAATGGAATTGTACAGCAGACAGTACAGTGAAGCCTGAGAGGAGTTTCTGCTTGTTTTTGTGATATGAATAGTGAATCATTTTGCTTGTTTTCATAAAGTGTTATGGCAAATTAGTAGAGCGACAAGAAATATATGGTGCAGCATCATGTGAATGCAACATATTGAAACAATAAACTAGTGGAAGGTTTCTTTATCTTTCCATTCAGGTTTACTCCAAAGAGAGCAAAGATCTTGTAGTTATTGAATTACAGTGTTCCAAAGGACATGAGTTTCCATTCCGAGTGTGTGCACACTTCAGTTCATCAGATGGATCCAAGGTAGGAACCACTCATCAACATTACATGTTTGTTTTTGACGTGTTTGTCCTTACTGTGGGGGGGGACAGAGCCCTGGMACAGGCTGCCCAGGGAGGTTGTGGAGTCTCCTTCTCTGGAGATCTTCCAAACCCGCCTGGCAGCCACCCTGTGCCCTGTGCTCTGGGTGTCCCTGCTGGAGCAGAGGATTGGACTGGAGGATCCCTAGAGGTCCCTTCCAACCTCGACCACTCTCTGATTCTGTAATTCTGTTTCTTTATGCACATGGAACACACCTGTTCCAAAACTCCATATAAATTTCATTCTTATTTGTAGTCTGATTCTTACAGAATCAGAAATCATTCTGTTAACTTTTAATCAGATTTATTATGATACTCCTAACTAATTCCTCCTCCTTATTCCTGCACACACTCAGAAGAACCATTGTCACTGTGAGTTGAGCTTTGTGCTTTTTCTTTTTGTCCTGCACACCCTCACAAAAGCACCYCCTTACTGTGAATATGTTATATCATAACCCCAAAGTTGAGTGTGGATTTCTCAGCTGTTAGAGCAGTGGGCTGTAAAATTAACTCTGTATGTCTCTCTATATTTCTCTAACTAATTGTATTCTCTTMAATTACAGAGCAATAAACAATTCATATTAACTAAGACTGCTGAAGATATAAGAGAAAATTATGAGACTTTCATTGCAGACCTGAAGAGCCAGGGTTTCCTATTAAGGGAAACTTTTCCACCTGAAGCAGAATATTTAGCTTCTACAAAATTGCAGGAGGCTAGTACAACTTCCATTTTTACACTTTCTTGTCCATTATTTATTTTTGTTTTCAGCTTTCTGGAAGTGGTAACCAMTGGGATGGCAGTGATCAAATCATAGGTTAAAGGAAACTATGTATTTTTTTTAATATTCAGTGCTGGGGGGGGTGTAACCACATTAAAGGCATACGTACCCATTTTCATTTCAGCATAGATTTTCAGTAGTTGCATTATCAAAGTGAATGTGATGCCTAGAGAGTGATGATGTTCTAATATAGCAGCTAGAACCTTTCTCACTATTAGTTACTTTCTTGTCTTCTACCATGGTTAACTTGCATTTTAGAGCAAAACAGCTACGTAGATTTTATTCAGCATATATGACCTCCTCTAGTGATCTCCGAGGTTGTGTGTTTGATGCCATAAAGACAAGCAGTGTAGAGTGGCCAGACTGATACGACAACTTTTGGAAATACCAAGTTCGATGGTGGCTGCTAGGGTTGAAGTACAGTGAGAAAAAAAATGAAGCATTTAACTTTAAGTGCTTCTTGAAAATACATTTTTTTCATAATTCTTCTGCATATATGAATTGCAMTGATTTTCATGGCCTTTCTATTCTCCAGTGCTTTGCTGCTTCAATTTTTATTTTCATAAACGTAATATCTTTCCCAGTAGGGCTTTCTGAACTAGAGATACAATAGCCATCTGTTAYAGATGGTACAAAAGAATGGCCTTTTGAATCTCTCTGTTCTATTGCCAGCTGTGCAAAAATGAAATGGTTGAGATCTGAAGACTGTTAYGTCTGTACCCCTGATAATGCAAGGTACTGATGAAGATACCTCATGCAAAGCAGCTTCTGTCTCAGCTTTCTATAAGGCCACCTGCCTGCCATGTTCTCCACATAGAAGAAAAATCTTCCCTTCATTTTTTGGAACTGAAGAAATCATACTAAGCCTAAATGTGTAGTCTGTACTATATTGCTTAGAGGAAAGCCTATTTATTTGTGTGAGAACTGAAGAGGCTTGCATCTTTGTCTTTTCACTGATCTCTGTTTGTTTTACTACAGTTACTTCTAGAAGAAGCCATAAATTCGAGTGATTTATGTGAAGAAGTCAGTAATTTTGTGGAATTGATCTGGGCAGAAGCTCTGGGCCATTTGGATAGTTTACTACTTGAACCAGTAAAAAACATAAGCCTCAATGATGTAAGTTCATTCTTGATACTCTGTGGGAATGAGTAGATGAAGACTACTTTAGAAGGATTTTTGTTCTATTTTCCCAGCAAACAAATATGCTTTTTCACATATGGAGATCGGAATTACACTTGATAATACTGTACCTAGGCATAACCATGCTTCAAAAATTTTGATATCAACTTTTGAGAATCACAACACAGAAAATATGCAGTACTCCCTAGAGCAGATGSTTGTCTTTTCCATTTTATAGTGATTTACATGATTCTTATGGGAGGAACTCTTCTGTGAATTAAATTGAGGCACATAAGAAGACAGTCTTTTCATATGCCACAAGTATGCAGAAATAGTGAGGTTTTGTCCCCTGCCAATATATTTCAATTATRTTTCATCCAGACATTATCTACTAATGGAAAAATAGTTCTAAGTATTGTCCAGGTCTGTATTATCAGATGAGACATGTCATTAACACATGGCTGCTCTTGAAGGCCTTTGGGTATTGCAGATGTTACCGAGACCAACTGCCCATCCATCTTTCTGTTAAATTTAGGGTTCATTTAATCACACTTTTCCACATACCTCAGTACTTCTGCTTACCCCCTAGACACCTAAGAAGTTAACATTTAGTAACTGCGTAGAGAAAGGCCTGCCTTTTAGCAATGCACTTCTGCTTGTCTCTGTCACCTCTGAAGGCAAAGTTAGATTTTAAATTGGGAGAGCTTTGCTTGTTCCTCAATTCTGGAATGCCCATGTCCATATCTTCTTATATAGAACTCAATTTTTATGTTCTTAGCAGTAGATGTATGGTAACAGAACAACTCTTTCACTTCTTGAAATGGAATATACATTTGCCTAGGCACTGGGAAGTAAGTAGCACCTTAGGAGTATTCTRTGCATGTACTCAGAGATAGCAATGAGTGCATTTCATAAATCAACAAAGACAAAAATAAAATACTTTTTGTGGTAAGTGCCTTTTTGAGCTACGCTTTTTGGATATGAAGATTCCTAACATATTTGAGGTAGGTGAACAAACCAAATTTGATAATACTCAATCACCAATAGCTTTTGCAAGAACTGAATCATAGACTAAAAGTTTCTGTCCTGAAAGTTTCTGTATTCCAAAGCCCATATCTGTAAGGATAAGGTAAAACTGTTCTCACTATTTTTCCCACTAATAATTTTAAGAGTAATTGCTTTTATCCAGGAAGAAAAAAAAAGTCTCTGGATATTTGAAACACAGTTAAGTTAATTTCCATTCAGTTAGACTAACTTTCCATTCTTTTTTTCAAAGGCTTTTGCAGAACAGAGACCAATCTTGCATCAGTTTTAGAACTGCAGAAAGACTTTGTTGCCTTTATTATCAACACTTTATTGCCTCTTGTATATGGTTCATGTAAATTCATGTAAATAAAGAGCACTTTTTCCAGTTCAGAGGCAGTGTACAAAACAGATTTATGTCCTGTCTGGACAAAGTATTTAATGAATCATTACTTTCAGGTGATCTAGAGGCTTCTGGTTGTAAACAGAATCTCTGCTATTTTATGTATTTCAGGATAAATTAATGTACTTAGAATTTTCATAAGAAACATTTTACTCTAATTTCTGCAGTTACCAATGCACTAGAGCTGACAAAGTGTGTATGTAAGAAATTAAAGARCATTATCTTCCATCTAATTCATATTCCATTTTATTTTATGGAGGTTATTTTACTGKCTTTTAGCTCTGCTGAGGTACTTTGCAAATAGACAAGTATAATGGCAGAATAATATGCAAGTTTTATATTTCATATTCTATATAGGTAAAAATGTTTTCTTGCTATTACACTAACAAAAAGCTGAAGTGGAATTTCAGTGTGGAATTAAATGGGCTTTTTTTTTTCTTTTCCTGCAATTTTTATGATGGTTTCCAGTTTAATGATCTCTTCTTTTAAAGGTGAGCAAAGCAGAAGGTATTTTACTCCAGATAAAGAATGCACTGGATGAGGGAGCAGATGAAGCGGCACTGAAAATGATGATAAAGGAATTTTATGGAATTATACGTCACAAAACAGAACCGGACCGTAATGTTTCCAGAAAGCTGTTGTCTAGTAAACAAGACCTTTGTCAGGTAACTTTTCTAGATTGCTAGTAATTCCTGATCTGCACTTAAACCAACACAAAATGTATTTTAACTATTTTATTAGTGTATTGAAGGGGCAGTGAGTGCCAGCATCAGTAACCAGGGGCAGATCCCCTCATCATCATGACCTTGATCAGGACCATCATCATGATCTTGGCAGGACCAAGATCAAGCCAGGAAGTCAAGTCTGCAGGATGAGAGTCAGAATTAGGGAGTACCAGGTCAGGTGCAGATGTATCTGCAAYACAGCTCAGCCAGAGACCCAGGACAAGAAGATATTATCCTCTGGACATTGCTATTAKGCCCCTGTACTTTGCTATGACTTAAGTGAAATGTATTAATTTTTTTGTTGACTGTCCTTCTTTTCCTCCTGGTCTGTGAAAATGACATGGATGCCTTCTTCTATTATCCTAACCAGATAGTGGCACCAGCAACAATTTATGACAGATTCAAATAAATAAGGATTGCCTTGTAAGCAAAATGAAAATGATGGGCATTCATTTTCACATTCAAAGCACAAATTCTGCTTTGTGGAGCTTTTATGAGCAGACTCCATCCAGAACTTCATCTGGAATTGTACAAAAGCAATGTAACCATTCCTCATATGCCTTTTTCTTCTGACTTATTTTCATGGGATACAATAGCTATTTTGGTCTTGTTCTTTACTGTATCTGACAGGTAGAGATGTTCTATTCTGTATTCCACTAGAGTGATTTTACAGTGTAACGTTGTATAATTCAATTTGAGTTTTATGTGTTTCCTTAATTAAAAATATACCAAGTATTCATTTGCAACAGAATTAACTGAAAAACAAATGCTTATTATTCTTTCATATATGTTAACCCATGCTACGATTGTAATTTCTGTCCTTATTTTCTAGCTAATCCGAGACATACTTAATATACGTGAAACAAACATGGCATCCCCCAACCCATCAGCTTTGGCCAAATACCAGGCTCTGAGGTGCAGGATTGAAGCTGTTCCCCCAGAGAGCTACGAATTTCTCAGTATTAAAGAACAACTGTTAAAAAAGAATTACAAGTGAGTGTTTAGTGGTTATACAATGATCTTATACCATTCCAGGGATAATGCACAATATTCCTCTGAAGTGAACTGAATTACCAGGTTTTGTTACAGTGAAGTTTTGATTTATATGAATATAATGTTCTCCCTAGAACAAATGGGATTGTGGAGCAGACATATTTACCACATTCTAAACCRGAACCAAATGGAAGTAAATTCAGAAAACTACTGTTCCTACTGAGAAATTACATTGCTCAGGGCTAAACATACCTAGCAAATGTTGGTTAATAACCAATTGCACCCAAATGTCTATTCATCCAGTACGGAAGGAGTACTGTGCTTGGAACAACTGGAGAACATCTGGCTGCAGTGAAGTTCAGGAGCTGTGAACAGTTGACGACACTTTATTAACAACAGTGTGTTCATAACATTAAGTCATTTAGCATTAATAGAACAATAGTTTGTGACCCAGTTTCTTCTGGTTGTTTTGACAGAACCAACTAAATAAGCTCTCTGTGAACTAGCTGTTACTCAAATGATGCTTTGTGCAGAGCAGATTCCTATCTTAGTTACCTTAGGCCTTCAGACTGTGCTGTGCACCATGTAACTCTCTAAAGAGAGTATTTAGTCTCTTTCAGTCTCTGCATTTGGAATCCATTTTTTTTTTAATTTCAAAACAATTGTTTTTAAGATAAAAAAACAAATGCATTCAAAACATATTGAGGATCAGTGTTAGTATTTTTAAATTTTTCTCTAGCAGTTGTAAAAAAATCATTTTTGGATGTTAATTTGAGATTTCAGTCAGCCTTTATCTCTTACTAGTAGTTTGATCCAGAATACACTTTCTGAATAATGTCATATATTGTATATTAAATGAGTCATATAATATGATCCCGAAGATAATTTCAAATTTCTTGCAGTGACTGTCCAATGAGAATTTTGCAAGTATATAGAGTTGGCAGGATAGGTGAAACAGCAGAATTTCTGAGCAGTCTTGGAAATATTCAGTCCCTACTCCACGCATCACCTGTGCGCAACTTTGTGGGAATTCTCTGCAGGTAAAACTTGACATTCCCTTTTTTATAAAACTGAATCAGAATTAATTATTTTATATTGCACTCTTTTAACTTCATTATTTGTCTTTTATAAAGTCCTTTTACATTTCATTTAGCCTAATTGTTAACATTTATGCAAATATGTCCAGACACTTCTACAGACCTCTAAAAGGAAAATCAATCTTTTTTAATGTTGARATCAATTGCTTTCCAAATGAGTTAGTTTTGAGATGGAAGTACTTGGATATGGTGAAGAACATAGTTTAAATCTGCATGGGAAGATGACAAAATGGAAGGAATGAGGAGAAAAATGTCTTTGTGGTTAATTTATCCTGTATTTCAGGAAAGGATTCCATTGATGATGTCCTSTTTTTTCCTGTATACATTATTTCGCCATGATCATCTTATGGTTATTTAAAAATATGCCAACTAATTTTCTGGGGCAACCTTACATCTTGTTCTGTGACCAAATTCTGTGGGTTCTCAAAACATGATAATAATGTTCATGGCTAAAATCATAGAATCTATTGCAATATAACCWAATACATCCACCTTTATATTTAAATACTCATCATAGTGTATATGTGGTGAATACCAGATGCTCTTTTCAGTATTCTTAATTTTTCAGTATGTCTGAATATAAAATAAATAAATAAATAAAATTCATTTCAAATTCATATTAGCATTCTTTTTTCCTTTACACTGCAGACTTTAACTCTAGGTTACAAAACTGTTGAACTTCAGTGTTTAATTTTTGCATTCCTTTTGTATATAGGGTTTATGAGGGTATCCATTAATAATAAATGTTTTATAGAAAGTCTAAGGATGGTATCTCCACACTAATAATGTTTGCAAATCAAACACTGAAAAAGTTTCCAGATATCATTCCCCCACACTCCCCCTTTAAAATTCTTTCTTTTACTTAGGTGGCATTCTGCTAAGCATAGAAAAAAACAAACAGTGTTTATTGCTTACATAATCAGTCTAATCAGTCTTGAAGACTAAATATTGCCTTGTGTGGTCTTTTTTTTTTTTTTTTTTTAAACTGACTAGGCTTCCTTGATTCTCTAAGGGCATTTTTTGTAAAGTCCATTTTATTTTAATCCTCTGAATAGTTTGTTATTGCACAATGTGAATTAGTCCAGATATATAAAAATAACTCCTCAAATACTGTGGACAAAAAAAAAAAAAAACAAGCTTCATGTGACGTGTGTGATTTCTCATTATTTCTTCTTCCCTCCCTTGTAGAGGACTCCTCATGCCAAAAGTCATAGTTGAAGATCACGGCATTGAAAGAACAGATGCTGGGAATCTGGGCAGTGGCATTTACTTCAGTGATTCTATTAGGTCTGAATGATCATGGTATCTTTTTTATTCTGTGTTTCTCTGTATTCTTTTGACTTTCCAAGTTAACTAGATAGAAGATTTAATCACTCACAAGATAATTTAATCATAAAATTTATTCCTGACATTTTTTTCCAGAAATACTTGTTCTTAAGCTTTTATGACATCTATATTTACATCAGTTTTAAYGAATGTCTGTGATCTTTCTTTGCATATAGTGCCAGTATTAAGTATTCTTCACCCAGTGTGATGGATGGTACTCGACTCCTGGCAGTTTGTGATGTGGCGCTTGGTTCCTGCTTGGATTTGTATCAGCGAAATTATTCATTACGCAGTTCACCATCAGGTTATGAGAGTGTGCATGGAGTCCGTAAAACACCAGATGTCTCTTCAGATTTTGAGGTACTGATCCTACATTATTAGGCACTTGAAAAGATACTGAGTCTGAATGTATTGTACCAGTGATAGATAATAAAAGCAATATAACCTGCGTTTCAATTCAGACACTAAATCAGTAGATAGATGAGTAAAACAACTGTCTGATTTACTATCTGGAAAGCATATATAAAACTTCTAAGATTCTTTTTATTACTGTTTGTAAAGAGATTTAAAATTATTGCAAGAAAAAATAGCTAAATGGAAAAAGTTAATATCCTTTTTCTGATACCTGAGTTATTATATAAATATCTGAGATTTTATATTGGAATTGTTATTTGAAAATGGTATTCTACTCTGATTGGAATTAGAAGTAACTACCATGGAAGGTTCACTGTTCTGAAAGTGAACCCCTTTATCCTTTTTTAATAATAGCTTTATTTTTCTTACAAAATATCTTTTTTTTCTCCCACCAGGATGATGAATTTGTTGTGTATAAAACCAATCAGGTTAAAATCAGATATGTTGTTAAGTTTTGTGTTGCTGAAGACCAAATAAAACCATTTCAGCCTGAAACCGTGGTGGAGCAAGATCAGCCAGTATCAGAACATTCTTTGCAGCATGAGAGTAAGAAATACTTTGCCTTTCTTAACCTAATTATTTAGGATACCCTGAATATTTATCAGAACACTTTCTAGAGTACGAAAACAACATTTTAATTAAAAAAAAAGTGTAGCTGATTTGCAGATGTTGCCAAATTAGACATGACCATGTGGCATGTGTGTAGCATCTGTTTCACTGCTTTCCTGCAGGCAGGATTACTGACAGCAGTTGCAATTGCCTCTGTCAGAGTGTGTTTCAAGAGACCTAGCAGGAAATGCTTTTGCATAAATCATCAGATGTTCCTAAATAATTCAAATGCCAGAGTCTAAACAAAGACTTCCTAAGACCTTAAAGAGCTATCCTGCTTAGGCAGGAATAAAACACAAGGATTCCTAGCAGAACCTGAGTATTACTTTCAATTTATCTCTTCTGAATTTCTTAGATAAACATGAGCCAYTGATGGATAACCCATAACTGATATGAGTTATTTTCAACTGTCCTTCACAGATACCTATTTCAAAAGCTGCTTTCCTAATCTTTCTAATACTCTTTTTTTAGGCTATGCCCTTCCAAGTGCAAATCCTATGAATGCCATAAAACCTGGTCTTCAGGACAGATCAGGAAATCCAGTCCCTCTGGGAAGTATTAAAATCAAGGGGAGGATGATAGACTTTGTAGCACAGGTAGAGTACACTGCTTACTGTCCTTTTCCATTGTGGAGACCTGAAATATTGCAAATGTTATATAGTGCTTTAGTTATTAAAAAATAAAAAAAACCCAGTCTCTAAGTGAAGCTCAATTCTGAAAATGAGAGAAAGCAGATTTTATTCTTAGAGAAGCATAGTCAACAAATGCCAAAAAGTCTTAGGTCAGTGAAAAGCTTGACTTTTTCATTTTTGGAAGTTTTTTTCTGTCTCTCTCATCTTGTCACCACTGGAAAAAAAGAAAGTTTTTGCATCAGCTTGCACATTCCCTTATATATTCTTGACTTCCTTGATAATCTATTGGCTACCTGAATTAGAAACCATTCCAAAATGTGTGGTATGATTAGAGGTCCCTGGAATTACACTTTTTTTGATTTGTCTTAACTGTGGTTAGACAAGTTAGCTGTCTCGGGTAAAAAGAACATGATATTTTAGTCTGAAAATTAGTGAAGGAAATTTAGCAAAGGGAAGTTAAGGGCTCACCTTATTTTAATATTTGTGCTCTGAAAACACATTTTGTCACATCGAGTCATGGGTATTTTCTTATCCTGCAGTATAATTCAAAAACTCCCCCTCTGTTCTGTATAGAGCAGTCTCAGTCACGTTGGAAACTGGTTCTGCGAACCTGTGTGTGTCTGACCTGTGTCTCACTGCACAGGAATCTGTATTGGCTTTCCAGTGACATAGTAAAATTTGTTTTTAAAAAATCAGATTATGCTGTTAGTTGTTGCTAAAGCCTTGCTAAAGAAAGCAGAGAAAAATGGAGGAAAAAAAAAAAGCGAGATTTTAAGAGTCCTCTTCAGATGAGCCTGTGCTTATATCATTCTGATGCTTGCAACTGTTGTCTGGCTAGTGTGATTCTTTTTAACAAGTGTTCTTTTCATGAGAGAATGTCTTTTTTTGTGTRTGTGTTTTTCTACAGAAATGAGTTACTATCCAATAGTATATGTTGTTTGACCCAGTCTACCAAAGCATAAAATAACCTCTAAGGATGAGGAACRGAGCACAAATCAGAAATCATCAGATGATGAGGCATGGCAGAAGTGCCAGCAAAGGGAGATGAGGAACTCCTGGGATCTTGTTAGGACACGAGTGAACAGAAGAACAGACGTAGGAAGAAAGTTGGACAATCTGCCACTTCAGAGAGAAAATCTATAATTAGAAAATAGATATTATAGGTATAGAAGGAATATTGACTTTTTCAAACATCCTTTTCAGTATATCCTAAAAATAGACCCTTTTTTAGTGAAAGTTTACTCTTTGTTTAGTTTTTATGAGCTTGAAACTCTTTTAGACATATTGCAGTGGTGGCTTTTTAATGTAGACTCTTCTTTTGTAAAGAGCAGCCTGACACCTCAAGCTCTGCCAGTAGACCAAGTAACATGWAGAAGGTCATGGTTTACTTTTCTTCTGGAAGATATTTGGTTAATGATATAAAGATTAAAAGTTTCTTCATGTTTCTGGATGTACCTATTCTTTATGCATTGGAGAATGTTTTACATTCACTTCTAATGCAGCTTCCAGTTAGGGCGTACTTACTGACATTTTGCAGTATGAAATGGATATGCTGCTTCACTTGAAATATTGCTTTTTTATCATATTTTAATGTAATGTTTTAATATTCACTTCAGGTAGTGATGTTTCAGACTTACACCAATCAAAGCAGTAATCCAATTGAAGCTAAATATGTCTTTCCTTTGGATGATAGAGCTGCTGTGTGTGGATTTGAAGCTTTTATCAATGGAAAGCACATCATTGGAGAGGTAAAATGTTACTGCACTTTGGTGCATCCAATCTCAAGATTCAGAAGTTTTCAATTTTGTTTTTTTCTCAAGTTCTTTGTTCTTGCCACTTGACTGGACTTCAAGATAGTCATGTCACTGGAAGTGATATTGGCTGTTGTGCTCTATATATGTAAATATCTTATTTTGGAACAATCTTTCATAGGTCAAAGAAAAGACACAAGCACATAGAGAATATAGAGAAGCCATCCGTCAGGGTGATGGAGCTTATCTAATGGACCAGGATGCACCGGTATGTTGAGTGTGGTGGTTTGTTTACCTATTTGAAAATTTTGTWATGGTCAGATCACAAAAGATTATTTAGGATATGAGTGCATGTTCCCACTGGAATCTTTAGAGAACCATCTCTTTCTTGRGAAGCCCCTTTTTCTTGGAACTCATTTAGGCTCTACATGGAATTGCTTTAAAAAACAATTTTTTTTTTCTGTCTATATGTCCTACTGTTTATGTAAGATTTTTTTTTTCTGGAACTTTTCTTTTACAAATAAGTTTAGATTTTTTTTACAAAGTCTCCTCTTTTTTATTATAATTAATCAGTTTTCCCCATTTTAAGTAGTATTTTCTGTGCTGTTATTTGATCTCATTGTGCATAAACAATAACATTTTGGAGGGGAAAATGCAGACTTTAACGATGACCTCCCCTCCCCTCTGCCTTTTTTTGTCTTTTAGGATATTTTTATAATAAGTGTTGGAAACTTGCCCCCAAACTCTACGGTCCTCATCAAAATCTCCTACATCACTGAACTGAGTTCTCATAATGACTGTATCTTCTTCCATTTGCCTGCTTCGGTCGCACCATGGCAACAAGACAAGGCATTAAATGAGAACACACAGGTTTGTAAGTCTTAAAAKAGCATCCTCTGCATCTTTGTGTTCTGAAGCAGTTGTGCACCTAGCACATTGTAGTTACTCAAGAATTTGCTGTACAATCTTGATTATTTTCCTTTTCCTCTCTTATTAAAAGGTAATTGYTTGTAATCTTTCTGGTCATAACAGGGGTGTCAAAAAGCAAAGTGAGCATAAATTTAAGCAGGATTGTTGCAAGGTAGCAATGCTCTTCCTGTCTCTGAGGATTTATTTAGATCTGCAGTACTTAGAAAGCTGACTTGAGTTGAAACATGTTATAGTTAGATGTCATATTTTGTTTTGGGTTTAGTATTCCTGTACTACTGTTCCTCTCAACAAGACATTTGCAGATGATAGCAAAGTGGGTGGAATATCCAACACTCCAGAGGGCTGTGCTGCCATTCATAGGGACCTAAACAGGCTGGAGAGTTGGGCAGAGAGGAATCTCATGMGGTTCAACAAGCACAAGTGCAGGGCCTCCACCTGGGGAGAAATAACCCCAGGCACCAGTACAGATTAGGGGTTGACCTGCTGGAAAGCAGCTCCGCAGAGAGGGACCTGGGAGTCCTGGTTAACAAGTTAACCATGAGGCAGCAGTGCCCTCATGGCCAAGAGGGCAATGGGATCCTGGCTGCATCAGGAGGATGTTGCCAGCAGGTCAAGGGAGGGGATCCTGCCCCTCTGCTCAGCTCTGGTGAGGCYGCACCTGGAGTAYTGGGKGCAGTTCTGGGCTCCCCAGGACAAGAGGGATGTGGAGCTYCTAGACAGAGTCCAACAGAGAGCAACAAAGATGATTAAGGGATTGGGACTATCTTATGCRGGAAGAGTAAGTGAGCTGGGTCTGTTTAGCCTGATGAAGAGAAGGTTGAGAGGAGATCTGATGAATATATAGAAATACCTGAGGGGAGAATTTAGGGAGGATGGGGCCAAACTCTTCTCAGTTGTGGCCAGCAAGAGGTAAGGGGTAATGAGCATAAATCAAAACACAGGAGTTCCTATGAACTAAGAAGTTCCATCTCCATGTGAGGAAGAGCTTCTTYCCTGTGAGGGYGCCAGAGCCCTGGAAGAGGCTGCCCAGGGAGGCTGTGGAGTCTCCTTCTCTGGAGATCTTCCAAAGCCGCCTGGCTGCCACCCTGTGCCCCGTGCTCTGGGTGTCCCTGCTGGAGCAGGGGGTTGGACTGGATGATCCCTAGAGGTCCCTTCCAACTGTGATTCTGTGACAGAGAATGCATTTGTTTGCAAGAAAGACACTCCATCATGAAACCACAGCTAAGCAGCTGCTGAACACACTGACACTGTCCTCGTGCAGAAGGCTGCCCGCCTGCTCCCTTGCATGCCCTTGATGGCTCCAGAGTTCTCTGGGTGGGAGAGGAGGTCACCTCTGTGTTTGAATGATGGCAAAGAGCCAGAGATGGTTCTTGGTGATGTGCAGTCAAACAGCTATATCACATTTCACACCACTGAACAGTCACGACTTCTGCTTCATGCCTGCTACTATCCTGAGTTCTGCAGTTTAATTGAGGAAGGGGAAGTATTTGCAGCTTCATCTGGTTTTAGCTACTGTAATGCTCAGATTACAACATCTATATGAATAAACAAAGCAGAGAGGGTTCAATGTAATCCCAGTTTAGCAACGTAATAGTAGAAAGTGGAGTAACATGCAAGTGCTTTAAGCGATTTAAAAATTCCTTTTTATTTTGCAGGCTACAGTAAAAAAGGTTTGCATTAAACAAGCAGATACAAAAAAGTAGTAAGTTGTTTTAATTTATATTCATCTACTTTATTGTCAGTACTTTAGATCATTAAATAAAACAAAATAACTTTTTTAATTTGTATAGAAATAGTGGTGCTAGGTTGCATTATCAACAGATTAATATAATTTTACTTGTTCTGTAGTAGTATGTTCAATGTAGTTTCACTTGTTCACTTGTTTTAGCTATTATATGGGAATAATAATTAAGCATCTTTTTTCAATAAATGGTTCATTTTGTTTCTTTTACTGAGATTTTTATATTAAATCAAAAGTTGCACGACAGTGGGCCTGCATAGTCTTTGTATTTTCAATATCATTAATTGCATTTTATAATTTAATGTTTCTTTACATTTGCAATTCACAATAATTTGAAACTGTGATGTTACTGGCAAAGCAATACTTGTAAACTGATTGTTATAACTTAATTACCTGTAACACCTCACAGATGGCCATTCTCAACCAACACCAACAACCACACAGGTAGCAATAACAGTGAATAAGCCAGAGACAACCATTCTTCAAGGAACTGGCTTTTCAGATAGAAAAAAAAAAGACATAAGAAGGGCTTCTCATGACCATGCCCTGTTCTCATGACCATGTCTGTTCTATGGACAGAACAGACACAAAACTACATCTGTTATAATTTTCTCAAGTTTTATTTAATCCTAAAATGGTGTTTCCCATTATCTTGGTTTTGTTCAGATGTATACTACTACTTAACAGAAATATTGTACTGCTTTAATAAAGGTTTGGTTCAATTTCTGACATGCACCAGGAATAAATTAGCCAGTTCATATAGTAGCCATCTGGAGGTAGAAAAGTATTTTAAAATTGTAAGACAATTTTAAACTGGTATGAAGGAAAAATTCAACGGCAAAAATTGGAAAACATTTAAGAATAGATATTGCATGGGGAAAAAGTCAGGTAACTCAGGGACAGAAAATGCTAGCTGACAAAATACGTTTTAAATCTGGCTCTAACATAAACAAAAACGACGAGTGAAATCTGRATGAGGCAAAAAATGTATGTATGCTTTAACAGTGAGGACTGGAGCAGTTAGCTGGAGAAATCATGAACTTGCTTCCTCTGGAATCCAGAGTGGTGGTATTTGTTAAGTTATGCTTTAGACAAATAAAACATTAGGCTAAATGAAGAGAAAATGATTAAAATGCTGTTGTGTTATACAGATTGTGTCCAATGACCTCTTGGTCTCTTCTGGCCTTTGAAAGTGAATGAGCAAGGTTAGTTTTGGAGTATCCTAGGGACAGAAACTTGTCTAAGTGTTCAGTATTCTACACTTCTATCCAAAGAGTTTTAAAGGACAGGGGACATAGCTCATTCTCATGGATATGTCAGGGCTACAGATTAAATATCCTCTCTTCCAGAATGKCACTTGATCACTTCTTTTCTCTTTATCCAGCCAGTTCTCCTTGGACATGTCTATTGAGATGCCCTACACTATCGAATGCATAAATAGCTGGACACATGCACTTAAAATAAAGGTAACTATAACTGTGCCTCTGCCCTGGCAGTTCTGCTAGGGTGAGGGCTAGGAAGTGGGTGTACTAGATGCGTATGGTTTGTAGAGGAGCTTTGTTCCTGTCTCAGATGAAAACTTTGCTTATGTCTGAAGCTTTAAAATAACTTAAAARCTTGTATTTAAAAACATTCAAGAAAGTGGATGATATTTTAAGGAATATACTACATAAATAGAAACGGCACCTTGTAAATTTTGTGCAACCTTTTCAGCAAAAACCTTTGGAATTTATTAGATGTGCTTTGTTCTCTGTCCTAATAAATCGCAAGTTTGCTTTAAAACATGATGTTTGGCATAAGGAATTATGTACATTTACTGTACTGTTACTGCTAAATAAATATTTAAATGACTGTATATCCTTTTTCTTTTCTAGAGAACAGATTGCAAGGCTGTAATTAAGACTGTGGAGAACAGCACCCTGGATGTTAATGGCTTTGCTCTAGAAATCTGGATTTCCCAACCCTATCTACCCCGAATGTGGGTAGAGAAGCATCCCAGCAAAAGGAGTGAGGTACAGTGATGGTGGGCATCACCCAAGTTCCAAGATGAAAAGCACATCCTATATTGTATGAGGCAAAACTGACAATCATAAAATATAAAGAGAGAAGCAGTTTGGTTTTGATGGGTGAAAGATGAACAATTTCACATCATGTACAATATTCACTTCCCTGTCCACCTACCTTTCTTCCCAAAGTTATGTATCCTCCAAAAATGACTTTTTATTTCAGTCTTGTCCCGTTTGTTTTATCCCTTTTCTCATAACAGAGTGAATGTTGATGTGCATGTTGAATGCCATATCTAGMCATATTTGTGCTAAAACATTTTTTTCCTCTCATTGTGCTGCAGTTTGTAGTGGCATTTCTACAAAATACCATGTTTGATACAAATGTTGCCTGGCATAGGCTGAAACTTGGTGGCTTCAGAGTCATGCAGTCGTTATATTAMTTTAAAAAACAAGGAGCATTTTAAGCTATTTTTAAAAAAAATAGTTCCAAATAGCTCAGAATGTTATATAGAGAATGTATGAGAGATCAGCAAAAAGAGGAGGGAAAAAATGAATATTCAAAAGGTAAATTTGTGGGATATATAACACATACATACACACACACTCTAAAATATTTATAGAATCTGTAAGTGTTTTAGTTTATGGGACTTGACTTATATCACCAGATTTCACATTCTGGTATAGTTCTTACTATTGTAATAGTTATTTGCAAAGACATTTTAATCTTATCGTTTTCACTAGAAGAGAAATAGATAGCAGTTTCACAGTTTCAGATTCTGTCCTTGCCTGAGAAATAATTTTAAAGCTTAAGAGCTTTCAATATGTGATTCCAGGTTTTTACAATCTGCCTCATTCCTCTGCATCTTTCTGTGACCACAGGGATAAGAGTGGGGCCTCTGGCACCTTTAACTATTTTTAGTTACTTCTTATCAAATATTTTCTTAAGTAAGACAAAATGCTGCATAGGTGGCATGTAAACTTGTGGTTTTACCAATTCTCTCAATTCATTACTGGATTGATTAAAGCAGGTAAAATGACAGAATTGTTTTCTTGGATAGTTACATCTAGTTATGCCCTTATGTTTTTCCTCTTCTAATCAGAGTTGCCTGATTAGAGGGATTAGTTAGTTCAGGGATTACGTTCTGATGACTACAGTAATATTGATTCCCTGAGATGAGAAATTTGTATTTGAATTTTTAGACACAAAGCTTTCCTTGATCGTTTTATTGTTCCACTTTTCAGACTTTTATGTTCTTCTTAATCTGTACTTTGTGCTCAGAGAAGACAGTGTGCACTTTTCTGCTTCACATGTCTGTTAGTTCTAGTACCTTTTCACAGGCTGATGGTGGCAGTGGTGATTATAAAACATACTATCTACTACTTTTTAACTTAGAGAATTGAATCCAGTGCTGATTGCAAAAGAAGGAATTGGATAGGAACAAAAAATCCACAAAATTCCTTCTCTGGGTTTCCATGTGAGTGTAGGTAAAAGACAAGGAGATTGTGCTTTTCATGTATAAAGAATAAAGGAAGTATATTTGCTAAAACTTTGATATACAGTTATATTCTGCTTTCATTCCATAATAAGAAAATTTGAGTATACTTCAAATGAAGTCGCATTCATTGACTGCAGTGATAGTCTTGCTTCTCTCTCTCCAGGCTTGCATGCTTGTGTTCCAGCCAGAGCACCTAACAGAAGTTGAAGAGGTGCCACTGTCCAACGAAATTGTTATTTGCTTAGATTGCTCCAATTCCATGGCAGGTTCAGCCCTACAGCAAGCAAAGCAGATTGCTTTACACGCTTTGGAACAATGTTATTCAAGACAAAGAGTGAATATTGTCAAATTTGGCACAAGTGAGTTCTCTGTTTCCATTTTAAATGAGAGCCAACTTTTACTTCCTTGTCACGACTGAMCTGCAGTCTGGAATATCTAGTAATACGGACTACCCTGATATTCTAGTCTTAAAACTCAACTTTAATTTCCATATTGTTGTCACAGGCTTAATATTTTAATRCTCTTAATATCAATCTTTATTCACAGATTTCACAGAATTTTATTCATCTTCAAAGAGCATCTCGGATGATTTGTCACCCCTAAAGGAATTTATTACAGTAAGCAAATTAATTTGGCTGTATTCTAATGGACACTTCTTTGCAAGGGATACTCATAATTGTAAAATACTAGTGCAGTTTTTCTTACTCTTTTATTTTTTCTAGGCTAACAACTTTGATTTCTTCTATAATTTAGTCTATTTGAAATCTGTTTGTCCTAGCAAACAGATCTGGTTTGATTTTAAGTGACTGCTTTAAGTGGTTATTTTGAAGATTTGTAGATAGCAGTGCTAGGACATTTTTCAGTGTCTCGCCCTCAATTCCCCTTTTTGAGTTTCATGCCTCTCCATTGCTTGCTCACAGCAGAAGAAATCACAGAATTGCCATAGAAATGTCATTAACATAGAAGTCTATAATTTGTAAGTGAAGACTAGCACTTTAGTGGCTAAAGCACTTTTACTGAAAAGAAAAATGCTTTCAACACCAACAGACCAGAAAGAACTATTTAGGACAATAGTTTTTGGTTAGTATTCTTGTTGCCTAATACAGGCTCCTCATTTGCAACTAAAGCATATGATGCTAGCATAACACTTAAAATGCTAACATGATGCATATTCCAAACATGGGTTGGGAAGATGCAGATGGTGTTCAATACAAAGTAACATAAAGAGGAAGACAACACTAAATATAGATGTAAAATACAGGGCCTCACCTGGGAAAGAGATACTGGAGCCACTGTGGATAGTGCTTTATTTAAACAGTGGCTTAATATGCAGCAGCAGTCAAAAAGCAAACAACAAGGTCTGCATAAATCTGCTTTGCTTTGATATCTTGAATGCTGTAAGCKCTTCTGAGAGCAGACTTAGAAAAGGTAGAGAGACAGAAAACCGAGATGGCTGGAGACAGAGAAACCTGCAGCACAGGGAAAGGCCTCTTCATCGCTTTTATGAAGTCTTTATAGCTTTATAGTCATCTCTTCTACAGGATAAGCAGAGAGGAAAAGGAGAATAGGGATGGTTGTTCACTGTTTCTCATATCAKAAGGATCACAGGACGGGCAGCGATCTTTGTGCATTCAGTAAATAGTGGACTTTCTTGTCACATGATGATGTTGAGGCTAGAATTGTAATCGAGTCCAGAGAGAGAGTTAGAGGCTTTAGAAAACAGGTCTTAAGTAGCTCCTAGACATAATAATCTGGATGAAAACAGACAGTTGAAGGACATACGAGATGTCCTTAAACAACTAATTGCTCAAAGCTCTGAGAATACTTCACAAAAAGCATCTACCATGTTTCTTAAATATTTTGACTAAGCATCCTTTTGCCAAAGCTACAGGAGATATGGGACTAGATGGACCTTACTCTCTATCTCTAATAATAATAATAATTAGAAAAGAGCAGGAACAGAATAAAATTTAAGAATGAATTAATCATTTGTATTTGGAAACCAGGAAACGTGTATAATAAAATAAACATTAAATTATGCATTGTGCTGTTTTAGAAAAGRCAATGAAGTGCAAACTAAAACTGTACTACTACACTTTTCAGTCTGCTACAGCAACACTGGGAAACACTGATTTATGGAAGGCCCTACGTTACTTCAGCCTGCTTTTTCCTTCTCAAGGGCAGCGTAACATTCTTGTCATATCTGATGGACACATTCAGAATGAGAGTGTGACCTTCCAGATTGTGAAGAATAATGTCCCACATACCAGGTTATTTACATGTGGGGTTGGGTAAGTACAAAGTTATCTAGCAAATGTGTTGCATTTAAAATCACTGATAATTTATTTGAAGTTAATGAGTTGAGAACTATCAGGTGCTAGTGTTTGCTGTATTAAATATACGTGTATGCTCTGATTAAATGCAGAAATGTTTGTAGATTAAGTCAAGTTTTTGTGCAAGTAGTCTTATGTATTCATAATTCCTTATGTAACAACTTTACTTTTTAAGAAATATAATTGGGGAAGTTTGAATTTTTGATTTGGGAATTTCATATTTTTCAATAGTCTAATTTCAATAGTACAATTTCAGTATAACATTAAGATAGTTGCACAATATAATTTTATCATATTTATTGTAACAGAATTATATCTTAAGTAGCACTGTAATATAAAATTATGTAATTTGATTTTTCATCTGTTTTGTAAGGTAGTAACATAAGTGATAATAGCTTACTAAAGCACTAGACCCCTGTGGGGATTCGTAAGCATGAGGTACATGTGTTCCTCCTAGAATGCAATCCACTTCAAAATAATGTGAAAATAAACCTCTTCTACCCCAAAACAGCCCTTGCCCCTCAGCAGGCCAGACGGGCAGTGACTGTTGGAGGACAGAGAGCGCTTTGGTGGAGAGCCAGCTTCGTGCTAATCGCTCTCGAGTGGGCTGCAGCGGGAAGCACAGTTTGTGCCTTCCACATGCACAGCCTGTCCAGGCTATCTATCCCAATAGGTTCTGTTTATTTAGAACAAATACCTTGCATTGTACTGTATTTATTTTGCCTTGAGGGATTTTAGTGGGTGCAGTTTCCCAAGCTTTCACTAGGACAGGAGTGTGGCCCTGGTCAGGAGTGATTCTGTTAACTTTCTGAGAAAGATTTGAGACGTACTTGGTTGTTTCTCATCCACAAAAATTCTCATCTATTTAATTGTTCTCCTTTTAAACCCTCTATAAAACTCCCATTTGCTTTTATATCCACACAATAGCTTGATAGTGGCCTCTTAGTAAGCAAAACCTTCTGTTCTATCAGAGCACGGGGCACAGGGTGGCAGCCAGGCRGGTTGGGAAGATCTCCAGAGAAGGAGACTCCACAGCCTCCCTGGGCAGCCTCTTCCAGGGCTCTGTCACACTCACTGATAAGACATTTTTCCTTGAGGAAGATTTTTCCTTGYGGAACTTTTGGTGCTTCAGTTTGTGGCCATTTCCTCTAGTCCTATCAGTGGCCACCAGGGAGAAGAGGCCAACACCATCCTCCTCACTGCCTCCCTTGAGGTATTTATAGACACTGATCAGATCTCTCTCAGCCTTCTCTTCTCCAGGCTGAACAGGCCCAGCTCTCTCGGCCTTTCCTCACAGGGCAGATGTTCCAGGCCCCTGATGATCCTTGTAGCCCTCTGTGCTAGTGAACTCCCTTGGACCAGTTGCTGTTGTTTGATCTGTATCCCCAAAAAAGGAAGGAATTTAGAAAAACTGCAGCACTAATCAAAGTACGGTATTTGGAAATGGTATTGGATGACAAACCTAACTTGGTAATTGCATGAAGAAAACTTTTTGTGTTGTTAGTTCCACAGCAAATCGTCACATTCTGAGATCTTTGTCCTGGTATGGTGCTGGAGCATTTGAATACTTCGACCCAAAATCCAAGTATAATTGGGAAGAAAAGGTACATTTATAAATCCTGAATATATTCAACATATAACTGATATCAATATATGAATATGTCAATACTTCATATTGAGAAYCTTCAACAACCCAAAATGGAAATTAATTTCCGTGGCATCGTGTAGCTTTAGTATTGCATTAACATACCTCAAAAAGATGCATTAGATAAAAGGAGGAAGATGCTTGTCTACTAAGTTTGCTTTTATTTTTAGTGTAAATGTTACTGTAAATGTTAGTGTAAGTTACTAGGAAGGGATATAAGAACTGTAGAACACCCCAGGCTCAGTGATAAGGGAGGGAATTTGCTGCTCGTTTCCACCTTAGTGCCAGGGTGGGCACTGCATGTGTTAGAGCAAGGAAGCCATGCCTTAGTTTTTCCACTCTTAATGGAAGATTTCTGATACTTTCTTGGTTAGTGCAGTAACATAACCTAGAAAAGGACTCCAAAGTGTCAGTATATATATATTGTACCTGGATGGAAAAACAGGCTTTCGCTTCTGTCATGGCTCACCGTCCATCTACAACAGTGGCCTTSTTATAATAATGAAGCCTGTAGCAGTTATATTCTGTAACTTCCCATGGTTAACTTTGGATGTGTCTATGATTTTCAAATAATCCAGGACCCCATGTGTAATTATTTTTAGACTCTCTATGTAGCTACGTTCCTAGAGCTCTACCCTGTGCATTGAGTCTGTTCACTCCTGGAGCAGTGTCAGTAGAGCAGCAGCAGCAGGCTGGTCTCTGGCCTGCACCTTGTTGTTGTTGTTGTTTCTGTTTTGTTTTGTGCTGGGGGGAGGGATGAGAGCCCAGATCATCTGTCTTGCTCTTCTGGGCGTCAAGGGGTGCGTGCAGAGCTAGCCATAGCAGGCCATGGAGATGGGCAGCCCTGTTGCTAGACGTGAGCTCATGCTAGGGAGGTGGAGGTGAGGTGTTCCCTGGGCTGCTTGGCAGCCTTCATGAACATCCCTTATTTTAAGTTTCCGCTTTCACTTAAAAGGAATATTATTCCAGAAGCCAGTGCAATAATGGCTGAGTGAGCATCCTTATCACTTCCAAACATAAACCAGATATTACGGGTTAAAGATGAATGTAATGTTGGGAAAAAAAAAAAACTTGGGAAAAAAATGTTCCATACATATTGCAAAATGCATTATTTGTGAAATTAAATATTGTTTTCTCTTGAGAGCTGAGTTAATTCATTTTGTGTTTTTACACAGATACAGAGCCAAGTATCTAGGATATTTTCTCCAGGATGCAGTTCTGTTTCTATTAAATGGCAACAGTTTGATAGAAATGCACCAGAGCCGATGCAGGCTCCTGCTCAAATACAGTCTTTATTTAACAATGAGAGGCTTCTCGTCTACGGGTTGATCTGTCACTGTACTCAGGTAAAGGCTGGGATACACATCCCTTCTCCAACTTCTCTAGCCTAAACAGCCCCAGCTCTCAGCCTTTCCTCATAAGATAGATGCTCCAGGTCCCTAATCATCTCTGTAGACCCATAGACTCTTTCCGTGTCTCTCTTGTACTGGAGTGTCCAGATGTGGACACAGAATTCCAGATGTTGCCTCACCAGGGCTGAGCAGAGGGGGAGGAATCACCTCCCTTGACCTGCTGGCCTTGTGCTCAACTCTTAACATTTGCAAGGGCTCCAGGTCCTTCTCTCCAGAGCTGCTTTCCAGCAGCTCAGCCCCCAGCCCATCCTCATCCTCCTGCCTGACTCAGCACTTGCCTTTGAACCTCATGAGGTTCCTCTTTCCTCACCTCTCCATTCTGTTGAGGTTCTTATGAATGGCAGAACAGCCCTCTATTGTCTACTAAAAACACCTATCAGCCACTCAAATCTAATTAAGTAACTGTTTAAATGTTTAAATTTAATAAACTGTTTAAACTGTTTAAACTGTTTAAATTGTTCCTTGCTAGAGGAAGAATATCTTCAATATGTGATCTTTATCAATATATTGAGATTTATCAATGTCCATATTTGCCTTAGATAAATACTGGGTTTCTTTATTCGTGACTGTCCTCTTGCTGTAAAGGAAAATGTTTTTAGACCTTCTAGGAACAGAATAACTTACCTATGTGCTAATTCCTGAGAAGGAAACTGATTGTTGTTGTTTTTCCTTTTAGGCTACCTTAAGCACAGTAGTAAATGATCAAGAACTAGAAACAGTGGTGTCAACTACTGAACTACAGAAAACTACAGGAACAGTGAGTTTTATCAGCGTTATTTTTACATAGAGACAAGGTGTGTTAAACTTCTGCATACTTTCGTGCATTTCTGAAAGGATACCAGTATCCTTGTTTTCAGCAGTTCCTGAACTTTGTTCTTGCTTCTGATGAGCAGTCCTTCAGTCTTCAGACCTGTAAAAGGAAACTGTTTTACACAGAAGTGTCATCTTTCCCTGTGTTTTTTATTCAAAAACTCATGCTTCTCAGATTAGGAATGTGCTGATTTTTATTCTGGAAACTTGTTTGGGCTCTAGTTTTACCTTTGGGTTGGCTGCTGTTCTTTAGGTGACCTCTGTGGAGAAGCCACTCCAGCATTTTCATTCAAGTCATAAATTGTTGCTGTGCTGTCTCCCCAAACTGTTGTCTCTAGAAATGTAGGGAGAAAAGAGACCTCTAAGCATTGCTAGCACTGCTTGCACAGCCCCCCTTCTTGAAAAGGTACAGTCTAGAAGAACCACTTCTTCTGAAATTTGAAATTTTGTTTTGAAATTGAAATTCCACTATTCCTTAAATAACGTAATTACTTTGGAAGTTACTAGCGTAGATTGCACAGACAAGCCCTTCTACACACAAGTGAAACAAGAAGCAATGGATATCCCCAAAATTGTGTTTTGCCCATTTTTTCTATAAATCTCAGATGCAGCTATCTAACTTAAGATATCTAGATATTTTTTTCCCTCCTGTTCCCTTCTTCTTCTTTTTTTTTTTTTTTGGTAAATATAGGAGCTAATGACCTGAAAATGGACCCTATAAATAAAGGGAAGTTAAAGAAGGCTGCTCTTACCTTTCTTATCTTTCTAGATGCTTCACAAACTCACAGCAAGAGCTTTCATTAGAGACTATGAAGATGGGATTCTTCATGAGAACGAAACAGAACATGAGGTTCGTTCACCTGAAAGAAAAAGTATACATTTAAAATGTGAAGTAGCAAATGGGTCAGTACAATAGAGAAAGTGTGGGGTTTTTTTTGGGGGGGGGGGGAGGTGCTTGTTTGGACCCTCTTTTTTAAGGGTAAATTCACCTTATGGAAACATTTTCCCACCGGGGTATGCTTTGGGAGAATATGGGGTCACTCTGTGTTCCTCCCTGTGATAAGAATGAATTCTGTGTGCGTATTTTTCCTCATCTGCACTTTGTCATTGCAGGTTTTTCTTGGCTTTTCCTCTTTGCCTGTGGCTTGTTAACACTTTAGTTTCTTGAAGACTGAAATGTTTTAGTGCAACCAGAGTCCATAGTTGTTATGTAATGTGGAACATAATTACCTTTCTTTTACAGGTTGCCCTAAGGAACTAATCTCTAAAAATTGGCTTTTAGCCAGCTGAAAAGCTAGAAACTTTTTCTTTTCTTTCTTTTTTCTATCTTAGCTTATTTGAGACTTTTAGACCATATTTTCTTCCTGTAAGAACTGTGAGCACAACTTTCTGTTACCCTGGAAGAAGCACAGAGCAAGAGCCAGAAAGTCTATAATTAGGGAAAATGCATGTTCCTGCCCAAAGCTGAGTGAGGGCTTAGGGAATGTTAGAAAGAGTAGGATATTAGGCATATTTGCTAAGTTCTTGCTTGAACAGCTCCCTATTTAGAGTGTATAAGTGTGTTCATAGGTATGTGTTCAGTTTTGACGTCAATRTTGCTTTTAGCTGATCTTTTCTTTTCAATATTTAACTATCTAGATGAAGAAGCAAATCTTGAAAAACAAGATTATTAATCTCAGCTTGGAGAACTCAATCCTAACCCAATTCACAAGCTTTGTTGCAGTTGAGAAAAGGGTATGTGTTTCCTTTAAAATATCTTGTTCCCATTGGCTTCTCTTTCAAAAGATCCTAAATTCTGTAGCCTTATGAACATCAAAAACAGTCCTTCCTTTTGCTGAAAATGAAAGAACATTTGGTGAACAATGTTCATTCTTCTACAGTAGAGCTGAAATTACGATTTTTGCAATTTTTTTGTTTCTTTTGTACAGCAAGTTATTTGTGTGAATTCACAGAGTAGTTTTTTACTAACATCAAGAGATGATTGTCATTCTGATTTTTAGATGTGTTTTTGTTCATTATTTAGAAGATTAATTTTGCCTTTCCATGTATGATGTCTCTCAGAGAACAAACATCTGTAAATGTTCTGTATTTAAGTTATGCCTATAAATAAAATATCTTTAATCTCGTCTCTAATCTAGGATGTGACTGAATCTATTTGATTCAGTGTGATAAACACTTCAAACGTTTTAGGGCAAAAGCACCTACATGTGATAGGGAGAAATACCCAAACTGGCCCATTCAGCATGGTACTCTATTATGCTGTGTGATTTTTACAGAATGCAGTACATTTTAAGCATAACTACAGTAATGTAGTTTGCTTGCTTTTAAATTGTGCCAGTGGAATACTGACAAAAAAGCACTGCATAAAATTTACATTTTATTCTGAGTATTGCTGACCAGGATTTGAACAAATTGTATATGCAAGTGTGTATCCTTGCCATTAAGATCCACTTACTATTTCATGTGAATCGATTTAGGGACAATATGTTATCCCTAAACACAGTCAAAAGTAAGTATAAAGTTACATGGACTGTATACTGGCACACAGAGTATTTATAATGTACTGCTTCAGCTGTGGCGTTTTGTTTGTTTGTTTGTTTGTTTTACCCATTTCCAACTTACAAAGGAAAAAAAAACACAAAGATGAAATTTCTGACATAATAGGTATCACATCTAAAAGCTATAACCTGAAGAGTTTTCTTGACAGTAATTTAGGTCTGTTTTAATTTAGGATGCTAATGAAACTTGTTCTGCTAATGTTCCAAACATCCTGGAAATTATAGCTCAAGAAGATGTAGATTTTTTACCTTACATTGACTGGGAGCAAAAGTCAACCGAAACTGGCTTCTTATTTCCCAGCACATTTAATGAGAGAAAACAGGTAACTATATTTAATCTGTTATTTTTATGGGTAATATTTTTGGTAAAATATTCAGGTGTGGAGCTGTACTATAAGTGGCAAAATTTAGTAGTCATTTGTGAAGGTCATTTAATTTTTAATTACTTTGAATGTAATTCATTCATGCAGGTTGCTATAAACAGTAAAAATAGGAGAGGTCCCCAGGATGAGTAAAGGAACTAGGATGTTTGCTGTTACTGACTTTGAAAACCACAAGAAATGTCTGCATCAGTTAGCTTGTCAGCAGGCATAATTCTGTCACTCTGTAGAGGCAAAATGTGGCAAAATTTTACATCTGCAATATTATGTTGTGCATGAACAAGACATAGGTTTAAAATGCCCAAGAAAATCATCTTAACTGGATTCTGTAATGTACTGTGATTGTAGACTACTAAGAATTATCCTTGTGTGTGCCCACTATAAGTTAGATGATCTCCTATAAAGCCATTTTCCCTGTCTTTTGGCCCAAGAATTGCCAGGAAGTAGAGTATAGAGACATCTACCTTGGCTGATGGTGGCAGTTTAGCCCAGACTCACCAGCTTGCAGGCAGTGGCTTCTGCACACTGTGGCACAGGCCGGGTGTCCATCACGTGGACACCCCAGCTTGAGTCTGTGCAAGCAGGTTGGTGGTTCACTTTGTGAAGATCTACCTTCTGTGCATGTACAATGGAAATACTCAAGCTCTTAATCACCATGATGCAGATGATTGCCATTTTTCATCATTTTTCCATTCATAATGTAAAACTCCCTGCTCATATTTTGTCAAATTTGATTCTCTAACTTGCCTCATGTAAAGTAAAATGGGATAAGTTTTTTATTTTAAGTGGTAGATATTTTACTTTATTTTAGATTATATAAATGACAATATAGTGGTACTATGCATAATATAAGAAATATGGTTTTCATTAAAAAGAGAAAAATGTCCCACTAACTCTAGAATTGTTTCTCTCTACAGGCATCTTTTACTTATTTAAGTTCCTCTGTAAACAAGAGAAATGAACTCAAAAGCTTCCAATTTCCACTTGAAAATATGTCTGGGAATCAAAAGATTGGCTTGCCAAAAAATATGGGAGAAGGCCTTGTGGATACTCCTGAACTTGGTAGTCTTGAAGTTAATTTCAGTGCTTCTACTGACCTCATGAGTGAGGAATATTTAGGATCAGGATCGTCTTCGCCAGTTGACCTTCGTATGCTGTACGATAGTGAAGCTTCCCCTCCCCCACTGGATTTCGGAGCAAGTACCATCCCCAAAGGACATATGAGGTCCGGATCTTCAAAGTTGTGCACTTCTCAATATGTTCCTGGTGATTCCCCTCCCATTCTCCTTTCATGTGCTCCTCCACTTGGTGAACAAAGATTATTCCAGCCAGATGATTCTCTTGTTGATAAGATAGAGGATTCTGCAATACTTAGTTCACCTCCTTCTACTTGTGGAACGACTCTTTTTGGAACACAGAGTATTCCCAGATTTTCTGGTTTGCCACCTACTCCTCAGGGCACAGTTTTTGGAAAGATGGGTTTTGGAGCACAAAGTGTTCCCACATTTCCTGGTTTGCCACCTACTCCTGCAGGCACAGCTTATGGAGAGATGGGTTTTGGAGCACAAAGTGTTCCCACATTTCCTGGTTTGCCACCTCCTCTTCCAGGCACAGCTTATGGAAAGGCAGATTTTGGAACACAAGCTATTCCCAGATTTCCTGGTTTGCCACCTCCTCTTCCAGGCTCATCCTACGGAAACATTGGCTTTGAACCACAAGCTATTCCTAGATTTCCTGACTTCCCACGTCCTCTTGAAGGCACAGCTTATGGAAAGCCTGATTTTGAAACACAAGCTATTCCCGGATTTCATGCTTTTCTGTCAGCAACACCAAGTCCTGCACTGTTTCCAGTAGTGAGCTCACCCAGTGCAGCAGCTCAGAGTGCTGTTAAACTTCCCGGTGAATCCACAGGAGTTGCGAATGTCGTAAGTCTTTCTTTAGGAGTCTTTTATATGGAAAACGTTACATGTTGTACTGAAACCTAGTTTACATTAAGCTAAGATGTACCTTAAATATTTGGGTTTCAGAATTTGTGGATATGCAGCCCAAAAAGATAAAGGAACGTTAAGAACTGGCTGCAAGGTTTTTTTTTTTTTTTTTTTTTTTTTTTTCCCCAATTCAAGAGTTCTGGACTTGAAATACAAGGTGGGTTGGGTGGGGAGGTGTTGGGTGGTTTTTCTCCAGCTCTTCTTCTTTTTGAAGTGACGATCCTATGGTCTGAAGTCTGCCACTTGTTCCTTCCTAACAGGAAAATGCCTGTATTAGTAGGCAACTTTTAGATGGGGTTGACTTTGTATCATGAAGTAGTAGCTGCATGGGTAATGAGAGAATTGAACATTATTATTTATTAAAAATCATAAATAATATAATATTGTGTAATATAYAGCTCTTTAAATAATATAACATACAAATAAAGATACTTTATAAATAATTTCTTATTATATTGTTCCAAAAAATGTACAGAATTTTACGTTAAAAAAGAAGAAAATCCAACGAAAATCACAGACTTCTGTAAACTGGACTGAAATTTTTGACCTCCAGAACCAGGTGCAGTAACCATTTTTGTATTGCCTAAAAATAAGATATAAGTAGAAAGAAAATAATTTCAATCCTGTCCTGAGATAAACATTTTGTAAGTGCATTAGTTTTCTGTGTTTTATAAACTGATTTCACAAAGTTTGTGATGAGATCAGACATGGTAGTTTTTGTTGCTATCGTTGGCAACCCAACCATGGATGCTTAGGGAGCMGGATAAAATCAGGGCCATCGTGTAGCGTGTTCCATGTCCAGACCCTTCTCCATCAGTTTGGAGCCTGGGAATATCCTGTGGCAAGTATAAGAGCACTTAGTGGAAGCTAGGAATAAGATATAGGTGCATTTCTGAAGTACATCTCTGCAAGAATTCACTGCAAATAATGATGTTATGCAAGAGAATAAGAAGTACCTGAGCTTTAGATGAGGGCTGAACTCATCTAAAGTGTTGTGATGACTCGACATCATGACATGATGTCATCATCAAACGTGAATGATGCTGCAGAAGGACCTTCCTTCGGGTGGACGCTCTGATCAGCTGCTAGGAGACCTGGATTAGACCTTGCACGAGCCAGAATCCTGCAGGCAGGAGTCGCAGCACGGATGTGTGCGTGGGCCAAGTGAATGTCAGCGTTGGAAATGTGTTGGTTTTGATGTGCCTTTGTGGTGAGAGAAGTGGTGAGTTTTGCACAAGTGCAGAACACCAAATTCTGTGTCCACAGCGAGCAGGGGAGCAGCAGTGAGACTGCAGGTCATACAGCAAACATCTCCCAGTAATAAAGAGGAAGAGCCTTGGGGTAGGCTTACCTCATCCAGCTGAAGAGGCCACCATGGGATGCCCTCAGTTTTTATATATAAGATCAGCAGAGATCTGTTCATTTGAAGTTAGAGGAATGTTCATTTTTGAGCACCTCTGAACATAAACTTCAGAAGGAATTTGCTTGAAATGAATTTTGACTAGATTAATATTGTTGTTGTGCTTGATTTATACACAAGTGCTTTCCGAATGGTTTTGTTGTTGTTTAAGGTTAAGACAGGCTAGTTCAATATTTGAATCACCTGAGTTGATGATGTGAATTTCAGCTTGTGAATTTATATAAGATTTTGATTATTTAAAAATATTTTTCCTATCTGTAACTGTGTTCTTATCAAATATATTTTCAGTCTCAAGTCTTTTACTTATCCACTCAAATCTTTTACTTACCCTTATCTTTGCTTATTCCCTAGGATGGCTCATGGAATCTCAGTCCACAGTTGGGAAAAATCTTAGAATTTGACGTTAATTATTTAATTAACGATTTCCTTATCGGAAAAGGCATTCAGTCGCTTGGTAAATAATTTTTCCTCATTACGAATCAGGACAATTACTGGTGTAATGTATATTAATATAACTCTATATAGAGTACTTTGCAGAAAAGTAAAAGATGTCTTGTTAACTGAAAAAATAAATAGAAATACTGCTCCTTCCCTTCTCTCATTCCTTAGGTGCAAAGGGAAAAGAAAAGATACTGCAGTTGATTGCCACTCTTCTTGTGCTACAGTTCATCCGCTGCACACAGCAACTGAAAGGGGTAGTCTTCAAATCACTGATGAAACTGGATGATTTATCAACTTCAAGGTGTGTTCTTAAATACAGTCTTATAATTTAATGTACTCCTATACCCTTTCAACATACAGAAAATTCTATTACGGAGAGTCAGTGATTGTGCAGGTGTGTATTGCTTAGAGAAGGGAATGGAAAATATTAATGGTATTAGTGGCATATGGCTCCTTTTGTAAGAGGATGCGTGAAGGAGGGAATCCACAAAACGTGATTCAAAAAATGCTAAATATACAAGCAATGAATTGCAGCAATAAGGTATTTATATGTCTTGCTAGAGTCATTGAAAAATTCAAGTTGGAAGCAACCTTTAGAGGTTRTTTCTTCCAAACCCCTTGCTTAAAGCAGGGCTAACTTTGATGTTAGCAAGGTTGCTCAGGATCTTGCCCAGCTGAGTTTGGAATATTTTTTAAGGTTGGAGATCCCACCACTTTTCTGGGCAACTTGTGCCAGTGTTTAACCACACTTACTCTGGAAATTAGAAAAAAAAATGTGTCTATCAGATTTTCCTTAATGTAACTTGTGTGTTAGCTCTTACCCCTTGTAGTCTTTGGAACATGCATATTTTTATAATTATATTTATAGCTGGATGTTGTTCACAAACAACACAGTGCAACTTCCACCCTCCCCACTAGCCCAAGGGGATGCCAAAGCTGGCTCACTGGCAAGGRCCACTCATTTCAGTGTGTCCCAGGGAATGTAGAAATTCCCTTTCACTTCCAGGGTTGTGCACAATTGTGAGCTTGGAAACTCTCTGATGTAGGCAAAGGGCCACGAAGGAGCAGGTCTCCAGAAAATCCAGCCTGCCCCAGCTACCAACAGACTCTAGAGCCAAGCTGGGGACACCCTTTGTGCTTACAGGGAATGTAAGAACGTAAAAGTAGCTGCAGTGTATTCATCCTCTCTTGAAATTYCCTGACAGAGGGATATGTTATTTTGCTTTTACAACTTCAGCTGCTCCAATCAGGAGTTAAGAAAAAAAGTCACATTGACTGCTGGATGAAAGCAGACTGAGTGAGTGGGAAAAAAAGTGAAAAGTGAAAGAATTCTGCTATATGTGAATGTACCGAGGAGTCACATTTCCTCTGTACATCGTGCAGATCAGTTTTGCTTCACTGAACTGACCGGAATAATGTGAACAAGTGTGAGCAATGATTACGAGCCCACATACATTCCACGTGGGTGTTTCTGTATGTTCTTCYGTGTGAAAAGATCTGGGCAGGACAGATGATGTATTTTCCTGCATTAGATTATTTTGTATACAAGCAGAGTCCTTGTGCTATAGGTAATTTTCAGATAATTTTCAGGTGTTTTCTTTTTGCTTCTTTGGGGGATTTGCAAGATTTGATTATGAAAAGCTTTCTTTGATCCACAGCACTGTTCATTGGGCATTTGAGTTGATCAAGAAAGCAGTAGAGTGGGCGAGAAGAGTTGAAAAACAATTTCCTGCTATTTACTACCGACTTGAACTTGGGAAGGACTGGGATTCTGCTACCAAGAAGATACTGGGTATCCAGTTTAATTAGCACCAGTTTTCTTTTTGATTAAAATGTTTAATCACATCATAATTCTCTAAGGTAACGGCTGAGTTAGCTTTCATTGCAATTTTACGTAAGATGTTTTAAATGTGGACATTTAATGCTCTATTATTCTTCAGTAATAATTTTCATAGTGATAGGCTTCAATTTAAGGTATGGAGATTYGGGATTTTCTAGTTTAAAGGCTTAGTTTTGCATATGTAGTACTTTAGTAGGAATAACCTTAACCTGTAACTGTTAAGTGCCATGGTAATTAATTATTTGCTGTAAATCTCCTTGGTGGATTGCACGTTATTAGTGCTTTAATGATGTCTCTGATGTCTTGATTTCTTCAAAACTCTTGTATACTTTATTAATGGTACTGTGTACATTAATGGAATACCAACTCAATTTAAAAAAAAATACTGCAGTGTATGTTTTGACAGATATTAGAATGTGCTTAAAGAAAAACTGATAAATATGGTTGTAAGAGATCAGTGTTTCCAATGGGTAGTTTCTGTAGCTCCTTCAGGATGCCTTGAAATGCCAGCAGCAGAGCAGTCACTTGGCTCCTGCRCTGCTTTTCTTACCATAGGTGAGTTTGTGAATCCACTGGTCTGTTTTTGAGAGCAAACGGGGACCCTTTCATTTGGCTGTCCCCCCGGCAGCTGCCACACACGTGTCCCGGGATCCGAGACCTTAGGAATCCTTGTTCTCATGTCTGTAAGATTCTCGCTCTTTCCAGTAAATACAAAGGAGAGAGCTGGGCTGCACTTCATTTGAAAGGAAACAGGGTATTGGTGTGGTAAGATCTAGAAAGAGGCCTGAATTTATACAGTTACAGGCTAGCTTGGGGTGCTGCTGTAAGGGGTTTGCTCAGCTGCCGGTGGGGCCGCGTTAGAGGGGCCCATGGGTGGAAACCAGGGCTGTTCCAGCAGCACCCTGCTCAGAGGGGCCCATGGGTGGAAACCAGGGCTGTTCCAGCAGCACCCTGCTCAGAGGGACCCATGGGTGGAAACCAGGGCTGTTCCAGCAGCACCCTGCTCAGAGGGGCCCATGGGTGGAAACCAGGGCTGTTCCAGCAGCACCCTGCTCAGAGGGACCCATGGGTGGAAACCAGGGCTGTTCCAGCAGCACCCTGCTCAGAGGGGCCCATGGGTGGAAGCCAGGGCTGTTCCAGCAGCACCCTGCTCAGAGGGGCCCATGGGTGGAAACCAGGGCTGTTCCAGCAGCACCCTGCTCAGAGGGGCCCATGGGTGGAAACCAGGGCTGTTCCAGCAGCACCTTGCTCAGACCCGCAGGCCCGCGGGGCGCCGGCCGCCCTGCTGACACTGCCCGAGCCGGGCCCTGGCGCTGCCCCTGGTGAGAAAGAGTGTCTGGGTAAAAAGGTCCCGGGAAACCCATCTAGGAAAGGGAGCTGAACAAGCAASGTGGATGGGGTTTCTTGGGATTTTTTTTTCCACACAAAAAAGCATTTTTTTTTTATTGTGTGTGCTCATGAACGCAGTCGTACTCGCCTACAGGCAGTTATCTTAAGACGCAAAACACTATGGGAATAAAAGTGCTTTTGTGTGTGTTTTTTTCAATGTGCTTKCCTAGAGGGAAAGCCCCTTCCCCGCGGGCACCATCCACCTCTTCCCCAGGCGTTTTTGTGCGTTTCCCCTAACGTCGGGGACGCTCGGGCGCCTCCGGCCTTTGCTCCCGGGGCCTTTGCTCCCTCGCGGGCCGCCTCGGCGGGAAGGGCGGCAGCGGGATCGGGA